TGCTCCAGAAATACAGCCCGCGGTAGTGTTTGAACGAGTCGAACACGGCAATTCCCGTCTCCAGGGCGTTGTAGGCACCGATGGAAAACATGGATCTAATTTGAATGATGGAGATATTCTCGATGAGGATGGCTCCCACATTGGGCGGCAAGTTGGTATTGATTGTGTCCATGGTAGTGTAGGACGAGGATCAAAATACGAGGGCTGTGAACTGAGAAAAACGAGATCAAGTGAAATATTATGTCAGAACTTGATTATTATTATACCTGCTTGTGTGACATAATCAAACAACAAGGGAATTGAATTTGTAGAATATCCTATGGGAGTTCATCCTCAAAAGTCATGATGTACTCTGTTCGCCCGATTTCGCTTTACGACAAGATAAATGAGAATAAGCACGATTAATTTTACCCAGCATCCTATTGAATCTCTGCGAATCAGTACTTGTGAAAATTCCTTCGAGTCTAAGGGTTTTTTGGTTTGGAGGAAAAGGGCTGGGTGACCACGATGAGGAATTGTCCGAGTAAAGCCACAAAACTTATTTTACTAGAAATCCATGGGTGAGCAAACATTGGACTTATATTTGTCAGTGATCGTATTCGCACTTTTGTGGGCGGAAATGCCCCTGTTCCAACAACCCAGAAGTCAACAATGGAATGGACAAATAATGCATATACGAATCCCTACAGCTGATCCATGGAACACGCTGTTTTAAATCACAATTCTCATGGATTACTGGCTTTGAATTTGGAATTATACATCTTGGATGATGCCGGTGGATCCTGAGAAGTCCAGCACGCACGACTCTTACTTATTCCGGCCACTCAAAGTGGGTAACTCCTACCCTGGTCATGGTTGTCCCAGACTCTCCCAAACAAATCATATTGTCTAAGGATCTCACAACTGAAAAAGATTACATGGCCTACAGGGCAAGTCAATTTGTTTTCTATTGACAGTTTTAGGCTTTGAGGGGCCGTTTTCTGGAAGAAACTTCTAGGACGAAGGCCATTTCATTTCGACCCACTCTGGTCCTTTACAGCCAGCAAGACCCAGGCAGCAGGCGACCTCTGCAAAATAACTTGCTGTAAAATGTACCTCTTACTGGCCAAAATGGAGTGAGCTAGCTTCTTACCACGGGTCAGGGGCTTTCAGTTTGTGGCTACGTAGGCGTTGCTATGGTCGTGCCCTTTAACGTGAACTCAGCACGTTAATTAAGGAAATCTTCTTTTACGGCATTTCGATAGTTTACGAGCCGAATTTTAGCAATACGCTCTGTAATAAATCAAGTTGCGTTTATGGAATTTCCTAAATCATGAGAGGTTCCTCATTTCTACCGCCACGCCAGGTCCCTCGATCATCACATTGTGACCAGATGCACAGATTTAGGAAGCCTCATACCTTTGATTATCTTATCTACATTCCAAGGTCAAAATCTAGCAGATACTCTAGATAGGCCTGTGGGTGTTAAGCTTTAATTTGTTGTAGCATTGATCTGAAACAGTTCCTGTTGTGCCTTTACAACAAAGAATTTAGGCAAATTCAACGCCAGGGTCCACATTTCGAACGGTTCAGAGACACATTGTAGTGGGATTTGCTGTGACTTTGTCATTATATTGAGTCATTTTACTAATGTTGCAAGCCTTTTTCGAGCGCAATGAAAGTGAGGTGTAGCGATTTCCCCCATCAAGTTCAGAACGGTAAGGTGCTTTTTGCATGCATTTTGATCCGAAGTTAATATTTCTGCAGGCGGATCAAATTTCTCTTTAGCTAGCGTCAATTTAACTTCCGCACTAACGCCTTCCCAGCCATCAGTGAGGTGTCTCAATGGCACCAAGGCACAACAATTTGATGTGAATTCAGCATTTGTATGGCCTGAATTCTGGCCAGGGGCGCCTCATGTTTCATATTCTGTGTCATGATCACCTATATATACTCGATCAGTTCCCCATTAAGGGGAGCAACTATCATCTTTATTCCTCCTCCTCACGAACTTTCAATTGTCCTTGGGCAATTCCACAATGCGACCCAACATTAAGTCTACGCAGAGTGAGAAAGGTAGCTCAAGATCAAAGGCAGACTTCAACCTAAGCGAATTAGCAAGAGCTCATTCACGACGATCGGCTGCCTCTGACACCGCTGAACACCGTGTACTGCGATCAGTCAAGCGCTCAGCTACGGATCAGGTAGGTTTCTTCGGCTTCTTGAATCCTTCAATTAAAAGCAGCCTTTTGCTCGCCCTTTTCGCAATATTTGATCCCATGTTAACCTTGACTGCAAGTTGTCATCCCCACACAAAGGACCTCGAGAAGACGACAGCCAAGACAGTTGGTCAACTCACAGAGAATGCTTCAAACACATGGACAGGGCCCAAGAAAAGCTGTACAAGGCCAGGGAGGACCAGGACCGAGAGCGAACTGAAAGTACCCAGAAAATTCAGCAGCTCCAAATGGAAAAGGCAGAAGAGATGGCTAAATTGACAAAGGTGCTGGCGGAGAACGAGAAACTCTCGTGCGAAGCAAAAAAATTGCACATGGAGGCTGGTCAGTTGCAACAGCAGCTTGAGTCTTTCAATTCCACCATGCAGGGCCAAGTGGCATGGAATGATATCCAGCCGGCGTTGTATCAGGCACATGGTGACCTGGTATCAGCTGCCACGCAGTTCTGGAGGAGTGTGGAAGCGATTCAAAACCGAGAGCTGGCTACCTATTTGCCAGGTTCTGGAGTGGTGCATGGGATGTGGCCTGGTCAAGGAAGCGCACCAGAGCGTCTGATTTCTACTTCACTACCCGAACTGTCCGGAATGGGCGAATATTCCATTCTGCCCCACCAAGCGCCAACTACAAGCTAAAACACCGCCCTTGCTCTAGGGTGAATGGCTACAGTTGTGGTGCGACTGTATCTTTCCCGTTGAGCCAGTTTCCAAGGGTTGAATGTGGTTTATCTAGAAGAAAGCCGACATGTTCTGATATCAGAAATCTACGTAGACCAGAGTCCTTCTAGAACTATGCTTTGTAGAGGCAATGCATAATGCATAACATTCTGGTGGTGGGGACCGCCCCACGTTTGAAAAAGCCTGCCCTTCGGGCCGCACGGGGGAGGAATTGGTAAAGGGGTCCGCTAGGCCCGTACTTTGTTCACCTTTGGTTAGATCTCTTCCGCAATGGCAAAGTCTTCTCCAGAGGATGTTCCGCGCCACCGCCGATCAAGGTTCGCGGTCTGGCCCTCGTATTAAATGACTCCAAAAACTCAATTGAGTCTGACCCACCGAATTAGGGTTCACAGATTCTCCTCAGAGCGTTCGATGCACAATGTGGGTCGGCACTTACAGAAATCATAGGCAAAGTCCAGCCTTCCCCGCTTGGCAGAGTGCCCGAAATACTTTCAAACTTTCGACGGTGATCATGATCAGCCGGGATCGTAGATCTCATAAAAGTTTTATGGTACTGTATAGAGATTCCTCACTCCTCCGGTTCCAATTCTCGCCGTTCTCCGGATACCTCATCTTTCCCCTTTTTACCAGGGTTAGCGTTCTAGATGCAGTGCATGAGTTCGCAATATTGTTATAGATCAGCTATCGGCGAATGCCATACTCAGAACGTCAATTCACTTAAACTGTCGATTTTTACCAGTCTTTTAACCAAAATGTATGACAGTCCTTTATAATCACAAAGTAGCGAGATCACCATTATTGAAATGAATCCCTAGAGCAGCAAAAGGCTGATGATTGAAATAGGTTTCATTTATCGTCTCGAAAACCGTCTTCGCTCGGTTTGACGATTTTCCGAAGAAGCCTGCCTCTCGTCTGGATCGGCCTTGCTGAAATTCTCCTCCATAATAGCCAATCGACTGAGGATGTTCGCCAAATCACTGCGGACCACTTCATTCAGGCTTTCTTGGTTATTCATGGAGGATTCCACAATCCTATGTCAATATTTAGCGCACGTATTCCCTCAGCTAATGCACCCCAGATCGGCTTACTTCATTCGGACATCTAGCCTTTGCCAAATGCAATCTTAGCGCAAGCAATTCAAACGTCACGGCTGTGATACTCACTCTGCAACACATTCCAAGGCAATCAGGTCGCGATCCTCAGGAAGATCTCTCCGACCTTCAATCTTTTCCACATCTCGAGCAGTCGAAAACAGCGCAGGATCAATCTGGGCTTCGTGGTTACATCCAACACTGCCGCTTTGCGCGCTAGATCCATCGTTCTCCGAGTGAATTGATAGCTGGTCCTCGGTAGTGTCACCAGCGGATGACTTTGACGCACTATGAGTCTCCTCTGTTTCAAGAGAGGACAGGCTCAGGGCTCGTTGTAGTTGTCTCCGAAAATCGGGCCGTCGTGCAGAATACGTAGACTTTCGAACTGCTCCCATGTTGGCGTCTAGGACCGGGGAAGAGGTCGCGTGGCTCTTGTTTCACGTTGTTCAGATGAGGGCCATTTTATAGATTTCTCAATCGAGCTACGTGGTTTGCTTTTTTGCTGTTAATTCACAATTCTTGCCCATTGAATTGTAGCCAAAAGTCCCATGGTTTTCCATGCTTTCCATTTCCGGCGCCGCATGGTGTAATCAGTTTAAGACCGTCTGAAGTTTTCTCAGGTCAACGTTGATGGTCCCCCAAACTCAACGTGCACTTTGTCCTATTAGACAGTAACCAGATTGTGTCCACCAGGTACAGAGCCATGTATGCATGAAGTTGAATGGCACCAACTTGAATTTCACCGTTGAGATGTTCAACTATCAACATGACAAATAATTTATTCTCAGTCCCATGGTTCGACCTCAAAGTATATTCAACGTTGCATTCTCCACCTCCGTGGCGTATGAAGTATGTCCCCCGGTTCCTTTTAGCAACGATGAGAATTACTTGTGTTATCAACGTTGAAACGATTTCTGTCAATCAATTTAATTGGCCTAAATCAAACAACCGGAATATATTACCTAATTGTGCGGCGCTCTGTTGCTGAGCGGGCATTTGATGATGCGAAACGAGTGGATTAAAGCTCAACAAAGCCTACCTGTCTGTCCCCTATTTGTTGTCATAACCGGCCTCCAACCATCGGGATCAAGATTATCACCATGTACTCGCGCAGTGCAACACCATGGTCTAAACGGGAAGAAGATAACCTTCTTCCCTGGTTAAAGGAGAACAGCGAACTGCCATGGATCGCTCGCCCTGATGCCTATTTGGAACAAGTTGGGGTGAAACGGTCGGTTGAATCCTTACGAGGGAAGAAATACCATATCCTACGAAAACGTCGCCTTGGTCGTGTCAGACCGTCGCAGCGGGCGACGACCTCAAAGGGCCGGGGAAAATCCCGACATCTGAGAGCTACCACACGATGCAATCTTTCGAGCAGTGATTCTAGCAGTTGCGGAAATGTTAGACGATTGCTCCATGACATTCCTGAGGTTGCGCCAGATGGCGTCAAGAGTCAAGAACTGCCGTCGGCCGAAGCATCGTCATATGGTATGAGAAGATCTTCACTTTTTCTTTAGTTCAAGGCTCATTATTTTTGCAGCTCATGAATCATATTCACCGAGTCGCGATGTACGAGACAATCGCTCATTTTCCAAGCTCTGGAACTATGTGCACTGGGTCTGTGAGCAAAGACGGCTTATTTAATGCGATCAACAATGTTTGTTAGTGATTGAATCTTCAGGCACGATTGGGGTGATGGAAAAAGCCAAGGCATTTCAAAGTCTTTGAATACTATTCAGCATAGGATTTTATCCTAAAGCCTACGTGGTAATGTATTAGTCTTGCTCAACCAGAATACAGCCCAACGAGATAACATGCTCTTGGAGATAACACGAGATACTCTCGTTTCATGCCGATAGTGAGGTGGTCTTTTGCAATAGCCCAAGGGCCAACCATCTAAAGCATGGCATAATGCCACCAGCATTCGCTATGAAATGCTTGTTGGTCTGGCATCCTTTTAGATCGCACCAATTGGGTCAATTCACGTAATTTTACTATGCTCAATAGTTATGTTTTAATGACGAGCGCCTGAAGTTACTCTATATTAATTTGAACTATACTTGGTATACTACTTACCTCTCAAATTGCTTACAGCCATTATCATCCCATTTACCACTCTGATCCATCGGACTACGTGAAGAGAACGATAAAGTAGCCAGCAGAAATGACTTTTTTCCGATTTGTCAAGTGAATTGGGTCAACAGTCTCCGTTTACAGTAGTAAGTGAAAACCCCGACTACTGGAGTCGAATTAATTTCACACGCAATTATGAATAAGGGGAAATATTGGTCATGTGTTGATACTGGTACTGATGGTGTTGAAGTGTTGACGGTGTTGACGGTGTTGATGTGTTGATGTGTTGATGTGTTGATGTGTTGATGTGTTGATGTGTTGATGTGTTGATGTGTTGATGTGTTGATGTGTTGATGTGTTGATGTGTTGATGTGTTGATGTGTTGATGTGTTGATGTGTTGATGTGTTGATGTGTTGATGTGTTGATGTGTTGATGTGTTGATGTGTTGATGTGTTGATGTGTTGATGTGTTGATGTGTTGATGTGTTGATGTGTTGATGTGTTGATGTGTTGATGTGTTGATGTGTTGATGTGTTGATGTGTTGATGTGTTGATGTGTTGATGTGTTGATGTGTTGATGTGTTGATGTGTTGATGTGTTGATGTGTCGATGGTGTTGATGGTGTTGATGTTGGACGGTTCCACATACTTCAGCCAACGTGAACATCCCGGTGCTGGGATTTCCGACTATACCGCACATTTTGATTGCCCTCAATTCCAACATTTTACCGGTGCTAGCTAAAAAACAAAGAAGCTTGGGTGAATTAAATTACAATACCTACCAATACAGTATCAAAATAGAGCAAGCTATTCATGCTAGGTAACCAGCTGTAACTTATTCGGTAGGAAATCCTCAAGGGTAAATAAATATTCAGGTCGCCTTTCCATACCTAAGCTAAATCTATGAAAGGTCGGAAATTATTTATAACTTATTTGCCACGGAGCAACCCTCAATTTGGTAACAGTGAGGGAATAGACTAGATGTTCCCAGGGTAGGCGAGGCTGCTCCGGAGTCTGCGTGACGAATCCTGGTCTCCGCTGCGTTCCTATAGCCCAACAGGATTGTTCCTCGCGACAATTCACCATGCTCCTGGAAGCAACATTGGGTTCCTGGGGCCAATGTCAGGTTAGGAACGGCTGGAAAAAGCCGGAGAATTTTTTTTGGTCTCCATGTGCCTTGGCCCAGCATCCATGTTAGGCCTACATATTACTAGCAAACAGTCTATGTCGTGCTTCAGGTTGAGTGAGAATGGCAGTCAGTCCATCAACTTTGTACGTAGATAGGATGTAGGTCAAACTAAGCGGAGCCAGAACGCTCTACTTGGTTGCCATGCCATGGACCGCTGTGCAATTTTTCCTCTCCTAGACTGAAATCGCCTGTGCGAACGCATGTCTCTAGGCTCGGTCAAGTCACTAGTTAGTGCGGTGTCACAGAGTATACTAACCAAATAGCTTAGAAGCACGTTGACTCCATGTTTACTGGACACCAGGAAAGCATTGGCTCAAAGCTGTCACCAATGCCTACGGCAGCGCCTGCGAGACCCGCCGTCAACGTTGAGCATCGATTTCATAGCAGACAAGTCGACAGCGTTCGCTGGTTAATCCTGGCATCCAAGTCTCAAGTTAGTGAGCCAAGCGCTTCTCATCCTTACACTGCCTCTTTTTGATGGAGACAGCACTGTTGCTCAACATCTCTAGTAGATATGTGATTTCAATACGGAAGGAAGCCACAACATAAATAGTGTCATCCTACCCCGGTTGGCATTCTTCCCAACCCCAATTCACACCCGATCCGCAAGCTTGATTTTCAAGAATGACACACCATTACAGCGCCGACGCTTGCGAGGATGATAGCATCATGGTCCTGGCAAACGAGCAGCTGGAACGTGAGCTACTCGAAAGTCAGAAAACCCCCCTCATTACATGCGTACCTCCCAGCGCGTGATTTCTCGGAATCTTTCCTGGCTACGTGAAAGATTGGACACAAGCAAATGCTTATCGAGAATTGTATCAAAATTGGTACGTATGAACCTCCTTTGCTGGACAAGCGCTGATTTACACAGGAAAGATGCCCTCATGGAAAAATTCGAGCTTGACCGTCAGAGCTTCCAGCCAGTCTTGGAAGACCACAGTGGTGGGCTTTCAATTATTGTTCCCGACCGTAACCTTGCCGATCGACCAGCGGAAAGAGAGGATCGACGCGCCCTGGGTTTCATCCAGTACGGAAAAGGACTGGTTGAATCACCATCGCAAATGCTTGCATGTGACTCCCCATCGATGCTCTTGGTATGGGATTCTCAACTACAGACGCCCATGACCGTCTTGTGGGACGTCACGGGGAGGGTCTCCAGCTGGCGGCGTTGGTTCTCTCTCAAGATGGCTTTCAGGTGAGTACCGCCGCGAGTGGTTGGTTGTAATTGGAGATTTGACATAGATACAGACTGCACTTCGATTTCTTGTATTGTGGCGACATCCCGGAAAACCAAGTCGATCCAGTGTGACGGTGGTCATTGGCGCGACGCGAGCCAAGCCAAGTCAGGCCGACCAGTCGCGCTAGACGCGTTTTGAAATGGCTCCGGTTGACGCCTACCCTTCCGGTATCACTTCCACACCACACGGCGACTTGATTCTTGATCCCCAGCTTCGAGGTCAGCTGTATCACAATGGGATCACCTTGACCAATTCCACCGTCGGCACATTCCTCTTCGCGTACAATTTCGCCTATTCGACCACCTGCCGCGACCGTTGCAGACTGGCATCCTGGCGGGATGCGACTCGCCAAGTGCATCAGATATGGGAGGAAGCTCTACGCAAGCAGAAAGACACCATCTTGCCTCTACTTGTCCATTCGTTACGGAAAAATGCCCGTGCTGCCGACGTCGAGATGATAGGTCCTCTTCGAGAGCCACCAGCGGCACTTCGGATCTGGCAATACTTTGCTGCACGAGTCAGCAGATGAGGAATTCTTTCACAGCACACATGCCTGATGGACTAAGAAGGCTACCCTCTATTCCCGACTTTCAAGATCATGATACACCGGCGTTTGTCTCATCGGCAGCACAGTCAGCGGTCAACGGGGGCCTAAGTTTATTGAATAACAGTCTGTAAAGGCGACTACGAGGACGTTGAAGGAATTGACCGCAGGATGGAGGCACAATGAGCCCTTGCAGCCTGCCTCCATAACTCTGTCCGGTATAGGAAGAGATTTGGTCCCGCATCTGAGTACTCACTCTTCTTGGCATTCAGGTAAGGCGCCTGGGGAAACTACGACAGACCTCTCAGTAGACAGTGGTTCTTCATCGCTCAAGAGCCAACACGCAGCGTGGAAATGTGCCCGATCAGGTCAGTCAAGGCCTTTGTGTCGATGACACATCGCTGTGCATCAGCTGCAAGGCCGGTTGACCGCGCCCAGGGCTGCTTGTCTGGGCGAAATACATGGCTGTGCGACATGATGTCCAAGAAGGCTAAGACTGGGGTCGTTGAAATGGCAGATGGACGGAAGCACGTGGCGTTATGTCGCGTCATCGACGATCAGGACGGTGATATTCTCTGAATCAAAGCCAGAGAAGCTTGCTGGGCTCGGTAGAAATGGTCAGAACGAACGAGCTGGGGATGACATGGAATTGGGAACCATAGAATCATACGCAGCCATGGAGATGGACGCGAAGATGTCGCAGGAACTCGGTGGAGACGACACAACCTCCGCAATAACAGCGAAGGTTGCACCTCCACGCCATACTTCCCTGACGCCATTGACCATACATACTCCTGGATGATAAGCATCCGAAGGCAACCAGAGACTTCTTTTGTTCTGCCATTTGCGGTCGGGAAGGGGTTGGGCTTTCTCATGTTTTGCCAAAGTCGAAACCGACGACAGGGACCCGCAAATTTTGCTTCATGATGTTGCAGCATACCGCCTGCTGCTGGGTGTCAGGTTTGAAGGAGGTCCTCACGGAGAGCGGATGCAAAGAGGCACGTTTAGACAGCCCATCGAACGAAGTTCGGAGGGGACAAAGCTGATGAACGCAATTGTTTTGCAGAATATCCTCCGACGTATCTAACGTGATATGGCCATAAGCATCAGAAGTTCCGGGCACCGGCTTGCACCATCATGGCTTCTTCTTCATAGCTTCCCACAGCTACCCAGAACCATTTTTCGGGTGAAATCGATATCACTGAACACAGAATCCTCTGCGCTTCCCAGCTCGGCAATAAAATAGGTGTGCATTTTTTGAAGCTCAGAATCACCTTGTCTTCGGCAGCATGGAGATTGTGCTCATGTGTCACGTGATGAAGAGCAGCAGGATGTTCCCCAATGGGGAAATAAGGTGCACCAATGTGGTTCAGAAATCAACAACCACCTGAAGAGATGCATCTTTCCCTCTTTGGACGGCTCTAACAAGACTAGTATCGGCTCGATACTGCTAGAGATGACGCGTTTTTGGAAAGAGATGGCAAGGGAGTGGCACCTTTCATGGCACCTCCCGGACTTCAGAGTTCGGAGAATGACTGATGTAACCAAGCAGTGATGCTGCTCATTTGTTTCGAAACTCGAAGCCCCATGGCGCCTAGAGATGCCAGAGATGCAATGATCAGGTATGTGCTTGGGTATAGATTGTGTCGCATTTTGATAACTGATGCAGACAGACCACGAACACAATCCGGGACAGCCTCGGCAAACGCCAGGCACGCCTGCCGGACACGCTGTGTGGCACATGCTGCGTGCCCACTACCCCACCCGGACCGTCGAAGAGCAGCTGCAAGAGCTGTTTAAGGATGCAAAGCCCTGCACCCTCCCGCCCACAACATTCGCGAGAGCAGTCGACCGAGCGTTGCGAGCCTGCTTTGCTCTGCTGAAATTCACCGACCATATTCAGGTTGCCTACGTCGAAGGCTCGACCGGGAAGTCGACGTATACTTTGAGAAGGGACAGGATATGCTAAATATACATTGCCGATGGTTGGACTTTGCTTGTACGCACCACCGGTCGTTCTACCGGCCCTGGTCTCCGAACAACCTCGCCGACCCGAACGCCCCGTTCTTCTGCTGTCATGTGGTGGAAGAGCTCTTGGTCCGATCCGTTGCATTCATGTTCAAAGTACATCCGACGTGTCGACTAGCAGAAATAAAGTTCATGCGTCAAATTGGACGGCGACTACGATATCTGCCGCACAGCATCAAGTTGAAGCCATACCCCGGGGCCATTCTGGTCAGTTGGGAAGATAATGAGACGGAAGCATTTCGCATGCTCGGCCCGAGCGGCCCGGACTACCATGTTGTGCTTTGTGATGACAATTGCGCAAACGCTGAGACAGCGCTTCTCCATGAGAAAGCAGGTAAGTGGTCATTAATCGTCCATGAAACAAGGTTGACCCCTTTGGTACAGCCCTCCGCAACGACGTGGTGCCCTGTGGCTGCCGCCAGCAGTTCGCTCGTCAGACACACCGAATGTGCGTCTTTAGCGGTCTGTCGCACACATCGACATATTGTACCATGATTGCAGATCGAGGATCGGGCTTTCTACGGGGTCCCGTCCGATCGAATCTCGCCGGGGCCATATGAGGATGTCAAAGCTACTCTCCAGTTACATTCGGACTCAGCAGCATATGAGGCTTTGATGGGAAGGCGCAAGGAGCACAGACGGTAATTCCAGAGTGCCGTCTGATTGACTATCGCCATGGTCGTATGCGAGTGTGGAAAATCTTTCTAGTACATAGTCGGGAAGTGAGGCGGATACGGAGATACTATTATGAAGTCTGGTCGATGCGTCATTCAGGATGCCTATATTCTCTGGTCGACAATCTCTTAGTGTGAGTAGAAGGCCTTTCAAATAGCCAGCGAGATACGAATTGACTCCGAAACCAATTTGGTATCCCACCGGCCTCCCATCGGCCACCCGTGGGTCTCCCACCATGGGCACTCCACTCAGCCGCGTTGGGATTATGCTTTCTTTAGCCTTTATGTGGGGTATTGATGAGAAATCGAGGGGTTCGAACCCTAGCACAAGTTCGGAGCCGGACAGATTTGTGACCCGATAGCAATAGTAATTGGAAATGCAGGTGTATCAAGAATCTCAACCCACCAATTTGGCGCTGTATTGATTACTGATCGGGCAACAGCCATGTGGTGTTTTGAAATGTAGTTATCACTGGGTTACTTCGTAATAGTTATTGAGCCAAGTGAAGGAGCAGAACACGTATAAATAACTCGAGGGCGGTCCTGAGTAAACCGGTTGACACTGACTGCTATTTTACGGATAGCCGATACCTTTCCCCGTTCGACTTGGTTGTGTTGTACTACTACCTCCTACGCCCTTGAAAATGACTGCTTTCAATTTCTCGACCACTGGGTCGGAAGTAGTTGCTGCCTTAGCAGATCGAGTCACCGGGAAGACATGTAAGTAACCCTTCCGTCCTGGCAACAACAGGATTTCCGTTATAGTGGGCAATGGAAACGATGTGCTGCTCGATTCCAAGTTGCTGAGAAGCCATTAGTTGTGATTACTGGAGCCAGTCATGGAGGACTTGGAGCCCACACATGCCTCTGCCTAGCAGCCGCCAATCCTGCGGAGATCATCCTTCTTGGGCGCTCCGAGGAGAAAGTTTCCCCAGTCATCAAGGAGATCAGCAGTATCAGCCCCTCGACCGTTGTTCGATTTATCAAAATTGACCTCTTGTCCTGCGCATCGGTGCGCGCCACGGCAGCAGAGATCAATGCGTCTGTCTCTAAGATCGACGTCCTCGTCAGTAACGCAGGTATTTATGGGTGTGAAATTTTCTCTCACTCCTGAGAACGTGGAAAGCCAGCTGGGTGCAAACCATATTGGTCATTTCCTGCTCACCAACCTCCAACCTCCTTGTTCCAAAGCTTGAAGCGTCTGGTGGTGGCGCTCGTATCGTTAATGTAGCCAGTGCTATGTACCAGCTCAGCCCAGTCATGTTTGACAATTACAACTTCTCCAACGGAAAGACCTACAACGCTTGGGAAGCTTACGGCCAGTCCAAGACAGCGAATATTTTGTTTGCCGTTGCATTGGCCGAGAAACTGGAGAAGAAGGAAATCAAGTCCTATTTCTTGCATCCTGGAGTGATACACACAACGGGCCTGTCCGAAGTGGATCAGGAAGCGTGGCCAATTGTGGGAGCTTTGTTTGAAAGCAAGAAGCTGGAGATGCCAAAGGAAAAGACCATCGGGCAAGGCTGCGCAACTACTCTTGCTGCGGCCCTAGACCCTGCCCTGGACGGTAAGTACGCGAATCTTGGCAGTAATTAGTGGGAAACGGGCTGACAATGTCATGCAGATCACTCAGGGTCTTTTTTGAATGACTGTAATCCAGAAAATGTTTTGGACTACGCCTCTGACATCGTCAATGCAGACAAGTTGTGGTGTCTCAGTGAGGCAATTGTCGGGGAAGAATTCCATTACTGAAATGTCTCTGCGGTTCTGCTTTCAGATGATCTCCAAACGTGTTTTCGAACACATATGGCTTGACGGAAGCATTCGCTAACCTGCCTTTGCGCCCTCGGTAGCTAGAAATGATGAATCGTATTGATTTGGAACACCTTAACACCTTCTTGGATTCTCTTCTCCTTTTGGGCAATAGCGATGTAGAACTACGATTATTCGCTGACGGCAACCAAATCACCACTGGTAGCACCCTCCGAGACATGATAATTTGCCTTGTACACAGTGGACCGTTAATTGTATACCTAGGGATCCGACGGCCACCATTCCCTGCGGAAAGACTCCAAGGATTGGTACGCTCGTCTAGGTCTATTGATCAATCTGACGCAGCTTCTGCGAGACAGAATTCCGCTGAATGGCAGTGTCATTACTTGAGGAGAAACAATACCTCAATTCAGGGGATGTTTAAAAGCACGTAAAGTATGAAGTATTCTATGCAAGATGGAGGACGCGGTCGTCCGACGAAGAGGCTCTTTCGGGGCGGGTTATGAACATGCAATATACCACAAAGAATTCCCAGCGAGCGGGATTCGGTAGTAATTTTTGATTTCAGCTGGCTGATCTTTAAACGCAACTTTGCTAGATCTGAGCGTCCGGTCAACCTTCAACCAGGGCTTCTAGTGAAAAAAACGCGTTCTTGAAATACCTAACCGGCCCCTTTCATAAATTACCATTTATTACGGACTGTCAAAGCGAATGATTACACTATGAACTAGTATGCATATGAGCGAATGAGAGCTATCGGAATCAGCATGAAAAGTAGATTGATTGATTAGAAAGAAAAGGCACTTTCCTTGGGGAAAAGGGGCAGGTTGAGCTGTCCCTGGGCGGTGTAATCGAGTGTTCGAGTGACCATACGGTTGTCGATATGGTACACGCCCATTACATACAAACACAAAGGAAACGTCGGTCACTAAATTGAGTAGAAAATCTTTGCATTTAGTAATTACTCATTGAGATCTAATTGGTTAGTTTGACGCGATTTTACAATGTTGAAAGTCACGGTAAAGCAGAAACAGGCTAGCGTGTTATATTATCAAAATTGAAGATGAACTGATGCAAGTCTAAAAGCCCCCGCAAATTCATATATTCCCATGTCCTACCTCCTAGCGCCATCAATAATAAATTCAGTAATCCAATCCATCAGCTCCACGTCATCAATCTGAAAGTCAAACGGTTCTAAATCACCGATTTCCGTAGGCCTAGAACCCCAATACTGCTGATTCGGCTCGGAAGGATTGACAGTATCAGTTGCCGCCGGAATATCATTCGTACAATACCCCATCTGTTCAGATACCTTGCGATAAAAGGAGTCGCAAAGTCGCCATGCCCGTTCAGCACCGGAACTACGGGTTGACATTGCATGTAGCCAACAAATAGCCTTGTTGGCGAGCCAGATGAGGTGTTGCGTACTGTCTTGTGCATGCATACATCCGATGGATAATTCGAGGAGTATGATCTTCCCCGCATGGGAGAGGTAGTGAAGGACACTCCACCATGGGAACATTTGGTAGAGTTGTACCGTGTTTGGTTGATCGGGGAGTAGATCGAGGATTTGGTTTGCAGCGTCCAGGGTCATCATTGTCATTGTGTGGTTGAGCATTTGTGAGTGGTCCGGTCCCAATTCGTCTTGTCGACGTAGCCACAAACGGCCGAGCACGATTCGAGCACTTTGGTAGTGGAATGCAAGGCCGAGTTTGTAACGTATTTGGCTCATGCTGCTTTGCAGATCGACCGTGGTGAAATCCAAAGAAGACGGGAGACTGTTCTTCCAATATTCGATACGAGAGCGGAGGTCGTCAATGCGTTTCTCACGGTCGATCCACATGGAGGATGCGTGGATCTGGTTGGCGATTTCTTCGATGATGACGGCCAAATCACAGTAGAAGAGATAGAAGAGGCCAGAGTTTGGCTCCAGATGCTTGAGCCATGCATCACTCCTTGGTTTTGAGTCTTGTTGGGAGTCCTTGCTGTATCCATCCCTTAGCCAAACCTTCGAGCTTGGCATGATCGTCTGAAGCCATTTTGTTCGGACCCCGGGGTTTCGAAGTAAGGCCAACGCTGAAGAATCGGTCTCGAACTCTTCTTCTTCGAATGGTATAGGCAGAGGCGGGGTATATTTGTCTTTGGGGATCGATGAGATGTGACCCGATATAAGACCCAGTGTTTGCTCAAGGGTGTAAAGACACCACCAGAGTCGGAATCGGGCCTCGCTTAGTTTGGCGGGCAGCTTTGTCGTGAGACTTCGGTTGACACCAAGCGTAACGGCAGATCTTGTAGCCAAGGCTGAAATTCTCCAGGCCCTAGTGGAGAATACGTTAGAAGAATTCGTGTCACACATTAAGAATGGGGAATATCTTACGTGCTGATCTGATCGGTTGCAAGCAAATAGAAAGCAACCAGTCCCTCGAGTTGCACTTGTTGAAGGTTAGGGGGACTGAACAATTCTTCACCAGTCAGGCTCAGCAGCCTTGCTCGGTTGAAATATAGGAGGTGATCATTCTGCTCTCCACGCCACGGTGCTTGAGTAAGGTGTGCATATTTGGCCGCAATCGCAAAGATCACGTTCAAGATCGCTAACCACTTGTCGCCCGGTTGCTGACCTTGATCCCAGAAGCTCTGATACTGCGTACGAAAGAGCGGTCGATTGATCATAGGGAAACCAGGGTGCACGTTATTCCAATACTCCTCGAAGAGAAGATCCGAAGGTTGTCGAGAAGGCATGCCATACTTGTTAACCTGCTGGGGGACGTTCGTTCCGAAATCTCCGAGGGCATGGTCGAGAGTGTTTGTCGTCACTCCGTCTGCGAGTTCTTCCCCGCCATTGTCGTAATGGTCGAAGGTTGGTTCCGACCATTGTTCATCCTCCTGCATGTTCGAATTGTCAACGTGACCTGTGTCGGTGGCACTCTCCGTTGCGCCGTTCTCATCTTGCGTCGTAGGCGTGGGGATTTGAATTGTTTCTGACAGATCTTCCATCAAGTATTGATACTACAATATATATTAGTCGAATCTTGAACGAGTTTCGGGTAGAATTCACCCATTACCACCTACGTACCTTTTGCAAAGTAGAGTGAGCCCACTGGCCATTCGCGCTTACAGTGGTGCCAAGTAAGTCTTGGACGAACTTTCTGTAATCTTGAACCAGAGCCGAAAGATCATTGGCCTCCCTAAAAAACTTATCAATAAGGGTGATTTATTTGCTGCATTAGGATGATGCAACTTACTTTTTCATTCTCTCATTCCAGCCCAACGGATAGCGGCAAGCTAGATCAAGCTCACGACACTGTCGACAAACGGGCTGTTCGCCACTACACTTCACCTTTCTGGATCTACACGACGAACATGCCCGTGGCACCCGGCCTGTGGATGGTGCGCCCAGGCTATTCACAACCCGCGGGATGGCAACCTTTGTGTTCGGTGCCCGTCCTCTAGAACTATTGCTGTTACTACTGTCAACTGTGACAGAGTCAGCCAACGGCGATTCCTCTGGACGAGGAGTGGGCAAACTTTTCACCATTTCAACCCCATGAAGAGAGCGAGTAGACCAGGTAGAGCGATCCTTCGGGGTGGAAGTGGCACTTTCAGTCTCAGAAAGCCTGGAGTGCGAAACCTTTGATGATCTATCCGCGACATACCCGACAGCTTTGGCATGGACAACGCTGAAGCGTTTCACGTGAAAAAGTCAGGACGTCTTCAACGTATTATCATGGCTTGTTATTGCTGTTATTACCACTCTGGGATACTCTCGCAAGAGAAATGCGCCAATTTTTCAATGAGCTGAGTGTGCTGGAGCAAACCAAGCCCACCGAAACCCTACCCGCGATGCACGCGACGCACTTGATCGGAGGTGCAGGCGCTGGCGAAAGGACAGTCTGTTCAGAAGGCATATCAACATATATCCTAGACAGAAAGTAATACGAGACTCACCCTCAGCAAGCGTGTAGTACTTGTCGGATATTGTGAGCTTCTAGTTCAATGGATACATAAAAGGAAGAAAGGTGATGTTTTGCGGTTCTGGTGTATCTGTTCTCAAAGTAAAGACACTTAAAGGGTCAACCATAAACTCTTTAGATAGGTACCACCCTGAGCCAAGCTAGGATAGTCCATTTGCCCGCAAAGCACGTTTCAGCTTGGTGATTGGCTTGTTTAGTCCTACTCAATCTGGCGTGCTCTAACGAGTTGATCCGCTGTCTCTGACGGGTTACGCCGAACCAAATCCTCTCCGAAAGCAGCAAACTCGGTAAATGGGCTGTCATGGAATTGATTTCTAAACGCACCTTTCCATTAGAAGCAGTGTGAGCTGTCTGTCTGGAACCACCGGAACTCTCGGATACCCCACCATGCTTGGGCTGGGAGCCTCCCGGGAGAATTTGCCCTCGAGTATCAACTCACCTTAGTTTGAAAATTCAGACTCATTGTGATTCCTATCGGTGCACCTATATTGCTTACTCATCTCTGTTCCGACAGAGAAAACCTCCGGGATAATTGATGGCAGGAGGCCCAACCAACCCCGGCCTGCCGCAAAGACGAAATCGCCAACAAATGGGTGTCAAGGAAAATGCAGTGATTACATACCACTAAGAATCCTTCTGATCCACCTAATTCACCTTTTGTACGCATTCTGTATGCGTTTCCACAAATCCGCAGGACTCGGCAATTCTTATCCGAAGTCCCAATTCCACTAGTAAGGCCACTTTAAAGAGGTCTTCGCACAGATAGAGTTTTTTTCCAATCAATCATACTGTATATTCATTTTCCACTATTGATTCCGTTACTCCAATTCGCTAAGATGCATACTAGTCATTACATGGGATTCTAGCTTTTCACAATGGGTTATGTCAGCACCTGGAACAAAATGGCGCCGTTTTCCTCCTCACAACTCGACACTAGCCCCTGGAGAAGACCTAGTCTCCACTGCATACTCCGTACACTGCTTTGCAACCCAGCATGAGAACCCGCTCCCCTGTTGGTGAGCAAATTAGCTCACTTAATCTTTCTTACCAAAAATTCAACGGCATATGCCATCGACTGGCTTTTTGAGACTACAAAATTTTCACAGGGACTGCGTACTTCCCGGGCACGACTATCGACAAGAGATATCATCAAGGCAGCAGAACTGGTGGAGTAGGAAAACTTGCAAGTTCTTGCGAAAGTTTTATCAGAGTTAAAAGAAGCGATTCGACGGTCCATCCAGCTATCAGCGCCAAGAAAAACAGTTGACGATGTCCTGGCCTTAGTGCTGCATTCTGAAATCCTGTACGATATTTTATTCTCACGACAAGCGCTTTGCTCTCCTTTGGAACGGAACACAGGAAGCTATGAATGAGGGAAATCTGAACAATCTCAAAAGTACTGTACAGTAGTTTTCGAAATCAGTTACGGTATTTTTCAAAATCAGTTATACCGCCATACTCTTGCAACTTCGTTCCCGGAAATTAAATCCGTCATGGGTGAGCTCTGATTGGATTTGCTATTTTGGGCACCATTTCAGACCGCTTTCCATAAATATTTCTGTATTTTATAATACAATTGTTAGACCGGTATATTTACACGGAACCGCCATACACAAGCTACCTCTGGGGGGTAATCTGTTTTCGAATTCTAACTGTACTGTATTATTCCATAGTCCCCATAATTATTGTGTTCCGATGATCCGACATGCTTGCCCCGCCTACTTTCCGTTTCGGTTCTTTCACTCTCCCTAAAGCCTTCGTACTAGGATGTCAGTCACTTACATTGACAGGTGCGCTAGGCTATAGAGAGCCAAATAAAAAATAGCTTTTCCTACTAATTACCTTGAACCTTCGGGGTGCTTCATGTCTTTACCGATTAGCTGAGTCCGTCACCTCCTTACTTCAGTGACGTCATCATTGCTGAGACAATTTTCTGACCAGGAGAATTCACCTAGAGGGGAAAGCAATATGAGCCCTTGATCGAACAAAACGATATGATTTCGGAAAAGAGAAAGCGCTCTGGATCTTCTCCCAGGGCCGCTTCTCCGGAAAGTCGTGCCTTTCTCTTTGCTTTTGTCACCGAGCATACCGAATCCCAGAACAGAAGCCATGCAATGCGACAACACTGGAAACGTCGGCGTCAAAGCAAGAATGATGCAAATCTTCACAGTATCCGACCAGTTCTTTTGTCTAAATCTACACTAGTCGCTGGCGATATCAATAATGCCGACTCGAACGACGGTAGTGACTGTCAGCGTCGCTGGGCGCTGGGACAGCAAACATGCCAGGGGGATGACTTTAAAACGACATATGACCCTAGATACGAGCCGTTTCGGTATATTTTCAACCATCTAACTATATCCAGTCGCATTCTCTCTTCCGGACTCAATCCTTTCTGCAACACTCCAATCCCGTTGACACGTCAGCACCGTATGCTACTACACCACTGTACGCCTTGCAAAGAAAGAATTTCAAGATAGGACATCAAGCTAACTCGCGAGTAGGGATAGTCAGTCATGCACAAATGATATCCGTGGAGCAAAGCGCTTCTGGATTTAATCCCGTCAGGGATATCTGGTTCCCAATGGACCTTTCTAACGCTTCATCATTCAATCTCCTAATGGCTCACTCAGCTTCTCAGATGGCTTATGCTCATACTAAAGCGAGCCCATGGAGAACGAAATACTGCATCGATGCTTTAACTTACAAGACAGAAGCAATAAGTCTCCTTAATGTGTGGATGTCAGACTCGCAAAAGGCAATAAGCGACAACGCTTTTGCGGCTGTTCTCCGACTACTTACATTTGAAGTAGGGATTACCAAACCTTCTTGTACCTTAGCATTTACGTTTCTGACTATTCTCCAGGAGTATTTTGGAACAGACGAAGAATGGCACCGTCACCGTCGAGGATTACAGAAAATGATCGAAGTCAGAGGAGGTTTCAACAAACCTAACGACGACTGGCGCCTGTATCATCTCATATACCTGTAAGTGTGTCCGTGTTATATTTGTAAACTCGCCGCTGACAACATGGGCAGCCATTCCATCATGACTGAACCTTCATGGTTCAACACAAATAACAATATTTTCGGGTTACGCAGCGAGACCAGCTCTCTAGACGTGCCCATTGATCTGCAGAAAATTCGCTCCTTATGGCTGGTCTCGTTTATCTATGACCTAAAATTATTTGTTCAACTTCCGTTCTGGCTCGGTGCTACAAGAAGCCCGAGATATCCTTCTCTGTATGGGGCCCTCTTTTCCCTTAGAAACAGGTCTCTGCCTGAAGACTATGATGGGTCCCACAATACCCACTCCTCATTTGACTATGAGAGAATGAGCTGTCTGTTATCAATTGGTGTGATAGTACATGACTCGGATAGTTGGTCGGCTTTCACGTCTACAAGTATGCCTATCGAGCTTGCCATGGCCACTTTTGATGCAACTCTTGAGAGTTCTCGAGGTGATTGGGAGAATTCCATACAAGCTCTCCGCTCAGCTTTGGATGATCATTTTATGAAGCATTACCCAAATGGTGCGCAAAAGCGGAATTTTGCTCGTCAATTGGCTAGGACTGTCCAAGGTTTGGGTGCTGAAGCTACCAGACTGGTTCAAAATACTCTCCTTTGCATGCTCCTTCGTGCTGACGAATATTGATAGTGGTTATCTTGTTTCATTTAGCCTGTTCAGCCTTTCGAGATGTGGTGAAGGAGCAACTCTATATCATATCACATATGAAAACAAGCTTTGCATAATCAAGCCGTGGAGTCATTTTGCCTAGACGATTAGTAGTCAAAGAGGAAGGAGACATGGTGATGGTAAGGGAGTTGTTGATTGTGACAGGGAATGAGGGGCTAAAACTTTACGTGTTTCCATACAGCCTCACATTATTATTACGATGATTCATATGTATGTCATGTACTCCGTAAGACCATGATTATTACTGTTTTGCCAAACTTACAGAGCGGTAAGCTAAGAAGGTTAGCGCATTTCGGATTTATTTTCCGGGAATGAAGTAGCAAGAGTGTGGAGGTATAACTGATTTCGAAAATTACTGTATACCTCCACACTCTTGCTACTTCATTCCCGGAAAATAAATCCGAAATGCGCTAACCTTCTTAGCTTACCGCTCTATAAGTTCGGCAAAACAGTGATAGTAACGGCCTTACATGACGCATGAGTCACCGTAATAATACGGTAATGTTGGAACCACGTAGAAGCTTTAGGGAGCTCTGGCGATCTGGCATGATCGTCTCGCTTACTCACTCCCTTCCCGCCTCTCCCACTCGTTCTTGCCCCTCGTTCCACTACGCTCACTAGTCATAATACGGAAGCTGTGCTTACGCTTACACTTACTCTGTGAAGCTAACCCGGGTAGGCAATGATTTTTCTCTGTTTCCAAGGCTTCCACTATCAATCGCGGCTTTCATTCGTCCCCAGCCCTGTTCAAGAATGGTTCTCCCAATAAGCTGACAGGTTGTTCCAAGGATTGTGCTTGCTTATTCGAAAGAAACACGGGTCGAAAGCATCGAATATTCATCTCAATCTATGGAGCCTGGAACTTGGGATCAGAACTCAGACTACGCACCAACCCCGGGGTACTTTGGCAGTCCTTATCCTGCACAATCTTTCGCCAGCCCTCCTCCCACTAGTTTGCTTGGAGACGGTTTTGAGCCTAGTAGCAAGCCTGCGGCATGCCATCTCAAATTCCTCCAGTTGTCCGAGTGGGAAGAGGGTAGAGTTTATGACGAGTAGCCGCCAAGCTGTATCCACTACCGCATAGAGTGGCGCGTGATAATCAACAATCGGGAGGTATCTCAAGACACCGAGGAAGATGTCGTCCTAGCTCCCAGTGCCTTTTGGCGCTGGTCATTAGAGAAAAACCTTGAGAAAGTACTTCGACGAAAGACTCCACGCCACCGTCGCCTATCAGCTGACGACACAGTTATAACTGTATTGACAACAATCTCTTAAAAAAACCACGAATTGAAGAACACTGACAGCCACTAGCCGTTTCATGACGGCTTTATGACTTCAGTGCCAACCTAGATTTTACTGTCTTGTGGCGAATGCCAAAGTATTTGAAGTGATCAGCCGCTACGTAAAGTAATTCTTAATGGTACAAATTTGAGCTTTCCTCCAAGTATCCTCCCACCCACCATGTCAGGACCAAACCCAGAATTCAAACCGCTTCACAAAATTTGCGAATTTCTCAATGCACTACACATCTATACCGATTCAGCAAGAGAGAATGTGACTAGGTATATCGAGGCAACGCACTATTGCTCTCATGTCAACGAGAACCTGAGGCAATGTTTGATATATGATTCGCCTAAGAAAGAGGCTCGTCTCATCGGTGTCGAGTACATGATTCCGAAGCATGTCTTCCTAACCCTACCAGATGAGGAGAAGAAGCTCTGGCATTCGCACGACTTTGAGGTGAAGTCAGGCATGTTGATATTACCGAAGCCAGAGGCTGCGGATCCCCATGAGTGGGAGAAAGCGGAGAAAGATGCTATGAAAGAAATAGTGGGCTTATATGGCAAGACATGGCATTTTTGGCAAGTGGATCGTGGAGATTCGCTTCCTCTCGGGTATCCAACTCTTATGGGTTCCCTGACAGATTCAACGCAAATCGATTTGGACTCAGTGCTTGCAAAACGCGATGTTCGATTTGATGTTAATCATCGGACAAAGGCCAAAAATAGGGGTGACATTGAACCCCACGATGTTCACCCACTAGCAGACAGCTGGTGGGGCAAAGCAGTGGGAAAATAGAAACCCTTTTGATGTCTGACGCGATGAGTCGTGCACAGTAATAATCGACGTCTGTTTCTCGGCGGGCGATATCCCCTCATTGGAGATCATTCATTTACCATGAAAAAGCCACTGCTTGATCACATTCTATTAGTTTGAATCTGAGAGCTTAAAAGTTACATTTAACGGACAACTTAATTGAATACAGTTTTTTAAAGGGGTAGTCGTTCGAAATGCTTGCCACCTGTTTATACTGTCTACGAAATGAATACCTTGATTTGGTGCTTTGTGCTTTGTGCTCTGTAAAAGGAAACGCAGATATGCGAAACCCTTCGTGTCCAGCTCTAGGTATGAATCCCAGGCGCCTACCTCACTCACAGTTACTTACACGTAGGTAACTATTTCAAGAAATTGGTCCCGTCTGCTTCAGTTGCAACTTTGCTTTCAACCCCTTCAGCGCGACGTGCGCCAATCCCTCGATGTTCCCTGCACTCATGAACTCCATCACGCTGATCTCCAGTCCCAACGTTTGAGTCCACCAGCTCCGAATCTCAATTACTACCAGCGAGTCAATTCCCATGTCTGCCAATGGCTTAGCAGTATCAATCTCTTCATCGGGTTTAAAGAGGAAAGAAACAATCTTGTGCGCCAACTCATCTCTCAAAAAGGCGTAACTCTCGGGTTGGTCTAGGATCTTCGGTTCACGAGATGCACCCGCCAAAAACGTTTTGAGTCCGTTGTCGACAGTCCCTCGTGCTTGCGGAGCCTCCTGGGCATTGTGGAAGAGCCTCATTCGTTTGTCACGCTGAAAGAATCCAGGAAGTCGAGCTAGTGGCGTCGCTGGTCTCGGCGCTAGACCAATTATCACATTACGTTGACCACTGCACGCCATTTTGACGGACTCTATCACCTCGTTTTCTTGGATCGTTTGAGCATCCCAAACAGCAAGTCCACGGTCTGTCATCCGGCCGCTCTCAGAGACGTAGCCGATATCGTCGACAATTCCTAGGTCAATGACGGATGCAGGGAGGCCAAGCGACTGCCGATACTGCACGAAGGCATCCAGGAAAGTGTTGGCAGCGGCATAGTTGGCTTGGCCTGGCTGGCCGAGAAGTCCGGAAATGGAGCTGAAAGAGACAAAAAAGTCTAAGGGCTCATTTTCCATGACCTTATGGAGGTTCCAGTTTCCTTGAACTTTGGGCAGCAGAACGCTCGTCCATTCAATATGGCTCATACGCAGAAAGGCTCGATCCTTGAGAATATCAGTGACTGGAACTTTAGCGAGCTTAATGGGTCGAATTGACTTACCTCCAAAACCATTGACATTTGGAATACACCTGCGATGGGAGCATTGCATTGCTGGACGGCCCTTTGAACATCTTGAAGATTGGCCACATCGCCCGCCACTACAGTGACCTCGCATCCTTGCACGTGTAACTCACGGAACAGAGCTTCACGGACGGTCGAAGCTGAGCCTGCCGATGGGGAAAGATATACTAGCTTGCGAGCGCCATTCTCCACCATCCACTGCGAGACCGCGCGTCCTATTCCGCCTAAACCTCCGACCAACAAATATGCGTGGGTTGGTGAGAATGAGATTGAGAGAGGCACCTTACTATTCGGAACGAGGCCTTCGGACATCCTTACCACTATCTTGCCCGTGTGTTGACCAGCTTGTATGCATCGGAATGCCTGTTCGATCTCGTTGGCGTCGAAGGCGCGAATGGGGCGGATTGGTTCGACAGCACCTCGTGCCACCAGATCGACACATTCCTCGAGAAGTCTGTTCTGGTCAGCAGTGTCCTACTCAACTGTTCATTGAGCATATTCTCCAACTCGCCTTTTGCACTCGTGAGGCTTGTACTCGAGAATTTCCGCCATATCAACACTAATCAATGATCGGTTCTGGACCATCGGAGCCATGTTCAAGCTCGCATGACCGACAATATCACGCTTTCCAATTTCTACCATCTTGCCAAATCGGGCAACACATTTCCACGATGAATGTAGAAGTTCCCCGGATAGTGAGTTCAGCACCAGATCAACGCCGCGGCCCTTAGTCTCCCGCATTACATCTTCGAAGAATGAGGTATCGCGAGACTTGAATATCCGATTTCGCGGGATACCAAACCGCTCTTGGAGATACTTGACCTTTGTTTCATTGCCCACAGTCGCGTAGATCTCAGCACCGATCATCTGGCTGATCATGATGGCGGCAAGCCCGACGCCGCCACAAGCTGAATGGATTAAAACGGTCTATTCAGTCAATTGTCAACCTCATTTCCCTCCGTGACCAGAAAAAAATTATATCCACTCACCTGGTCCTTTTGAAGCTGCCCAATGGTCTGGAGAGAGTATATGACTGTGGTGTATACACACGGCATGGTAGCTGCATCTTCAAACCCTAGGTCGTCCGGAATGGGGGCACAGAGCAGCGAAGACGTCACAATTCTGGAGGCAAAAGATCCAGGGCTCATGAAAAACACTCGTTGTCCCGGAACGAGTGGAGAATCCGGTCCAACTCTGCTCACTACTCCTGAACCTTCCAAACCCAGCCCGTCTTTGCGTGCGTCCAGTATTCCCTGGGCGCATAGTAAATCCTGCAACGTATCAGTCATCAACATCAGGATTCATGAATCTCAAATCCAATATACCTTGAAGTTCAAGCCCGTATTATGGATATCGATTTCTACCTGGTCGCAGTGCAAGTCGTCTGCTCTGTCAAGCGAAACCCAGGCCAAACTACCCAGACGGCCGAAAGTCTCGATGCGAAGCCCGGCGGCATTACTGAATTGACTGCCAGATTGAAGGGCGAGGATCTCCCCCGGAGTGCAGCGCTTGTAACGGGAAGTCAAGAGTTTGCCGTCCTGACAAGCATATTCGTAGTCGGTGTTGGCGTTGTCACTCTTATCTCTTGCGCGGAACTCGCGATAAATAGCTTCTAGTGCCGTCCAAGATGCCTGGTCACACTCTTCGATCTCGACGGTGCCCATTTCGATGCCAAGCTCAGAGCGAATAGTGCGAGATAGACCCAGCACGAGGGCGTATCGAGGGTCTGTACATTTGAGCTGAGCTGACCTTGTCACCCACAAGATGCCGGTCGTTTCAGAGTCAGCGATGAATTTCTGGAAGGCGAGGAGATCGTGCTCAGAGATCTCAGCAAAAAAAGGACCTTCGAGATCCAAAAGAGAGATAACATCCCCCTCGGGTGGTGACAGACTTTGCAAAGAGCACATCTGGACTACATAGCTTAGGGATTCGAAATGACGCCTTACAGCCTTAATGTGTCCGTTTTCAGGCGATGGACACAGGAAGGTTACCACCTTTGGCTGCGGTTCGTCTTCACGCACTGTTGCCACCATCACTGCATTCGTAACATACGGCGGCTCGAAATCATAGACCAACAAGTCTGTGCCAGTAAATCCTGATTTCTGGAGCTCAATATTCCATCTCTCGGGAGGAACAAATGGCTCATCTCCTCGGAAGTCTTTGTTGCCTATCCACCATCCTGGAAGGACACCCTGTAACGAATACGTCAGACAATGCTAGGCGATGGGAACAAATCAAATCTACCATGACATAGTTGACAAATCGAACCTCCGGGCACAGCTCTTGAAGCACGAGACGACCTCCTGGGGCGAGTAGTTTCCGGACATGGAGTAGCGCGATGCCAATTTCTGGAGTTGCATGTAGTACCTGAGATTCTAGTCAGCTCTCATCTCCCCCGAACAATGAAGTGTTGTATCAAGTCACATTTGATGCAATGACTATATCGAATTCCTGCGCTTGAAACCCTTGGTCCAGGGGGTCTTGGCTAATGTCCAATACCGCAAAATCGACACCATGATACCCACGGAATCGTTGCCGGGCAGCAGGAAAAAATCCGGCCGAGATATCGGTATAGCAATACCGTGAGTACAAACGAGGTCCGTCGCTCTGTGTGAGACCACCGAGTGCAAGGGCTGTTGTACCACCGGTCCCTGCACCGACCTCTAGCACTCTGAGCGTAGGATTGGCGTGCCCGAGCGCGGAAAAAAGGTTAGACAGATCCAGACCTGCCATGATGTCGTAGAAATCCTTGAGCCCGTCGTCCTGATAAAGCAGGTTCACGCCAGATACCGAGCCCTCGCAGAGCTCCTTGATGTGGCGGTAGACTCGCACGACAAGTCTGTCCACGGCGGCGTACCTCGATCTGGCTGAGTCGTTGATGAGCCCCTCTATCAACTGTTTTCGACTTTGCGAATCGAGTAAGGCCCAGTCCTGAGACACGGGAACTAATTTGTAAGTCCCTTCCACCATTGACAGGACTTGCTTTCGAAGCCATCCGACATATTGCTCCATGTAGGGGGTCTGGGGGCGCAATGATTGCGATTCTATCTCATGCACTGTCTCAAGCATGCAAAGAACTGACATCGCTTCCAAGGGCACCACGGGAGATGACTCTCCTGTGCTGTTGTGAATGAGATCACCCGCGGGGATATCCTCCAGGCGAGGAGTCCACACCAACCGGGAGATATTCAGCGATTCCAGATGGTCCATGTCGCCGCTTTCCGCATCCAGGGGCGCCAAGACACAGCCTTGGAATGCAAACACCACTTTATCGTCAACGATTCCCATGACACTACCTTTTAGCTTCTTATTCTCGAGTTCTTCGGCGAAACTGTCAATATGGACAGAAGATGCTGTCTCATCGATATAGATATGGTCCACGATGACGGGAACAACCAGTCGCTTCAACTTGCGTCGGAGTCCTCGACATGCTGCAACGGACAGTAGCTGCAGAGCACAATCGGCGGTTGTGGGGTGCAACGAGTAGCGAGTTTGATGCGGGTCTTCGAAGTACGGCACACATGCCGTCGCTGTGTTGAGCAACGGGTCGGCCTTGATCTCCGTCAGACTGAGGAAACTTGGTCCGTAGTTTAACCCTAGCTTGCTTAGACCTTCATACCATTTGTGGGATGATACCTCGCGTATGTGATCCTTGATTTTAGGCGCGAAACTTTGTTCCTTTCCTGCTTTAGCTTGCCCCATGCAGTGTTTGATCCAGGAGCTACCATTGTACGCGGAAATGCTGAAGCTATACCACGCCGAGTCTTGGTGCTCAGTCAAAGGTATGGCGGTGAACGAGGTGATGATCTCTGTAGTTGTGTCTTGCTTCAAGATAATTGGTGTTCTGACCAGTAGTCGTCGAATGGTATAGTCGCGTTTGCCTGTAACCTGGTGAATTGCTTCTCCCACGGCAGCAATGTAAGCCGTAGTTGGAAAAACAATATCTTCAAACACTTTATGGTCGCGCAGCCAGGTCATATCGCCCAGGGATAGCACATTCCGCCACGAAAGACCCAATTCACCGGTCTCCAGAATTCGAGAACCCAGAATTTCATGCCGCGGAGACGCAGGGCGTCGCCAGGCTTTGGACAGACGACTCTCACGCCAATGTTGATTGGAGTCATGCTGCCAGCAGTACGCAGGAAGGTCCGTTAAGACATTCCCTGGGCCATTAACTGAAAGAAAGTCGACGGGGACACCAAGAAGATATAGTTCTCCTGCAGCCTCGTGAATCTTTCCCAAGGCATTGGAGCCGCGCAAAAGGGTCGACTGATAGACCGCAGAGGCAGTTCTGTCGGAACTCAGGATCTGTCTCAAAGGAGCAGCAAGAACAGAATGTGGACCGATTTCTAGCATGACAGTACTTTCCCTCTTCGGCATTTGACCCAAAAGACACCGGACAGCAGAGCTGAAGAGCACAGGCTGTTCCAGGTTTTGGCGCCAATACTTCGCCCCTAGTCTTTGCTCCAAGATGTCCCCAGTCACACTGGAGCAGAACGGAACGGCCGGGTCCTGTTCCTCAACACAACTCAAGAGTTGCTCGTACAGCTTGCCGACCTCTTTCATGTGATCTAATTTATGTCAGCAACAAGTAGGACAGTATACGTATGGATTCCAGGAGGGTCCCACGAGAGTGATATGCCACTGTAACCCGGAGGAACCGACAAAGAGCTCCGGGCCAAGCTTCTGAGATGCGTGCCAGCACCTTGGCCACCAGAGGCTTGTCGCCAGAGATCGTCACGCTTTCTGGGCTGTTTTCGCATGCGATTATAACGCCATCCTCCAGATACCCTGCAACTATATCACGACTGAGTCCCAAAGCGGCCATTCCGCCTTCGGTCTTCAAAGTTTTGGACACTTGGCCACGGAAGTAGGCGATTTTGATAGCATCTTCCGCAGTGATGGATCCGGCCGCGTATGCCGCAGCGATCTCGCCACTTGAGTGACCGACCACTGCGTTTGGTCGAATATTCCAACTACGCAGCACCTCGACTATTCCAACCTGTAGCGCAGTACATAGCGGCTGTGCCAATTCAGGGGTTTCCATGTCGGCTGAGGTGAGTTCCGCTAGGATCATATCTGTAAAGCATTAGGATTTCAGTCAGCCGCCACCGTTGCGCTCTTGCTCTCCCCTCAATGTCAGCCACGTACCAGAAAGACACCATGATGCCCCGTCGTCAAGGCGCTCCAAAGCCTTTGACATTTTAAGTATGATATCACGAAATACTTTCAAAGACATCAATTCTCGGCCCATGCCGGGCCATTGTGCTCCCTGGCCGGTAAATATAAATGCGAGATTCGTGTTTAGACTTGTCAGTCTGGATGTCTGCACGATCTGCTGCTGGCCATCGGGGTCCACTAGGGTGTATGCTCGATGCTTGAGAGATACCCGAGAGACACCCCGAGTATGAGCCAGGTCCTTCAATGAGCCGGGGTTCTGCTCTATATACTGCGCATGGGCATCGATAGATCTCTGCAAGGATTCTTTGCTGTTGGCCGAATATGGAATGATCCGATACTGGCTTTCGCTAGACGGTAGCTCGTGGACGACTGGCGCGGCCGCCTCGATGATTGCCTATTCGACTCGCAAATAAGTCAACCATCCTTGTCTTGACCTTAGACTTTACTTACATGGGCATTTGATCCGCCAATACCAAAGCTGTTGACACTAGCGCGCAACCTGCGACCTTGTGGCCAAGGGGTAGGCTCGGTTGGAACACGCAGGCAGCCCTCCTCGAAAGGAACTAAATCGTTAACAATCTGATCTTGAGATCCCTCAAAAGGAATGCTTACTTTTCGGATTAGGGGTCGAAAAGTGAGGATTGGGCGGGATAATTTGTCTCTCCAAGGCCAGGACGACTTTGATCAAACTGGTCAATCCAGAAGCTCCTTCAGAGTGACCAACATTGGCTTTGACCTAAGAGGCATTAGTTTCGAAATCGTTTATCCCGTCAGTTATACGGGAGCAATCTACCGATCCCAAAATGGTGCCTTTCCCGTCAAAGGCCTTGCTGATGGCTTGGGTCTCAACCGTATCTCCAGCGACGGTTCCCGTGCCATGGCACTCAAAGAACCCAGTGTCCCAGATATTGCGAATGTTGGCTGACTTGTATGCTTTGCGAATCAACTGTTCCTGGGCTGCGGCATTGGGATAGGTGATATTGGGGGTTCGTCCATCCGAATTGACAGCCGTGGAGCGAATGACAGCACGGATGGGATCCCCATCGCGAACAGCATCATCTAGTCTTTTGACATAGATTGCATTGATGGCCTCACCTCGTCCATAACCATCAGCTGTGGCGTCAAAAGTTTTGCACCTTCCATCCCGGGAAAGCACGCCGACCTCGCACATTCCGACAGTGGTAGTCGGAGCCAGGATGAGATTCGTCCCAGCCACAATCGCCCCCGAGCACTCACCGTGACGGAGGGCTTGACAGGCCTCATGAAGGCCAGTGAGGGAAGAGGAGCAGGCCGTTCGGATCGTCATGCTAGGGCCCTTGAGGTCATACTCATAGGAAATGCGATTCGAAATTGCATAGTCCCCCGTGCCGATGACATGGTAGCTGCCCACGTCTTGGGGGTCCCGTCTGGAGATCTCCAACCAATCTTCTCCAAATACTCCCACATAGCACCCAATGTTCTGGCCGCGCCAGGCCTTTTGGCCTGCGTTCTCAAAACACTCCCACACCACTTCGCAGAGCATGCGTTGCTGCGGATCCATCTGCGCCACTTCACTTTTCGTGAGGGAGAAAAAGGCCGCATCAAAGGCTGCCAGGTCGTCTTCGAGAAAGTGACCTGTCTTGGTGTAGACAGAACCTTTCTTGGGGGTTGGACTGTAATATTTGTCCACATCATAACGACTCAGCGGGACGGGTCCATGGCCGTCCATTTTGTTGACGAGCATATCCCAGAATTGTTCTGATGTCTTGATTCCTCCCGGGAGTTTCATGGCCATTCCCACGATGGCAATGGGTTGTAGGGTATGAGAACCCTCATCTTCTGTAGAGAGACTCATTCTGTTCCTCTGGTGGACGCTGCTAGATGCAATATTTTCACGGCAACGGAATTTTGAGTGAGACCCAAAGATAGGACGACAAGAGTGATGACGGGCGGGATAAAAGGAAATTATCGCTTGTAAAAACTAGAAGCCACAATCTGAAGATTCGACAGCGTTCGATCATGAACATCCCGAGTCGCCATGTTTGGAAACCTCGAACTCTTCATTCCAGTCGGGCTGGAAATTCATTTCCATAGGTTACAACCAGTGAGCTCGCTGCAAGGAAAGATCTCCAAGCTTCTGACGGAGTTATTCGGCAGTGGGTCTACGGAGTGGAGTTGTCTCATGCAAGCCAGATGGTGGCTTCTGGGTCCTGACGGAGTTAATCGGCAGGGGGTCTTCACTAGTCTCACGCAAGTCGGAGAACTTGATCAAGGGGCTGACGATTGAGGACTCTGCTCAGCCTGCTGTAGCATCCTCTCACCCTGGGGCCCCTCCATCCTCGAATTTATTGCTGGCCTCATATTTGACCGCGCAGCATGGTATTCAACGAGCCATCCGTTGAAGGGCAAGCGATAAAGGAGCCAGAAAGCAACACGGGCGAGGCGATTGAGGATGGTTTCCACATGACTACGAAGCAAACCCTCTCGTTCTCCGCGATGATGAGCCTCAGCCTGATGGCTGCACTTGATGGCTCTTCGATCTCTGTCACATTGCCGGTGAGTGCGCCGCCCCAAGGACTCTCTCTTGTTATGCTTACACTGTGAGAAGGCTATCGCCAATGATTTAGATGCTTCTGTCATAGAGGCCTTTTGGACAGGAACTTCTTATCTCTTGTGTTGTGCCAGTGAGTGGAAGAACCTATTTCGAGCCCGATCTTGTGAGACTAACACGAGGACAGTTTTCCAGTCAGTCTTCGGGTCTCTCTCTGGGCTTTTTGGTAGCAAGATCTTCATCCTACTGGCTATACTATTTTTCGCCGTTGGAGCTCTCGTGGCAGGCACTGCGCACAATGTGTTTCGTCTTCTCCTCGGTCGGTCCTTGCAAGGAGTTGGAGGCGGTGGTTTGATCACCCTGACCGGTGTGATGATTGCAGATTTTGTTCCTTTGAAAGAGCGCGCAAAGTACTTTGGCATTCTCAGTGCTATGTGGGCTCTGGGCTCTGTCGTTGGCCCTGTTATTGGCGGATGCTTTGCAGAGAAATCAACCTGGGTAAGTGGAAGATGATGATGAAGACGATGTTAACTGAGGAGTTAGCCCTCTGATACTGTCTCTAGCGTTGGATCTTCTATATCAACTTCCCTTTCATCGGCCTCGGGGCTAGTCTGCTCGTCTTTTGTTTCCCAAATTCGCATCGTACCGATACATTCTGGGTTCAACTCAAGCAAATTGACATTCTAGGAATGTCTCTGTTCATCCCGAGTATCAGCTTCTTTCTGATCCCCCTCTCTTGGGGTGGAATCATGTACCCCTGGGGTTCGTGGCAAACAGTAGTCCCATTGATTGCCGGGGCTCTAGGTCTCGTCGCTTTTGCATCGTACGAGTCCCGAGGTGTTTTGCATCCGCTGATTCCACCGGTCCTGTTTCGAGATCGATCCAGAGTTATTTCTCTGCTTGGTTTCTGTGCCCTCGGCTTTTTGCTCTGGTGTGGCCTGTACTATCTCCCGCTCTACTATGAGGCAGTCCAGGGATACAACCCTATAGTCACCGGCGTGGCCCTGTTCCCTGCTACATTAACTGTAGCTCCCATTGCCGCCATCACAGGATTCGCCATCACCGCAACCGGTCGATGCCGATGGGCTATTTGGGGAGGTTGGACGCTGTCGACCCTAGGTTTCGGAATTCTCTGTCTTCTGCAAGTCGACACGAGTATTCCTGCTTGGATCTTCCTGGACCTCGTGTCTGGCATTGGACTCGGCATAGTTGTTCCCGCTGTAGCATTTGCCGTTCAGGCCTCTGTCCCAACGGAACTCGTGCCACAAGCCATCACCCTTTCTACTTTCTTTCGGAGCTTTGGACAGTCGCTGGGGGTTGCGATTGGTGGTGCAATCTTCGAGAACCGCGTTAGCGCGACCCTTTCAGCCAATCCACATCTAATTGCGCTTGCGAGTCAGTACAGTCACAACGCCTTTGGTGTAATCGCGCTGCTGCAGAAGACGGACGAAGAAACTAGATACGAGATTCGATCTGCGTACGTGGAAAGCTTGCGCACTGTGTGGGCGGTTGGCTGTGCAGTGTCGGGCCTTAGTCTGATTGCAAGTCTGTTTATCAAGTCTTGTCGGATTAGGTAGATCACGCGATATTCTCGGCCTGTCAGTCAGGTAAGGAAGAGGGTAACAGTGTGAATTGGTGCAAAACTGTTTCTTGAGGATCCCTCAAGAAGTCATTCGATCTTAGGGTATTTATTCTGCGATACACTGTGGCCTGGCTGTCCCAATCTAGTTACATGATGCGAGCTGAACTCCAGAAGAAGCAAAGGGTGGATTGTGTAACATGAGGGAGGGGTAGCGTGTGGGTGTGCAGACGGACCGGTCCTTCGGGCGAGAGCCCACGACGGGTAGCCGATCCCCTCTCGATCCAGAGGATATATACTCAAAGTACAGTCATATTTCAAGAGTATTTGCACCCCAGTACTTCCGCTCCACAAAACTTCTGCCGGTCAAAACCTCCTATTCACGTTTCTGCTACCTAATACCTAATAACTAGTATACCACCCTTCGTACTTGATAATATTAGCGACGCGGTGAGGCATAGTCTCCGCAAGGTGGACAAAGTGATTCCAGTCAAGATTTTCCCACGCGATTTGAGCTGTTTCTAGGAGTATTTCCCACGTAGAATCGTTATTATGCATCGTCTTTAGATCAGGACGCAGTTTCATGATTTCAGCTTTTAATAACGCCCAGAGATTCTCAATTGGGTTTAAATCAGGCGAATAGGGAGGCCATTCCATAACCTCAATGCCTAATTCCTGCAGTAGATCGCGGACAATTCGCGCAGTATGCGTAGGTGCGTTATCATGTTGAAAAATCCCATCGTTATTTGCGAGTAACGTTGGAAGCATTCGTTGATATAAATCGTGAATAACAAAGCGATTAACACCACCACGCGCCGAATTAGGGTCTCCGAATAGTGGAATTAATCCGGTTTTGCGTGGATATCCAGAGAATGCAGCCCAAAACATCTGCTTTATTTGCTTTCCCTTCGTAAGTCTTGTCTGAATCTCTTTCTCCCGTAGCTGGTCTTTCGGACGGATAAAGGTCCACTCCTTTCGTTCGCCAATTCCACGCTCAACCGTACACTCATCAGACCAAAAAACACGCTTCCAGTCCTCGGGAGTATAATTCTCATAGGTTCGGGCCCATTGAAGTCGTTTTGCGGCATGTTCGGGGAGTAACATAGGCCGATCGAGCTTTCGCCACTTTCGAAATCCCATTTCATGGGTTAAACGTAGGCTTTATCAGGGCCCACGAATGGGCCGAGGACTTCGGCCCATGGCCCAACCCACGGTGGGCTTGGGCCCTAACCACCAGCCCAAGACCCAACCCCCAGCCCACGATGGGCCCCCATTGGGGGCCCATAGAAGCCCATTTTTGCATAAAATCAAGGTCTTGGCGTTCATAAAACTGCTGAATCATCATAATAAAATACTGTCATTTTTCGCCGTTCTAGTTCTTACTCTTATTAACAGGACTTCCTTCTCTAAAATGAATGAAATGTAGGTTAATATTTGCATGATCAACCTGAAGCAACCCGTTACCAATTAACTACTACCTAAATTCAATACTATCACTTATTATGGTGGTGTTTGGATAGTCGCAAGAGTCATGGGGTCTGAACTTCCAGAGATATATTTTTGGCGAAGTGTATCTTTGACACTGAACAAATTATACTAGCGACTATTCTTATTCTAGATTCCGTGGACATACAATCTGTACCATTATTGCACAAAGCGTTATATTCTAAATTAAATGAGTCTCTTCTTTAATCATAAATTAATATCGAAAGAGGGTGATAAGATGAGTGGAAAATTGTCGGCTGCTTTTACTCTCAGGGTGAAATGAAAATTTTGAAGATTCTGGAGATAGGAATGGGCTGGGAATGGGCTAATTATGGGCTCTTATGGGCTCTAGTGGGCTATCAATGGGCTCTTATGGGCTCTGGTGGGCTATTAATGGGCTTTCGTGGGCTCTGGTGGGCTGTAGTGGGCTTTGAGGAGCGGCCCACTTAAACCCGTGATATCTAACCAATTAGCGATTATCTTGATATATCAGAAGTACTTGTTTCCTGAACTCGGTGTTTACCACTAAGTCAACACGTCTCCTAGCCTTAGTATGTATCCCCTTTCTCCTTTCCTACCCTTTCCCTTCCTAACACCTTATTTCAAATCCTCATCTTTCTACTACCATGTCAGAAAGCCAGCAATCTGACTTCGCGTCGTCGCTTTATGACGGAGATATAGATACTCTTGCTTATCTTGCGCCTTCAAATCGACCAGTTACTCCAGGTCCATCTAGCAGTCAGCAAACATTTGATGCCTTTGACTCTGAATTCCTCCGTCCAGTTATCCCACTTGTGGTTCCATCTTCTCTTACACGCGTTGGTCCTGACCGAAGAAAGGCATTTGTTCTTTATGACGAAATGACTCATAGTGATTGGGTGGACTGGTGGTTACAGACTGACTATGGAAGAAAGAGCAAGATACATTGGGATTCAAGTCATCAGTCAGATATTTGGAGCCACTTTCACCAAGTGGCACATGGAACAGATGGCTCGCCAAAGGTTATGTGTAAACGCTGCGGTCAGATTCTTGAGCATCCTTATTCTCTAAGTAAAGGAGCCGACGGGAAGGACCAGCGTCATGGCTTATCAACGATGAAAAGACATCTCACGACCGCTGGGTGTCAAAAAGCCAATAAAGGACACAACGCAGAAATCACTGAATTTCTCAAGAAGGGTGTAGGTTATACTACGTATAATTATTATTATTACTTTGCTAATCCACTTTGGCTACTTTAGGATGATACTCCGACCGAAGCTACTTTTTCGCAAGAAGGCTGGGAAGAAGAGATCTTATCGTTTCTATCTATGAATCGGCTTCCATTTCATCTCATTGAGCACCCAACGTTCAAGAGCCTAATCAATATGGCTCGCTCTGCCCTATCTCCTCCTATAATCCCCTCCGCAATGACAATCCGTCGTCGGCTAGAAAGCTTAGTCAGGGATCGGCAACAGCGTATTCTTCGGATGCTTCCTGCTGGTTGTAAGCTATCTATCGCGCTTGACTGCTGGACATCCCCATTTTCTCAGGCTTTTATGGCGATCACTGGCTATTTTATCGATGCGGATTGGGTCTATCGGGAGGTATTGCTTGATTTCAAACCTATTTATGGGGCGCATACTGGTGCAAACTTGAGTAGTGTTCTTGTGGAAACCCTCGTGAAGCATAGGATTGAAGACCGGGTGTTTGGTTTGACTACGGATAACGCATCAAACAACAAGACATTAGTTGATTCGCTCCAGCAAGCTTTATCGGATGGTGTTCTTATTATCCGGATTCCGTGCCTTGCACATATTATCCAGCTCAGCCTTAACCAGCTTCTTGGTCATATCAAGGCAGTCCCATTAAACGACACAGCTGGGACAAAGTGGACAGAGCAACAGTCTTTAATGGCCCAGGTAAATGCACAGCACCGGAAGCGAGAGATCTTCTACACATTGAATAAGATCCGCTATCTTGCGATCTACGTGAACGCAAGTTCTCAGCGTCGGGAGACATTCAGTAATCTCCAGACTAAGGACACAAAGCTTATGCCGATCCAGGATGTGAAGACTCGGTGGAATTCAACATTCCTAATGCTTCGTCGTGCAAAGCGGCTCTGTGCTATCTTTACACCCTTCTGCGTTGAGTATGATCGTGAGGATCTATTACTTAATAATGAAGAGTGGCGTCAGGTCGACTATCTTCTTTGCATCACTAAGCCATTCTTTGACTATACCACTCAGCTTTCAAAGACTCGAGATATCGCTGCGCATTATGTGTTCAGAGTTTACAACAAACTCTTTGAACATCTTGAACAGTCAATGAAGCAGCTCCGGCGAAAGCGTGTCCCCTGGAAAAAACATATGCTTGACGCACTCGAAGCTGGTCGATTAAAGTTGGATGAGTATTACTCTCAGACTGATAACGTTCGAGGGCATATCTATGCGGTCAATACAATGCTTGCGCCTGTCAACAAGTTTCAGTTCTTTCTGACTGATGATTGGGATCAAAAGTGGCGCGATACTTATCGCAAATCCTTTCAAGAAGCTCTCGCTCCATACCAAGATCGTCTTTCTAATACTCAAGGCTCACAAGTCTCTGAAGTAGCAGTCAGACCAAGTTCAAAACTTGACAAGATGTTGAATGGAAGTAAAAAGCAGCCAAAGGCAGCCGCTGATGAAATGACACAATATCTTGACAGTGGTATGTTTTAACGTAATTCTGATTTAAATAGTATTAACCGATTAATAGATACAATTGATATCGGGGCTCTTGCGTTCTGGAGAGAAAATCAGTGCCGCTTTCCGGCGATTGCAGCTCTTGCGCGAGATGTTCTCTCAGTTCCAGCAACCGGTGCTGGTGTTGAACGACTGTTTAACACTGCTCGAGATATCTGTCATTATCGACGAGGAAGGATGAAATCCGAAACAATTCAAGAGCTGATGATGTTCCTTTGTACTTCAAGATTTGATCTTGAAGAGAAGGAGTCTCATCGGCTAGAGAAATTCTTCTCTCGTGAAGAGATTGAAGCAGCAAAGGAAGAGAAGGACGAAAGGATTGATGAGGTTGAAGTGGAACCAATCAGTGATACTGAGGAGTCAAATAATGAATTGAATAATGAGATAGTGGCAGAAGTGGCTCCTTCTTCTACTATCCAGGACCACACTGAGCCCGAACTGCCAGAGAATAACACTCAGCTACGGGCTTCAGGACGGAAGCGTAAGAGTCGAGAGGATGATGCGTTTGAGTATCATTGATTTGTGATAATTATTCCAATCTATTCATTTTGAATTCAAGCTGTAATCTTAATCTCAATTGCTTCAAAATTTTCCAATCGAAAGACGAGATGTAAAGGAAATACTTAATATTACAGCCAGAAATTGCATAAATTATGCAGTCACGGAACCTAGGCATGTTTGTACTGTTTGTGGCCCAATTGGGGGCCCAGAGCCCATCATGGGCTAAAGGTCTCGGCCCATGGCCCACTGTGGGCTATAGAACTCGGCCCAAAGCCCAACCCATTCGTGGGTTGGGCTGGGTTGGGCCTGGGCCGACGTGGGCTCTGATGAAGCCTAAGTTAAACGCCAAATTGAGGTTGCTTTCACTTTATAATCAACCTCAGCAAGTAGATCTTCACGTGTAATCGAAGGGTTTTGCATAATTGCATCGTACACACGGTCTCGGTCTTCTTCAGTAAGCTTTCGTGGACCACCGCAGCGTGGTCGCGAGTGGTTATTGTTGTAAATACAAAAGGAAGCTTGACTTTCTTCTTGAGGAAATACATGAGGCTATATATACAGCATGAAGTCCAAGTTGATTTCCAATCAACTTGGTTCTTCCTATACATAGAGCAGGAATTATTTCCGATGTTGCGGCTTCATTCCTGAGCAGCAAGTGCCAGGTATCACAACATTCCCCCTCAGGATCGCCTTGCTAGCGAGGCGATACTGAATATATGCACATCGGTCAGGCCTCGGTAAAACCACTCAAAACCTCGAAGAGGAGAAATAGTGGAAAGAGCGCCATCCCTGTTACACATCTTCCTTCATGTGTTCTTCAGTGCAGATTCCCAAAAGCTTGCAGAACTTGATAAATGGAGAAGGCCCCAAAGGCTTGGTGAGTCCATCAGCTGCTTGTTCCTCGGTTGGAATATATTCGAGACTAATCTCTCCTGAATTCAGAACAGCTCGCTGGTAATGGAACTTCACGTTGAAATGCTTCGTTCGTTTGTGAAATTCAGGATTACGGGAGAGAGCAATGGCGGATTGGTTGTCAGCCATGATGTTGGTCACCGGCGATCGAAACAGGTCGGTCTCTGCCAGGAACGTGCGGAGCCATTGTAGGTGAAGGATGGCATTGTATTGGCCAATATACTCGGCGTGAGTCGTGGACGTCGCTACTTCCCCCTGTCTTTTGGACGACCAGGAAACTGGTGCTCCCGCAAGTTTGAACACATAGCCGGACGTGGAGTATGCACCATCAGTGACGACCGAGCCACCAAAGTCGGCATCGGTGTATCCGATCAACTGCCCGCTGCGGTATGTGATGCGATAGAATTGTGTGGCCTTGACATAGCGTAGCAGTCTCTGCAGTGCGGCTTGGTGATGCGACTGCGGTCGGGATGTGAAACGACTCAACGTCCCAAGCGCAAACGCGATGTCAGGGCGCGTACCGACCATAAGATACATCAGTGATCCGATTGCGGTCCCGAACCGAGCCTTCGTATCTTCATCCAGGTCGCTCCCGTCGGGAAGGTTATTCAGGAGAACTTTCGGAGCCATCGGTGTAGACTTCGGTTGACAGGTCTCCATGCAAAAGTCGGAAAGGACCTTTTGGATGTATTGATGTTGGTGAATCGAAATCGATCCATCCACATGGAAGTCGAATTGGATTCCAAGGAAGAAGCGCGGGGTTCCCAGATCGTTCAGCTTGAACTCCGATTCCAGGGCTCTTCGAAGTTGCTGGATCTCGGCGTCATCCGCGGCTGCAACCAGAAAGTCATCGACATAGACGCAGACGACACAGTTAGGCTTATAGAAGACGCAATTGTCGGACTGGGCCATAGTAAAGCCGTGAGCTACCAGGACACGGTGGACGCACTGGTACCAAATCCGTGGTGCCTGCTTCAGTCCGTATAAGGAGCGTCGAAGACGACAAACGCATCCGTCTTCCTCAAAGCCTTCTGGAAGCTTCATGTAGATAGACGAATCGACATCACCGTGGAGGAACGCAGTGACGGCATCGAATTGGTGGAGTTTCCACCCACGCAGCACGGCACTCGCAACGATGCTGCGGACCGAATCCATTCGGGATACAGCCGCGAAGGTTTCGTGATAGTCGATACCATGTTTCTGTCGGTAGCCTTTGATCACCAATCGCGCTTTCCGGATTCCATTAGTCTTCGTCTTGAATACCCACTTGCAGCCAATAATCCGATCCCCGGGGGGAACTTCATTTCGTGTAACTTTCTCCCATGTGCCATGTTCTAGAAGAGAAGCGTATTCTTTCTGGATCGCTGCCCACCATTCCAGCTGATTGGGTCCTGACACAGCTTCGTGGAAGGTCAGAGGATCCACGTCTTTTGCGACAGTTGCATTCAATGTCCCTGTCGCATACACCTTTCCTAGAGACTCCAAGAGACGCCTGGAAGTTCTTCGTCTTCGGCCATACAAAGAATAACCAAGGTCCTGTGTGGCCTCTGTTTCGTGCTGGATTGGATTGACTGGTGAGGGAACATCAACCGGTTCAGAATCAGTCGGCACGTTATCAACTCGCTCACAAGGAGCAGCGTTCTCTAGTTTGTCAGGAGATGGCGGCGGCGTAGGTGGCCCACCAGATGGAGGCAGCATTGGTTCAGGAAAGACAGGTGCTGGAGGAGCGTTGTCCGGGAGGTCGTTGCCTGTTTCCCCCTCGATGAGTGGCGCCACAGGGGTCCTTTCATCGAACTCGACATCACGGGAAAAGATGGTCCTTCCAGAGTGTACTTCATAAAGCTTGTACTGATTGGGTTCGCAGTACCCGAGCAGTCGGCACTCAGACGATCGTGGTCCGATCTTCGCCCGATGCTCTTTAGGGATCAATACCCATGCGCGGGAGCCGATCCGTCGTAGATGCAACAGCTTGGGTGGCTTCCCGTAGATGACTTCATACGGTGTCTTCTTCTGTAGGATTGATGCTGGCGCGCGCAGCTTAAGATAGACTACCGTGTCTAAGAGCTCGGTCCACCAGGAAGGAGGAAGTTTCGCATCGGACAGGAGCGTGTTGATCCGCTCCCGGATAGTGCGATTCGTGCGTTCCGCCAGCCCGTTCTGCCCTTTGCAGTATGGCGGCGACGTGTCAAACTCAACTCCCTGGGACTCGAGGTGTGTTCCGATCGGCAAGTATTCTCTCCCATTATCGGTGAGGAACCTTTTGATCTGTGCGCCGAACTGTCGGTGCACCCAGGCCTCGAATTGTCGAAACTTCTGCAGCGCTTCATATTTCCATCTCATGGCATAGGCCCAGGAGCCGCGCGAATAATCGTCAGTAAAGGTGATCACGTACCTAGAGCCATCTTTAGCAACTGGCATTTCCATAATGTCCGAATGGATCATTTCAAAGATTCTTGACGAGTGCAGACGTGGCCGTCTTGCACGGGAGCTCCTCTTCTGATGCTGCTTGCCCGACATGCACGCTGGACACTGCGGCGTTGCCAGCAGTTCGCTGTGCGTCAGTGGTCGGTACGGAGTGCCGGTCTGCCGGAGGATCACCCTTAAGTCACCCCGGTTCAGATGTCCCATCCGAGCGTGCCATAATGCTTCGGAGGCCTGGTTCACTCCTGTGCACGCATCTTCTTCGAGTATCCGAGCTTCACCACCGAGTTCAGAGGTTGGCGATGCGCATCCTACGCCACTTGACTCCTGAGGGTCGTCGACATCCATGGCCACCGCCTGCGGTTCCAGGGAATCTGCATGCCCACGGTTTGTCGGCGCCCTCGCCAGTTGGACTCGCTCTCGGGATCTTGGGCTCACATGGCACCGCAGGATCAACAGATCCTCCTCCGCATGGTAGGCAGTCCCCACGGTTCGTCCTCGGCGCTGCACAAAGACGTTCTGTGGGTGCGCCACCACCGAGTAACGGTCGCGTAATAGCTTCGGCACGCTGATCAGGTTCATCCCGATGCGTGGCGCGAAATACACGTTCTTCAACACCAGGGGGTGGCTGGACTTCCCCCGGAGCGTGAGCTTCACCGTACCAATCCCTTCGGCTTCCACTGGATCGCCCGCCGTGTCCAACATCTCACGGTATGGCCGCAAGCTAACAAAGCAGCTCCGATCCCAACAGATGTGGCTGGTGGCGGCCGAATCCAGGATCCACCGAGAGGAGGAAGCCGGCGCGTGGGTATAAAGGGTCGTCACCCTCGCCCTCACGATATTGATCCGCGGTCTCTTGGAAGTCGTCGGGCCCTGCCGTTCTTCCCTCTGGCTTACTGGTATGGTTTGCAAATTGTGTCTTGGTGAGCCAGAAACACTCCTTTCCGTCTTTAGGGCATGGTCCCTTGGTGGTTGCTGTTCGCGCTGTTTCTTCCAGCAGTCCACGGCCACATGGCCGCGCTTCTTACAGTAGGTGCATTTCTTTGCGGTCTTCTGCACCGTATTGATAGAGGCGTTGTTTGAGGGGCCTGACACTCCGTGCGGGACCGTAGCAGCGTCCTTTCGCTGCACCGTCTGCTCGGCGTTGGCGAGACGGTTTCCAATCGTCGTTGGATTGACCGGGTCCTTGTCGTTCTGGATGGCATCCACGACGAGGACGTATTCCGGTCCGATTTGGGTCAACAGAATCGCGATGTGTGTTCGGTCACCGATGGATCCCGGAGCAATGGCATTCAGCCGGTGTACCAGCAACCGCACACGATCGACTAATTCCCGTGTGCTGGCGCATCGGGCGGCCGTGGTTTCGCGAAGCTGGGCGAACAGCTCGCAAAACGTGGCCAGCTCCATACGCCGATATCGTTCTTCCAGCTCATTCCAGAGCTCCCGGGATGTCTCCAGTCCCGCGACGTGCACACTGATATTGGGCGATATATACCGGAAGATGATATGGTAGGCCTCGGCTTCGCGCCGCGACCATTCCTTATGACGCTCGAAAGCTTGGACCTCCACTTCGAGGCGTGCTTCGATGGCCCTCTGCCGCACCGCCCCATTAAGGTGGGGCTCCACAAGCGGAGTGATATCCGCCGTGATTGGCTTGGCATATTTGAACTGGCAATCTGGACGCTGGAGGTCGCCCGACACCACATCCCAGACCTGCCTGGCTTTCAAGTAGGAAGTCATGAGGCGCTTCCAGGTAGCGTAGTTATCGCTTCCTGTCAGAGGCTCAATGGCTGTGACGGCTCGGTCNGTAATATCACGGATGGTAGACCTTATCAAGGGTGTTGAAGATGCTGCGTCCACGACACCCAATATTGAAGGACTTGTGAAACTTATAACCGATCAAAGGATTAAGAAGCTTTCAGATATCGTCGAAATACTCCAAGTCACAAAAGACCTTCCAAATCTTGTCAAAGATCTGCATGACCAATTGCCTACTGTTGGGCAGTTTGTACTGGCCCTCAACCAAATGGCCCAGGCAAGCAGCGACAGTATCGCCAGTATTTTGTCGGATTCCTGGAAACAGCAGGCGGATGTCATGAGCGATGAGACCCGCCAAAACATAATTTCAATACAGTCTAAGTTCCGAGATCAGATATCACCGACTATTGCAGATATAAAAACGAAGATCTCGGCCATTCAAGATTTTGTATCAGCCTTACCATTCAATGGTGGAGCGCCGAGCAGCAAGGTCAAAGTAGCGAGCTATGGACGGTGGAGCCCGGTTGCGATGAACATGCCATGTTCCAGGTGGGCAACCCAACAGTACGAAGCTTCGGGTTTCAAAGGATCATTTGGCTATCCCCAGTTCTACAACTGTCTCTACCAAGAGACAATCGAGTGGCCAAATCATCATATACCGTATATCAAGGTACAATTTGTTTGACTGCCGTGACGAGTATGTTTATTATTTGGGACGCTACTTGAACTTATTTGGGGAGGTCAAGTAATTAGAGATTACGCTGCGTTTCTTGTGAGAACAGGATTATTTGGGGTTAATGAATGGGGTTGTTCTGTATATTTTGGATAGGCTGCTGTTGCCAGATTCGTTTATACTCCTGACGTCTCGTTCTTCGCGCAACAAATTGTATTGCAAGCTTGCGCACACCTCTTGCGTGCAGCTATTTTGCCGGGACCCTCAATCATCATAAAACCTATCACGAGTTCTACATATCTTTAGGCGGCCCATTTGAAGTATCTAGGATGAAAGTATCTTCGCGAGAGGATCATATTAGAATATCAACCCACAAGCAACGAATTTTAATGCTGCACACGGAGTTGCGCAATGAATATTTTCTGTGAAACAACCCATCCAACAACATACGCCAAGTGATAAGGTTAAGAGTTAAGGTAACCTTAATGTCGGTTAGGCTTGTCTCGCCGATCATGCGCACGCGCCAGGCTGCGGAGGTTAATAGGGATTACGAGTGCAAAAACCTCAAATGGTGGCTTTTGACGGCAGAATCCCCTCTTGGCTGACATGATAATTACCAGTCGAGCGTTATCAGACCTAGAGTAATATGTAACGTCTTTTTCTAACCCATGGGGGGAAGTGGGACGCAGCGCATCCCTACTGTCATATTTGTTGTAAATACAAAAGGAAGCTTAATTCTTCTTCTTGAGGAATACATGAGGCTATATATACAGCATGAAGTCCAAGTTGATTGGAAATCAACTTGGTTCTTCCTATACATAGAGCAGGAATTATTTCCGATGTTGCGGCTTCATTCCTGAGCAGCAAGTGCCAGGTATCACAACAGAAATCGATATTACTGAACACAGAATTCCCTGCGCTTTCCAGCTCGGCAATAAAATAGGTGTGCATTTTTTGAAGCTCAGAATCACCTTGTCTTCGGCAGCATGGAGATTGTGCTCATGTGTCACGTGATGAAGAGCAGCAGGATGTTCCCCAATGGGGAAATAAGGTGCACCAATGTGGTTCAGAAATCAACAACCACCTGAAGAGATGCATCTTTCCCTCTTTGGACGGCTCTAACAAGACTAGTATCGGCTCGATACTGCTAGAGATGACGCGTTTTTGGAAAGAGATGGCAAGGGAGTGGCACCTTTCATGGCACCTCCCGGACTTCAGAGTTCGGAGAATGACTGATGTAACCAAGCAGTGATGCTGCTCATTTGTTTCGAAACTCGAAGCCCCATGGCGCCTAGAGATGCCAGAGATGCAATGATCAGGTATGTGCTTGGGTATAGATTCTGTCGCATTTTGATAACTGATGCAGACAGACCACGAACACAATCCGGGACAGCCTCGGCAAGCGCCAGGCACGCCTGCCGGACACGCTGTGTGGCACATGCTGCGTGCCCACTACCCCACCCGGACCGTCGAAGAGCAGCTGCAAGAGCTGTTTAAGGATGCAAAGCCCTGCGTCGTCCCAGACACAACATTCGCAAGAACAGTCGACCGAGCGTTGCGAGCCTGCTTTGCTCTGCTGAAATTCACCGACCATATTCAGGTTGCCTACGTCGAAGGCTCGACCGGAAAGTCGACGTATAGTTTGATAAGGGACAGGATATGCTTAATATACATTGCCGATGGTTGGACTCTGCTTGTACGCACCACCGGTCGTTCTACCGGCCGTGGTCTCCGAACAACCTCGCCGACCCGAACGCCCCGTTCTTCTGCTGTCATGTGGTGGAAGAGCTCTTGGTCCGATCCATTGCATTCATGTTCAAAGTACATCCGACGTGTCGACTAGCAGAAATAAAGTTCATGCGTCAAATTGGACGGCGACTACGATATCTGCCGCACAGCATCAAGTTGAAGCCATGGGGCCATTCTGGTCAGTTGGGAAGACAATGAGACGGAATTCTTCGCACACTCGGCTCCAGCGGCCCGGACTACCATGTTGTGCTTCATGATGACAAACGTGCGAATGCTGAGACAGCGCTTCTCCATGAGAAAGCAGGTAAGTGGTCATTAATCATCCATGGAACAATGCTGACCCCTTTGGTACAGCCCTCCCCAACGACGTGGTGCCCTGTGGCTGCCGCCAGCAGTTCGCTCGTCAGACACACCGAATGTGCGTCTTTAGCGGTCTGTCACACACATCGACATATTGTACCATGATTGCAGATCGACTTTTTATGGAGTGCCGTCTGATTGACTATCGCCATGGTCGTATGCGAATGTGGAAAATCTTTCCAGTAGAACATTCGGAAAGTGGTTCGCTCTGCGTTCTGCAGTATCTGATGATCTGACAGGAAGGTGCTGGGTGACCACTGTTACCAGAAGATAAGCGGTATGATCATTGATATGGAACTTAGCACATTCTATGCTAACATTGCATGTATAGAGGCCTGTAATATCCCTGGTCATTTCTTCTAATGTCTAGTCTCCCTGATACTCTATCCGCCTAACAGTGGCCCATATCCAGGTAGCCTTGCGTTCATGTTCGGTTCATAAGCTACAACCGGCCCAATTCATGGTACCGGCCAGACGAGCTGATCGACACTGCGACCTGGGCTAGGTGCTCGTCTGTGGCGCGATGACACTGACTGCACCAGTTAACGATCTACCCCTTTCTGCTGAGGGCTATCCGTGGTATCCGTACGTCCCGTCCCTCAAGCTACGTGTATCTCCGAGTCTTCACGTGCCAGGTTAGGATTTACTCTCATTCTCGGTGAGCAGGGCAGGACATCTGGAGCCTCGTCGCTTCGGCTACATCGAGTGAGCTCTCATAGGAGAACAGGCCCGACATCATGCTTCAGCCATCTTCCCCACCGCTCGGATGAGCTAATCCCCGGCACTGTTTACGTCGCAGGATCACTCTGGTCCACCTGCTTTACATAGTCTCCTAAACAAACAGACAAGAGACAGCCGATGTCTCGTCGCTAGGAGACTACAGTTCTTTTGCATCCCCATCCCGATATTGAATCCCGACAGGTAGTTAGCCGAGCCGGCAAGCTACACCAAGGAGCGCTATGTTCGTATCATCGATGCCGTGACCTATCAGACGAATCTATCCGAAGGCCCGAGAGGAAGCGGGTACGAACTAGAAGCGTTGGTTTATCCTTGTTTTGGGGTGTGACTCCACTGGCCAGAAGGACAGCTACCTGTCGATTGCTGGCCCTGGTCCGCGTCGATATCAGGTGCTACTCCAGCGACTTCGGGGTATGCCTGTCTTATTCCCGGTGCACACAAGCAGCCAATCACCACTGCTGACGGGCAGCCTGTCACGGCCGGTGCCATCTGGAACATAAAATTGCCCACGATATCACATCAAGTTGGTCGTAATGTATCGGCAGGCCGTGTGGCGATTTTGCCAATTGCTTCCTAGATGGAGTGCTTGCATCGCATAGCCGCCTTGAGGGATCCACAGCAAGGTCGAGCCTTGGCTGAGAGCAGACACCATCTCATTCGTATAGGATCGTTGTAAAGACGTCTAATCTTGGCCTACCGGTCCTAGCATGCTTTTATAGACCCAGGTGTTATCGTCCGTGAGGGTTGATGTTGGTAATGAGACCTCAAGCTGCGAAGATTCTGTCATCACTGCTCCCAATTGCCGGGGTCTTTCGTAATTCCACAGCTCATCCTATGGACAACCGCTACATCAGAGCGTAGGGCCAAGTCCTGATATTCTGGAATGAAAATTGGGCGGGTCAACTGGGCTACGTCTCTACATAACCCGTCTCTTCTGCAGATGACCTGAAATAATCGCTGGATCTTCTTGGGTGTTGAAATATTTAAACCAACGTTGAGATGTTTAAACGGGTGTTGAAATGGTGTTGAAGAGAATCAACGGACCTGGTCACACCTCGATTGCACCCGTGGTTCGCCTTTTTTACCAAGATACACCCACCCTTATGGAATTTTCCCTTTTCTGCGGTGAAGGCACTGTTCCATGGGTCCTTAAATGTTCCGCAAAACCAGTACACAAAATCCCTGGCCTCCGATCCACGCAGTTTCCTTTTACAAAGATTTATTGTCAGCTTGACGTCTGCGAAAGCTTATAAATAATCAGCCTTGCCCATCTCATTCACTCAGTCTCATTCAGAATGGCAAATCGCATTACCAAGACCCCTACCTTTCAGCCAGGTCATTTTACCGCCAAGCTAGCCAAAGCTCTCGAAGATGAAGCTAAAGCAAAAAAACGCGCTCGTCATGAAGATGCGGCCGAATGGCAATCTAAGTCGTCCGGATCCATACAATTGGAGCCTGAAAGCCATAATGGCAGCAAAGCTATACACCAATCCGATCGAGAAACGGAACTGGTCGATTCTTCACCAGACAGACTGCACCAGTCTACAAGACATGCGAACCACCGGTTAGTAAAAAGGCGAACGTCAATGTACTTCTGTTCCTCAATTCTGATTAATCTTGCTCAGACCTTCAGAGCAAGTGAATCAAGGTCCCTTCAAAGCTCTATCCAGAAGAGCGATGCAGATAGAACGAGACAGAGAGTGGGAAAGCAAAGCTTCTAAGCGACGACTCAAACGAGATATGACTGGTGAAATTGAAATTCTGAAGAGCGAGATGGAAGATCTTAAACAAATGGTCATCTCTCTACAGCCCCTCCTGTCTGAGCGAGGCAGAGGGAAGCGGGTCACTTTCCAAGACGAACTCAGATAGCCAAATACGCCCTGACGAGGATTTTCGACGCTATAAAAATCTTCCCTTTTATTCTAAAGTGTAACAGTGAGCTTCTTCGCAAAGCATACTCTCCAGTAAACTCATTCATCTACTCATTGCGTAAATACTGGAAGTGAAAAATGATTGTCAATGGATTGCTAGTGTTTCTAGGGCAGTCTCCAATAACAGACGGGCGCAACCCATATGACTGAAGTTGCTGCTCCTCCGTAACTTCTAGCAACAGTTGCGTTGTTATGGCTCATCGAATCCACTTCTCCACGATAAACAACAATACCTTGGAAATAACTTTGGATCAGGAACAACGCAAGTATTCGAACAGCCAAGGTCTGGATTGACCGCGCTCCGCTACGAAGTAGGACACTCGTAGGTATTTTCGCCGAGTGCTTATTGCACCTAGCAACCGTGTGCATCCAGGGGAATGCAGGGGAGCTTTAGGAGAAATGCCATACAGTATCCGAGTCCAATTATCCAATTCTGCCCCGACTGTCACACTGTAACTAGTACTATTAACAACATACCGAATGTCAATAGAGACTGAATGCATCTAGGCCATTGAGGACAGGAGTCCTCAATGGGATGATGCGGGCGTCGCGACAATTCTGGGAAGCACTGAATAGAAAATGAATGAGCAGCGGTTCTTTAGTCTAACAAGGCCCTTGGAATTAATATGATTCATTCTACCTACTTGAAAATCCGGGACAGCCATACTATTGGGAAACGCACGTGAACCAAATCTTTTGGCCGTTGTAGCAGTACTCCTCTGCGGATCGCTCTTTGCAGATCGCTTTGTGTACCATGGATCGTACCTGGAGAACTTTTCCAAATACCAAGTGGGTCTCACCGTTGAGTTGATGGCAAGGTAATTGAGTGTCAATATTTTGGGGCTGGGTTGGGATGCGTGTCGAATGCGGGCGGGATCGTCTTATTTGGTGAGAAGCTCGGTCGACTCTGGAGCGTCATCTTCGGTACCAACAGCCAAGAACAAATCCATGCTTCTTCGCCAGCGAGATTGTTATCTATTGCCCATAACCAACCCATCATTCCAGCTTTGTCAGGGCCGAGTGGGATGACCTATGTAGTACTAGCCCAAATGTACACGCTGGACATTGGAGCACTTCGAACCCCTTCCCTCCTCGCTAATGAAAATTGAAGACATATTGCTCATAGCACTGTTGTAAGCACAGAGTATGACAATCCGACGAACTCTAGTGTTCGTATTTCTTAAGCCAACTGCTTTTCTCGGATGCGTATTGGAGTACGCCGGTCTTGGAAATTAAAGTACTAAATACAGCCACAACCTCGTGATTTTATATTAATTTCTCTCGAGGTATACGTGGACCTGTCCGTGATGATATGATGGCAATAACTGCCCGGGTCCGACTTGATAGCAGAGCTCAACGACCCAGAACTCGGCCAGACCATGATTTGTTGCCGCTTCTCATTCAAAATCCTTCTCTAAAAATTGTCGTACCTCGTGGGAGAAGTCGGTCTCTACAAGGTGAAGAATTCCTTGGAGGGGTTCTTGCAATGGAAGGGTGCGACGAATGACTGAGCCCATTCTCTACTCGGCACGTCTGGAACCTTGCCTGTCGCCGTGGAACGGCAGACCGTCGAGATGGCCTTGGAAGTGCGACTCGCAGGTATTTCCTGAGACGCCGGAGACCTTAGGTATGAGAGGAGCCACTCATACATTGAACAAAACCGATGGCTGCTCGAGTCATCCGCAGAAGCGATTGTCGATCTTGTGCGAGACGATGGACCGCCGCGTGGCGAATAGCCGAGATCGAACGTCGCCAGCCTTGGATATCGCAGACAGCTGGACCCGAAGATTCCGCTTGCGGTGCGCGTCGATGTCGTTTGAAAAATTGAAATAGCTTGTGTAGTTCCAAAGCCTCAGGGCATGTCCACCCATTTTGTATCGATTCCGAGAGGAAATACCGCTCGTCATTCCAAAACGCATGATACTCGAGATGCCGCTGGATTGACTGAAGAATCCTATGCTGTGCCAGAAACGGAACCCGGCCCGCTGGTATCCCGAGGAGAGAATATAATGCGTAGAGTACTTCTGGTCAACAGTCAGTTCAAAGACGTTGGCATCATCCGAATTGGTGTTCTCACCGGACACGGGTTTTTCTTGCAGGGAACGGACGAAACATCTGAGCATTCTATACGAAGTGTATTAGAGAGCGTCTAGGTTGAAGAAGCCGCCATGTTCGTACTCACCTTGTGGTTTCCGGTCGTGAACGCACGCGGGCGAGCGGAGATGTCTGATACAAAGTCATGTCCTGGCCCGGCCGCGACATCCTCTTGACGCATTTTCCACCAGACAATTCTCGTCTTCGATGTCGCCCCGTTATCTTCGGCATTGTTCTGTCCCAGCGTTCCGTAGTGTAAGGGACGAAGACCTAGTCTGGGAGACTGTTTGAAAATTTGACCTTTTAGCAAGCCAGTCAGTCAGCCAAGATGCACTGAGAAAAGTAGCATATACTGATAACAGTCATGTAAAGGAGAGGACGCCAAACCCACAATTGGACCGCAAGTAGCTGTATACTCATCTACGCCGGCCACGTAACCGGGAGGATCTTGGTCTTGCCAGTTCAAACTCAACCGATGTTGCTCAACGCTCGGTCGAACGCGTTTTTCAACGACCGTTGAAGGTGGTTCACCGTGAACATCAGTTGCAACCGCCAAGAGATGGTTCCAAGGATGGCCCAGTCTAGATTCATACCCGCCACGGTTCGAAGTGGGGCGCTTGGTGGGATTGGCCGCATACTCTAAACACATCCTTCAACGGCTGTTGAATCACCTCCACTAGCAGCAAAAATGTAATGTTTACACCGCAGTAAATCATGTCTTCCATAGATTTTGCATACCTGGCAGCTATGAGCGGCCGGAGGCGAAAAGGCATAAAAGGACGCTCCATGACCGGTCTAGAAAATCAGAACTTCCATCCTCATCCCCCAAGACAGCGTGGTCGTGTTGTTTGCCTGCAGACCTTGGCTTCTAAGTCTTGGCTTTCGCTGGTATGAGCCCAGTGAAGTAAGAATTGCGCTCTTTTGCAGGACAGACTGCGCTTCGCAGGATAAGCTCTGCGTTACCAACTGTGCTTCGCAGGATAAGCTCTGCGAGATCAACTGTGCTTCGCAGGGGGGCGCTGCGTGAACAAGTGTGCTTCGCAGGATAAGCTCTGCGTTAACAAGTGTGCTTCGCAGGATAAGCTCTGCGTTACCAACTGTGCTTCGCAGGATAAGCTCTGCGTTAACAAGTGTGCTTCGCAGGATAAGCTCTGCGAGATCAACTGTGCTTCGCAGGGGGGCGCTGCGTGACGAAGTGAACTCCGCAGTCTAGGATCTGTGATGACAAAATCCTCGCAGGGGGGCGCTGCGTCACGAAGTGAACTCCGCAGTCTAGGATCTGTGGTGACAAAATCCTCGCAGCTTGAGGTCTGCTTTACCAACATCCTCCCTCACAGACAATGAGCCCTGTGTTTGTAAAAGCGTGCTCGATCGGGTAGGACCTGGGGCCAGGGTCTACACCATGATCCTCTAGCGATATGCAGGCACCTCTCCGTGGTGCTAGGGACCAGTATTCAAGTGTTGCTGCGGCGCTTGAAGAAGCCAAGACCTGCACGACTCATCTCTGGGTACATTATGTAGGCCGGACCATGTAGCCCGAACCATGGGGGAAGTCGATAGCATTGCAATGAAGATAAATTCTCGATTCTGACTTGTCCTAGTGTAGAGATAGATCTTGTAAGCTCTGTCACTGAAATTCCAATATAAGGGAGGGCACTACGTGGAAACCCTCAAACCTCACGGGAAGAAAGAGCATACATACAGTATTGTCTTAGCGAATAGAGACAATAGGATCACAGGCGACCCGTCAGTATGAGAAGCAATCGTCTGTTCATGCCGGTGTCTCCCATGTAATTCACGGATATTGAGATGCTTGTTGACGGTGTTGACGGTGTTGACGGTGTTGACGGTGTTGACGGTGTTGACGGTGTTGACGGTGTTGATGGTGTTGACGGTGAGGATGGTGAGGATGGTGTTGACGCTGTGTTGATAAACGGAAGTGGTGAAACGTTGAAACTGTGAATCCCCAGGCGGTGAACCAGGCTCATCCCTGCAAAACCCCACCTACACAAGTTACTTTTTCATTTGCAGTGTGCATTACTATACGCACTTTTCGTCAGCAGGCAGGTTGGGACCGGATTGTCAGGATCGCTTTTGTGAGGTCGTACTTGGCTGCGAAACATTGTATTCCACATACATAATTCAACGGTGACGGTCAATCCAATGATTGATTATGGTTGCAAACGCTCCTCCAACAGGGCTTTTTGTTCACCGCAGCACTTGTTGATTCAACCGCACTCGCAACATCAAAATTACATTTTTGTGCTGCGACTATTACATGGTTGAGGTGGTAGACTGGAATATTTGGCAGCTCACACTTCGCAAATAAACATGGGTGACACGAGTTGCGGGTTTGCCAATTAGGACCCACTGGTGTTAATTTGCGGTCGCGCTTTCTGACACTGGGAACCACAACAGACACTTTACCAGTCTGATGGGATCCATTAAATTATTGAACGGCGACTTGTTCGATCCTGTCTCCGGTGTTTTGAATGGCTCACATGTTTCTTGTCGTGTGTTGGGTAATACGCGGGTTCATGGCTGCATGATACAATTTTAATCCGTTCTATAGCTAAATGGACAAAATATATCTTGTCCTTCTACGACTTGAATACATATTCTCCACAACACCAACACCCAGGGGTGGTCGCAGGTGCACAGCAATTTGCATGACTGCGTTCTTTGAACAGACTTTGCCTTTCCGAACCATCTTTCTTTACCTGAATAAGCCCATATTGAGACCAAATAAGAACCAAAGCCCATCTGGAACTTTTTGGACCTCGGAGGTGATCGGTGCTACATGCGAAAGTATCATTCCATTAACAACTCCAAAATGATTGTAATGCTTTTTGGCCTAGTGGTTACCTTCTCCATTGGGGTCTGGGGTCGCGCGTTCGAATCCTCCGCGCGTCGTCATTTCCGAGCGATATTTAGATATTTTGCGTTTGATCAGTTTCCCCTCATGGGTCTAGCCATTCGGTGTTCAATTCAGTCTTCACTTCCGTGTCGTGTTGTTGACTGCTCAAACATGACAGCAAAAACCGGTTCGCCCAAGTAGAGAGGGCTCGCGTAGCGTCGCCTGGATTCATATCGTGTTTCCGCACTTTCGCCGATCGCCTCTAGCGTCCGTCATTAACATAACGCGTCACCAAAAAGATACTTCAATCCCCCTGCTCTCATGGCAAACCCAGTTCAAATATCGGGCAAGCCCATGTTTACCTCTCTGACCGGCCAGCCATCGGAAGTCAGCCGTCCGCGGAAACAAGGGTCGTATGCAGGGCTAGTCCGATCAAGAGTAGCCACGTAGCGATTGCGGCCTCCTTGTCTTCCATGTGTGGCATAGTGGGCTTTGAGGTTATCGCGACGCGAGAAGCTGCGCTGGCAGTCCGGAACCCAGCAGACATATGACTTCTCAGCCAAGTGGCCGGACAAATGACGCTGCAGGCCTTTGAAATATCGAAAGCGACTGCTGCACTTCGCAACGCTGCACTTGAATTGCCGCCGCGGAAGCTGCCATGGATGGTATGCTATTGAGGGTGTGGCTAGAGTGTCCTTGATTGTCACAGACGAGGCGTGTGAATTCTTCAAAGTCTTGCCAGGACGTCGTCCTCCAACCACCGTCGGGCGGTTTGTCGCTCATATTTGGCTTGATCACGCTGTATGGCTCGATAGTGGGATTCCTCGTGAAAACCTCGACCTCCGACTCGAGGACGGACCCATCTTTGAACCAGTCCATATCATGAAGTTGATCTTGCTGTGTAGGAGCAGATATGACACAACCCCTATCGGGCCAGGTAGTGCTTTGGCAATCCCAGTCTACTGGGACTTGGCTGTAATCGGCGTGGAGGCTAGGCCATTGACAGGAGCCTTGCGGAGGACAGGAAATGTTCCACTCTGCATGGCTTGTTTAGCGAGTCATTGAATAACCACGAGGAGGCCATAGAACTTACCGCTGTGGTATTTTCCACCATCCTCCTCCGCTGATGGGGTTGCTGTCTGATCCTGTGAATGCATACGGCTGATGGGCAGATTCAACAATCTCTGCAGACACGAACATCGGGGCCCGAACAGGGAGATATAGGTGAAAGGCAAGTCCGTAAGATAAGGTACTGGACATAGCTAGGATGGGGTAGCAGCTGGCGAGTGCTATACTGTACGGGACGTGCAGATGTTGCAAGTAGAACCAGTTTCCTAAAACCTTCAACTGTGTACAGAATCTGATTCAACTGGCCTCATTCATGCGCAGCTGCGTGGGCATGAGTGGGGAAGGTGATCGTTTCACCGGGGAATTAGTCCGTTAATTCAGACTATCAACGTTTGACCACCCTAATATTACGCTTCATTGCAGGTACGGTCATTATTTTGGAGCAATTTCTATTTCAGTTCACTGAAACGTACATCGAAAAGATATAACTTCTCGTGCAGCGTCGCGAAGCAGCAAAGGCATCTTCCACGATCACGCTCGACTCAATATGGACGCTTCTCATGCCCGACCTGTCAAAGACCATGCGGAGGATCAGCTCCCAAATGACCATCCTCCGATTGGCAAAACTGCCCCCGAGAATCAAGACAACCCGCAGACTACGGTCGATCCACCCTCTGACCCATCTGCTGTGAGTAGGGAAAGCACGACCATTTTGATGATTGAGCTGACCACCGTTGGACAGCCCGAGGATCCACAGAGACCTCCCTTGATGGATCAGCCGTTTGAGCCTGCTATGGAAGCTCTCGCGCGGCTCGAACGCGAAGACCCTAAACTTGCGTTCCAAGCCGCGAGAATCGTCGGACTGTATCGGCGCTTGTGGGAGTCGTGCACATCGAAGCATATAGAGGGAAGCAAGTTGGCCAAAGCGAATCACGGTCTACGAGAGACTCACCGATATATGACCGACGAGAGGAACAAAATGCAGTCGCGTCACGATGATCAAATTGCTCGGTTGCAATTCTTTGACCAGGCACTGGAGTCATCTCGGCTTCGACTGTCTGATATTCTTAAGNCTGCTGTGAGTAGGGAAAGCACGACCATTTTGATGATTGAGCTGACCACCGTTGGACAGCCCGAGGATCCACAGAGACCTCCCTTGATGGATCAGCCGTTTGAGCCTGCTATGGAAGCTCTCGCGCGGCTCGAACGCGAAGACCCTAAACTTGCGTTCCAAGCCGCGAGAATCGTCGGACTGTATCGGCGCTTGTGGGAGTCGTGCACATCGAAGCATATAGAGGGAAGCAAGTTGGCCAAAGCGAATCACGGTCTACGAGAGACTCACCGATATATGACCGACGAGAGGAACAAAATGCAGTCGCGTCACGATGATCAAATTGCTCGGTTGCAATTCTTTGACCAGGCACTGGAGTCATCTCGGCTTCGACTGTCTGATATTCTTAAAGATTGGGACCGGTACTCCGAGGGGGTCCTAGCTCAGAGCACAGTGAATGATGGGGAGTGAAAGGAACATGGCGGCAGTGGAACGATCATCGTCCGATAGGAGATATTTTGGGAAATTCAAGATGATGATAAGACTATAACAGACCCTTCCACTTTTGAAGTCTCTACAGTAGCGCTTCATTGCGACGGGTCACCGTAAATGATATAACCAATAAATAAACCGACTGTATCAGCAAGGGTTCACAGAAGCCTCAGCTATGCCATTGTTGTCCAAGAAATCGCCCGTGGCTGAAATCAATTATTGCAATTAAAGTGTGATTAAGATTTTATCCGCAGCAAAGTGTCCCAAGGGAAGAGTCTGACCCTGGATAGTGGTAGTGGAAAAAGAGTCACAATTCCAACACAGGTCTCCCTTTAGGGGTTGAGTTGAAAAGGAACAACTAATTTTCTGCAATATTGATTATATTTATATCGAAAACTGAAAGGACTTTGAAAATAGGAATGGAACAGAAGCCGATTAAAACATGGGAGGAATATTTCGTAGCCTACATATCGATTTGGTGAGAAACTCGCACACAGAAGGCATGAACAAGTGATGATGGCCATAGCAAAAGCAAGCGATCGCTCACAGGGTATGAGACTCGCACACATAACGGACACAAACAAACAACCAGCTCTTCTTCTATTCTCCTTTTATCGTGCCATGGAGACACTATTTCAACTCAATCACACTGAAGGCACGTTTCTCGCTCGCCTTCAAAACCTCGACAATCCCATCATTTAAGGCTGCCACAGCTTGCCTGCGGCCAAACAGCTCCAGAGCCTGATCGTTGCAGCACTGGCGCAGTACATCACATTCGGTGGTCAGCCACTCAATTGACCTCTGGAGAAGACGTTGCTCTTTCTCAAGTCGTATCTTCAATGCAGAATCGACAACGTAGCATTTCCACAAGCAGAGATACAAGTCAAGAAGGCCGACGATGGGAGCTGCGAGAGAGCTGTGATAACGCAATATGTAGTCAAACTCCGTTGTGAGGCTTGCTGAAGTAGCGGGAGCCTAAATCAATCAGCATTGTCATACAATAAGTGGGAGGCTAACCTTGTTTCCGCCTGCCGAAATGATTTTCTCAGGTGGTTGATCGTGAATTTGCTCCGGCAACTCGCCGTTAGCCTCTCGGTGTACATGTTGTCTTTTGGAGGACTGGAAAGTGGGAGAAGACAAAGGACGCTTCGAAGAGCTCATGGTGTTCGTGTTGCAGGATGTAATCTTACTCTCATGAGTGCTTTAAATAGGCCGCATATCTCTTTATGACATAGTATAGATAATCTCACCAGTGCAACGGTGGACTTCATACCGCTGGCGTTCACAGTTTATCAAAGTTCAAATGCGCTCCACGGAAACGATCAAGTTCCATCACCGTTGAGACTTGGCCCGTCGAACCCAGTCTTTAAGCCGATAGCCTCGACCGCCCTTAACTCTCAGATCATTGAACGGAATCCATCGCCACGGAAGAAATCCAATGTGACCTGTGCAAATGGCCACAGGAGGCACGGTTCGGTCGTGTTCTGTCGGATTTGGTATCAAGCCCCGCTTGACCAACCTTCCCTTGCCTGCACAGGTTCCGTAGTGGACGGCGTAGGTCAAGGCAATTTCTCCCTCTCGATTTTGCATCCGAAGATCAATATTCCTATGACTGAGTAGAAGTTCGAGAACGTCTATCGATCCATGTTGAATAGCTCTCATCAACGGAGTCTTTCCATGCAGGAAGGTGTTGGCATTGGCACCATAAAGAAGCAAGAGCTCGGCCCGAGCATAATCGTTGTCTCTGGCTGCAAGGTGCAGGAGATCGCTGTTCTGGTGCTGAATGTTGTACTTGAGGATGCTGGGCTGCAATCTGCAGTAAAGACTCCAACATGATTTGCCCAAGGAGACCATGTCACGAACGTTTAGCTGAGTGACAACGAGCATGAGAATTTGGTTTGGTAGGCTTTGGAGGATTGCCTGCAGGAAATTAGCCAATGCCCTCACAAAAGAATTGAGATTTTTCAGCAGCAATATTGAACAGACCATCGTGGAAGATAAGCTCTTGTAGATTGCGAGAAGTATGTAGAAGACGGCAAGTCTGTGGATCAGACGAACTTGTCACTGCTTTTCTAGGAGGATTCTGAGACTTTTATATTGGACGCGGCTTCTCGAGACTTCTATTCTAAATAGACAACTCCTGAGAGCCAATTGCATGTTCCTAGAGACAGTGTGTCTACCCCGGGGATCATACTTGTGAGCTCCAGGGAGCCCAGGATATCCTAGGAGCTCTTCTAAGACGAACAGAAGCATGCAAGCGACTGGTGGCAGGGCATGACCAGCTAGATTGCTTGCCTACATTTACTTCAAAATGATCAAGGCCTGCTACGGAAGGGGCACATTCTTTCACAGCGCGGGCCAGCTACACCCGAGAGGTGATGCTGATCAATAATGTTCAAATGGTTTCATAAGAAGTCACGATATGGGTATAAAACAGTACCTTGACCCTAGGTTGGCATCTCAGCCGCCTCAACCATCCCATTTCTATCCTTTGAATCGTTTCTCATTTCCACCTCTCACCAAGTTATGTCTTCTTCCCAAGATCGGGATCGTTTTACGAATGCGATGGGTGTCAGTCTCGCTACCGAGGCTCGAATCTGCTGCGGGACCACCAAGGCGGGCGCGCCGTGCAAGAACTCCATCAAATTCCAAGACATCAAGGCCGGGCAACAGCAATTAGCAAATCTCGCCACGCAGCCATTCGACTTCTTGACATTACGATCCACCTTATGCGATATCGCGAGGAACTTTCTCTGTGCTAGATGGCACCGGCAGCGACAGGCTGACCAGCTTGGTCAGCAGTGGTATGAGGCGGTCGTTCAGAGCCGGGAACATGCAAGAGACACCTCCGAGGTCGCTGCCGTAGCACCCGATATCGAAGCGGACCAGAGCCAGCGATCGACATTTGGGCGCCCTTCAGAACCGGTACTTTCCTCTAGAGCCACAACCCAACATGAGGATGAATCGTTATCCCCGGTCCGTGACCCAGTTCCTCTCGGGCCTTCGGAAAGAATCCGCAGATACGTCACGGCCTCGATGTTACGAACCAACAGCGCTCCGTGGTGTATTTCACCGGCTCAGCCAGCTACCCTGTCGGGGTTCTATATCGGGGCGGGGATGCAAAATCTGGAACTGCACAGCCTTACTCTCAGCGACGAGGTGTCTGCCATTTATTGTCCGTTTTGTTTAGGAGACGACGAAGAGCATCTGGACGAGAGCGTGATCCTGCGTTGTAATCAGTGCCGGGGATTGGCTCATCTGAGCTGTGTGGAAGAATGGCTGGAGAAGCGCGACGCGGGACCTCACGTGTCCTGTTGTGCCTGGTAAGTTCCAATTCGCCCGCCTCCCCGGTGGATTCGAAAGCTAACACGATGTAGCCGAAGTGACGGAGCACTGGATGCTCTGCGCCGCTCACCGAGAGCGAGGGCGAATCCTGACCCGGCATGTGAAGACGCGGAGACACACGCAGCTCTAGTGGTGGAACGTTCGGATACCACCGATAGCCCTCAGCAGACGAGTTCAGATCGTCTACCGGTGCAGTCAGTGCCATCGCGCCGCAGACGAGCACTCTCTAGTACAACACGCAGTGTCCGTCGGTCGGCCCGCCTGGCAGAGAACAATACACCTCGCCGGTCGCCGCGTCTGAACCGAACTTGAATGCAAGGTTGCACCGACGCGAGTGATTGTCAGATGGATAGAATGTCGGAGGCGAGACAGTACATCAGATGCAACAATCCGGGATATCACATGCCCCGAGCACTTGTTAGATGACTATTTAGTCATATTCTTGATCGTAGAGTCCTTGAAAAATGAGATCCGTAACACACCCCAATAATTACCCTCACTTGTCCATCGTGGATGGGAAATCTGGAGGGGTTAGGCATTCGACGTTGATCGCACTCAAGATAAGACGACTATACGATATCGGGCCAATTTCACGCGCCTAGGTGCTCACGGAATGTTAGCATAGAATGTGTTTGGTTGCAGATCATAATCATACCGCTTGGCTTCCTGTAACGCATAGCTTGCCCGCACTCTACCTTCCTGTTAGATCATCATATGTTGCAGAGCGAAGCTACTCTCCGAACAGTATACTGGGAAAGGCCCCCCACACTCTCATACAACCCCGGCGATAGTCGATCAGACGGCACCCCATAAAAAGCTCGATCTTCGTTCGGCGCAATCATGGCATAATATGTCGATGTGTGCGACAGACCGGTAAAGAGGCACATTCGGTGCGTCTGACGAGCGAACTGCTGGCGGCAACCACAGGGCACCACGTCGTTGGGGAGGGCTGTACCAAAGGGTCAGCGTTGTTCCCTGGATGATTAATGACCACTTACCTGCTTTATCGTGGAGAAGCGCCGTCTCAGCATTTGCACAATTGTCATCATGAAGTACAACGTGGTAGTCCGGGCCGCTGGAGCCGAGCGTGCGAAAGGATTCCGTCTCATTGTCTTCCCAACTGACCAGAATGCTCCCGGGATATGGCTTCAACTTGATGCTGTGTGGCAGGTATCGCAGTCGCCGTCCAATCCATGAACTTTATTTCTGCTGGTCGAGACGTCGGATTTGCTTTGAACATGGGTGCAATTGATCGAACCAAGAGCTCTTCCACCACATGACAGCAGAAGAATGGGGCGCCGACCCCGGAGACAGGGCCGGCAGAACGACCGGTGGTGCGTACAAGCAAAGTCCAACCATCGGCAATGTATATTAAGCATACCCTGTCCCTTATCAAAGTATAAGTCGACTTTGCCGGTCGAGCCTTGGACGTAGACTACCTGAATATGGTCAGTGAATTTCAGCAGAGCAAAGCAGGCTCGCAACGCTCCGTCGACTGTTCTCGCGGATGTTGTGACCGGGACGGCGCAGGGCCTCGCGCCCTTGAACAGCTCTTGTCGCTCTTCTTCGACGGTTCGGATAGGGTGGGCACGCAGCATGTTCACAACGTGTCGGGAAGGCGGACAGGGCGCTTGCCGAGGCTGTCCCGGATGGTGTCCACGTTCTGTCTGCATCAGTTATCAAGACGCGAAACATTCTGTGGCGTAATACACACCTGATCATTGCTCCCTTCGCTGTAGAAGAATTGGTTGTTCGCTGATTCGCGTAGCAGGTATTGCCGGATCTGACGGGTCGTCGACGACTCTAAGAGAGGGCTTATCATCTTGGCGTCGGTGGCACGGGCATGCTTCCGCAAAAGATCCACAAGCAGAGGCAAGATGGGGTCTTCCTGTTTGCGTAGAGCTTTCTCTTATATCTGTTGTACTTGGCGAGCTGCATCTCGCCAGGATGCCAGTCTGCGTCGATCGCGGCAGGTGGTTGCATGGGCGAAGTTGTACGCGAAGAGAAACGCTCCTCTAGTGGGATTGGGGAGTGTGACCCCATTGTGATAGAGGTTACCCCGGGGCTAAGGATCGAGAATCAAGTCGCCGTGTGCTGTGGATGATGAAGGAAGGGTAAGTGAGTCCGCGGATGTCAATCGTCGTCAGCTGGAGCTAGCTCAAAAACGCGTCGAGCGCGACCGTCGGCCTGACTTAGCCCGTCGCGGCCCGATCACCACCGCCACATTCATCTCCACACGGGACCGAAGGATTGCCATGTCTAGAGCAGGATCGGCCCACTGGATCGACTTGGTTTTCTGAGATGGCGCCACAGTACAAGAAATCGAAGTGCAGTCTGTGTGCATGTCAAATCTCCAATTGCAACCACTCGCGGCGATACTCACCTGGTAGCCGTCTCGAGAGAGGACCAGCGAGGCCAGCTTGAGACCCTCGCCGTGACATACTACGAGAGGGTCGTGGGTGTCCTTGGTGTTGAAGCCCGGACCAAGGGCATCAATGGGGAGTTGCGTGGATGCATTTGCGATGGGTACTTGAGCGGCCTTCTTTTCGTATTGGATGAAACCCAGGGCGCGTCAACCCTCGCTTTCCGCAGCCTGGTCGGCAAGGTCCAGGTCGGGAACAATAATTGAGAGATAGCCACTGTGGCCTTCCAAGAATGGCTGGAAGCTCTGACGGTCAAGCTCGAATCTTTCCATGATGGCGTCTTTCCTGCGTAAATCTGCGCATGTCCAGTCAAGGAGATCGACATATACCAGTTCTGATACAATTCTCGAAAACCATCTGCTGGCATCCAATCTCCGACATAGCCGGGGAAGATACGGAGAGACACCACATGTCGGGAGGCCAGGCATGTGGCAAGCGTGTTTTTCTGACTTTGGAGCAGCTCGCGTGCAAGCTGCTCGTTCGCCTGGGTCATGATGCTATCATCCTCGCAGGCGTTGGGGTTGTGATAATGCATCCGCCTTGGATGTCAAGTGTGAGAATCAGGAGTTGGGGTTGGGAAGAGTATTAACTAGAACTGATTGACGGTATTTATATTTCGGCTTCCACATTGAACTCATGAGTCTCAATTGAAACGTTGAGCAGCAGTGATCAATTGCCATCATCGGAAACAGCAATCAAATTATGAGGAGCGAGTTTGGCTCGCTTCCTTGAGACTCGCATATCGGGATTAGATGGTGATCCAGATTGGTCAGCGAATGTTGCGAGATTGTCGGTGCTATGAACTTGATGCTCCACGTTGAAGGAGAGCCTCACATTATGCAAGCAATACATTCGGCGTCGTTGACGGCGTTTGGCCACTGCTTTCCTGGTGCCCGCTGAACTTTGGTCAACGTGCTTCCACACTTCTTTTCTTACTTCCAGCATACACGTACCTCAACTACTGGTGCTGAGCCAAGCCTGCAGAAAAAGCTGACACAAGCGAATTTACTTCTGGGATAAGTGAGGCTCCTAGAGGTCTGCGTGACAAATCCTAAGCCTCCTCTTTTTGATCCTAAGGCCCGACAGGTTTGTTCCTCGCGGCGATCGACCATGTTCCTGGAAACGGCATTGGGTTCCTGGGCCTAATGTCGACTCTAGGAACTGGTAAAAAAAGGCCAGAAAATTCTCAGCTTCCCGGGGTCCTTGTAGTTCCTAGAACGGTCAAACGTGTATTTTAGCCTTATTGTTGGCAAATCTGTCCGCTTTGTGCTTTGTGCTTGGGGAGAAGGATTGGAAAATGGGTATGTGATCCTTCATAAACATCACGCAGGTCAAGCTCTGAGGAAGATTCAAGAAATCCTCTACCTGGTGAGCCACGCCTAGACGTTGAGCAACTTCCGTCTCCGGGAACATCTAGTCTGGCTCAGTGTTACCAGATCAGTGGGTTCTTCCGTGGTAAATGAGAATGGTGAATAATCTCTTACCTATTACAGATTCAGCTTATGAGGGAAAGGGACGTAAATAATGTCCTGATTACGTTTTGAATTATTTACGGATTGATCCCCAACAACTGAGTTGCGTCTATTGGCACGTTTTCAAGATGGTGTAGACTGCATTATGATACTATCTGATTGACAATTAGGCGCTGTTGTCGGTGGCATACAAGGGGGAATTAGAACTAGTACCCTACAACAGTTTTATCAGGATTTGAAACTATACTGTCGAAGAGTGGATGTCGTCGGCGACATAGTTTTACAGATCCTACCAGCATCTGTGAGAATGTTCGCTTCCAGTCCATAAGGCCCAATAGATAGATTGTCTGCCCATAGTTGATTAAATTGTACTAGCGAATCAATAAATACTAGATCGCCTTCAGGGACAACATAAGAATCCATGACCAAAGACGCCCAAAAGCGTGGATCCTTTTCCTCATAGTGCGGGTCCTTCTGGGTGAATAAAAAAGGGCGCAAGTTCAACTCAGCTTAATGGGCAAAGTACCCAATGTGTTCGGCCACGGGAGACCTCTTTAAGTGTGGCTATTTCCATATGAGCGAGCCCATCGTTTCTAGACCTCTTTGGTCAGGATCTTCACTGCGTCCTTGGAGAAAAGGTAACCAAGACCAGACTCGATAGTTGTAATAGCCGTGGTGAATCTATTTTCCGTAGTCAGCTCCGATCAGGTTTAGTTCAGGCCACAAGAAAAGTGGGGACTGGGGTACTGGGACCTGAGCAGGAAGGAGGGCGGGACGCAGGGAAAATAGCCGCCGACGTCAGCGCTTCAGGGATATTGGGGGCATTCGGGTGAAGAATAGAGGGGCTTCAGGGCATTCAAGCGAAAGGGCCGGAAGGGTATAGCGACAAGGGCAGTCGTCGTCCTAACGCACACACCATACTATTAACTGGCTGGCGTGCGGCTTATGTGCGGCAGATAGTCGGGTGGCTGCCGCCCGGGTGAGTTTAGGGTGCGCGCCGCTTTACGGTCGCGCGACCAGGGTGAGATGGGGTGAGTGTGTTGAGTTATAAGTGACGCTTCAATGTTTGTATAGTTGATAGGAATTGATTGTGTGTTCTAAGTACAAACAAGCTGGTAGCCAGGTAGACATATATACATGCACGTGCTCACGTTCCCGTGACTACATCAGTGATCGTGATATTCAACAGAGTGCGCAATAGACAGGGTGAGAAGCTGGGTGAGAGCGGGTGATTCTCACCCTCCGCCGCGCGAGTACCGCACTGACCCTCTCTCCCTGGACTTAGATGCAGCATTACTGGTTCATATCGATCTGGCTGAAACCCATTGTCTCTTGGCACTGCATGAACAGTCACACACCAGCCTGAGATTGGCCAAATCGACGGCGAGGCTGACTTCAATATCGCCTTCAACAAAGGTGACTAAGTCCATGGTTATGCAACGGCAAGCATATTATTACGCAGAACAGTCGTGAGATACACCAGCTCCCACTTGATGACAGCTAATTAATATCACATGACACTTAAACACCGTCTTTCCCTGGCCTGGGGAGGCCTGCCCAGTCGGTGGAAGTGGGGAGGTCTCTTTTTCCTCTACAGTCGATTTCGAAAACAGATTACCCCTTGGACACACTGACTTTGTTTCTCGGCCCGTACCCGAGTATGCACTAATCTATATCAGGAAAGGCCGTAAATAATTGTTTCCTAAAAATAGACCCATTAAAAAACTAGAACGACAGAATAACGTAAAATACTGTATATTACATGTATTGCCTATACACTGCGACCTTGGTGCCCCTCCATACCACTCTAATTCCCACCCTAGCATCGATCCTTCTGCAAAGACCTCTCTTCTCGAGACTTGCTAGAATCATATGCGCTCTATGGCACCGAGACTACCCTCCTCAAGGCTACACTTTATTCGTGATATGATACAAGCCCAGTCACTAACTAGGTCTCAAATGGCCGAAGCAGCTGAATGCAGTGAACAAACGATCAAAAATATTCGAAGAAACTTGCGACTGTTCGGAAGCGTCCATGCCCCTGAAAATCGTATCGGTCGGAGACGAAGCGTAACACCACTGATGCTAGAAGCGCTCTGCGATCACCTGCTCGAAAAGCCTAGCCTATACCTCGACGAGATGGCTATATTTCTATGGGATGAATTCCAGATGCTAGCAACAACTTCTAGTATTAGGAGAGCCCTTCTGTCCAAAGGCTGGTCTAGAAAAAATTCTGAACAAAAGGCTAAAGAGCAGAGTGTGGAATTGCGAGAGACATATCTTCATAACATCTCCGACTTTGAGTCGTACCACCTTGTTTATGTTGATGAATCTGGATGTGATAAGCGGATTGGGTTCCGACGGACAGGCTGGTCACCACTCGGTGTAGCACCAAAACAGGTGGCACAATTCCACCGCGACGAGAGGTATCAAATTCTGCCTGCGTACTCTCAAGATGGTATCGTGCTCTCTCGCGTCTTTCGTGGCTCAACGGATGCCTCCGTGTTTGAGGACTTCATCGATGAGCTGCTTCACCATTGTGGAAGGTGGCCGGAGCCGAAGTCTGTCCTGGTCATGGATAATGCATCATTCCACCACTCCGAGAGGATTTCACAGATGTGTGCCGATGCGGGAGTAAAACTGGTCTACTTGCCTCCATACTCGCCAGACTTGAATCCAATTGAAGAGTTCTTTGCTGAGCTGAAAGGATTCATAAGACGTAACTGGAGCTACTACACAGAAGATCCTGCTCAGGGATTCAGGTCCTTTCTAGAATGGTGTACAGTCGATTTCGAAAACAGCTTACCCCTTGACCACACTGACTTTGTTTCTCGGTCTGTATGCGAGTATACGCTAGTCTGTATAAGGAAAGGCTGTAAATAATCATTTCCTAAGAAAAGACCCATTAAAAAACTAGAACGATCGAATAACGTAAAATTCTGTATATTACGCGTATTGTGTATACACTGCGACTTTGTTGCCCCTCCATTCAGCTCATTCCCACCTAACATCTGTCCTTCCGCAAAGACCGCTCATCTCTAGCATTGCTAGAATCATATGGACTTTATGGCACCGGGTCTACCATCCTCCAGGCTACACTTCATTCGTGATATGATACAAGAATGTCGGGGGAACGCCAGGGTATTGGGAAATGCAGGTGACTTTGGGGCATTGGTCGTTCCTGGGAAGGTCGCCCTCACCAGCGCCCAGCGGCGGTGGCGGTTGTTTCTTGGCGATCTGGAAACTGCGGGCGTTGATCAGTGAGTACAATGGCAAACTGCTGGTGCGTTCAATGTCAGAAATAAACGTTATCCTCTGAAATCTGTCTGATGGCTTTGAAGAGTCAAATCATACTGCATTTCAGGAGTGTAATATTCACTGAAGGATGCACAAATCGACTGAGACCAAGGACACAGATACGTGGAACTGAATTGCTATGCAAGATTGAGATAACATGATCAAAGAGCAGGAATAGGAGTCGGTTCCGAGAGTGCGAGGAATATGACCTGACCTGATGAGCAAGCAACCGCCACACCTGTCGCCGAGATAGCAAATGAAGACAAAAAAAGGGGTCTATACTCGATAGGTAGCCACAGAAGCTTGTCTCCGCGATAGGTGATCCAGGAAAAGTCATTACTTAAGCCATATCCATATCGTTTAGCTAATGAGCTCAGGTCTTGAGGCGGAGGAGTGGCAGAGCCAATTGGACCTAATTCAAATATGCCAAGGCTTGTGTGCAGACGATTAAAATGGGCTTTGTCAAAGTGAAGGAAGGCAGTAAAGCCGGTATGGAGGGTTGACACCCCTTGGCCAGTGGCCGTATTCCAGATTTTGATCGTCTTATCATTGGATGCTGATGCGAGTCGGCTACTCTCTAGCGACCAGGCGATCGAGGTGACAGACTCAGTATGGCTTTTAAGTTTGGATAGATCCTGGCCGGTGGCTGGGTCCCAGATTCTGACTGTCTTATCATTGGACTCTGATGCGAGTTGGCTATTATCTAGCGACCAGGCGATCGAGGTGACAGACTCAGTATGGCCTTCAAGTACGGATAGAACCTGGCCGGTGGCTGGGTCCCAGATTCTGACTGTCTTATCATCGGACGCTGATGCCAGTTGGCTATTATCTAGAGACCAAGCGACTGAGGTGACAGAATAAGTATGTCCCTTGAGAGTATATATACTCTTTCCAGTGACTAGATCCCAGATTCTGACAGCCTGATCAGCGGACCCTGATGCAAGTCGCGTTCCATCTTGTGACCAGGAAATTGAATTGATCCAATCATTATGCCCCTTCAGAATAGATATACTCTGACCAGCGGCTGGATCCCAGATCCTGATTGTCTTATCAGCAGATACTGATGCAAGTTGAGTTCCATCTTGTGACCAAGCAACCAAGTTGACTAAATCGCTATGCCCCTTAAGAGTAAAAATAATTTTTCCAGTGGCTGGGTCCCAAATCTTGACCGTCTCATCAAAGGATGCTGATGCAAGTCGGCTTTCATCTGGTGACCAAGTAATTAAGATGATTGAATCACTATGCCTATCAAAGGTAGATGTACTGTGACTGATGGCTGGGTCCCAGATTCTGACTGTCTTATCATAGGACGCTGATGCAAGTCGGCCTCCATCTGGCGACCAGGCAATCGTGTTTATCAAATGAGCATGTCCTTCGAGGGTGGTCACACCTTGTCCAGTAGCTGGGTCCCACACTATGACTGTCTTGTCACGGGACGCTGATGCGAGGCGGCTTCCATCGGGCGACCACTCGATCGAGTCGACCGACTTAATATGCCCCTTAAGAGCTGACAAACTCTGGCCGGTAGCTGGATCCCAGATTCTGACCGTTGTATCGGCAGACCCTGATGCAATTTTGGACCCTTCTTGCGACCAGGTAACTGTATTAACTGAATCACTATGCCCAGAAAGAGTAGATATGCTTTTTCCAGTAGCTGGGTCCCAGATTATGACTGTTTTATCATTTGACGCTGATGCGAGTTGGCTTCCATCTGGTGACCAGGTGATTGACCGGGCTTGGCCATTACACCCATTAAAAATGGAGATACTCTGGCTAACAGCTAGGTCCCAAACTTGGATTGTTCGATCCCTTAATGCCGATGCAAGTCGTCTTCCATCTGGGGACCAGGCAATCACGTTGATGAAATCACTGCGGCCCTCAAGAGTAATCAAACATTGCCCAGTAGCTGGCTCCCAGATCCTGATTGTCTTATCGTGGGATGCTGATGCAATCCGGCTTCCGTCTGGCGACCAAGTAATTAAGCTAACCGGAAGACTATGCCCCCTAAGAGTTGACAGGCTCTGGCTGGTGGCAGGATTCCAGATCCTCGCCGTTTTATCGGAAGACGCTGATGCGAGTCGGCTTCCATCTTGCGACCAAGCGATTGAGGTAACAGAAGCAGTATGACCAAGTGTGGACACAACCTGGCCGGTGGTTGTGTCCCAGATCTTGACAGTCTTATTATCCGACGCTGATGCAAGTCGGCGTCCATCTAATGACCAGGCGATTGAAAATGCGGCTCCACTATTACCCTCCAGAGTGTGTAAACAAATGTTCCAATCTTCCTCTACCACAGTATGTGCCGAAACCCAATGTGCTCTTTCTTTCCGAAAAGAAACTCCCGTGAGGCTTTTTAATGGACTGAAGATGAGAGATGAGCAATATATTTGTAAAGGGCTGCTTTCAATCCCCGTTCTGTGGTATCGAATGAACTTCGACGCATCTCGAGCTCGATTTATTAAGGCTTCTGACTTGCCCTTTTCCTGTGAAATATAGATATTTTGTCAGAAGAGAAGATCATTTTCGTATATCCGTAAAAACCTGCCTCGATTAATATCTCAAGTCTGCGCATCGCTTGAATGCCATCTGACAGCCTTGCAAAAATGCTAAGGGCTTCGAGCCAGTGAAGATATTTTTGCCGTAGAAACGTATCCACACGGTTCTTGTCGGCTGGGCTCAGCCTATATGTTGCATCGGATTTGCTAGCTTGTAGATGATCCACCCAGTAGACACAGGCATACTCCGCCGCTGCCAGTTGATATGGGATAGGACGTTTGATATCCTTGGCGAGGAATCCAGGCAATTTGATGTTTAAGATATCACGTCGTAGTGTTTTGAAAATCATATCGACGGAGCGTGCGAAAATCGAATGATGTTCAGCATCTATGCCTTTAGGAAGTATCTCAGCAAGTGATTCCTCCCGAAGGAGAAATTCCTTTGCGGACTGATGGATAAATGCAACAGTGTCTTCCCTTAACGTCAGGAACGACCCACAAAAGGCCACAACCTCCGAGAGATATTCCTTTACATCATAGCTATCCTCCGGCATTTCAATGACTGATGCCAGCTCGTAGAGCGTGATAGGCCGGTATACTGTGGACATAATAGCGAGTATTTGCTTGCAGAGTTCAGCATCTTCTGACTTGCGCACCTGATTGAGCATTCGACTGTATAGAGCGTCAAGCCCCGGGGGAAATGCTTCTAGCTTCTTAAGAGCATATCTTGGCGGTGTTCTATCAAGGTTTTGATAGACCAAGGCTACCCACAGGAAGGTATCTTGCGAATTCAACAATAAGTGACGAAAAACCCTCTCCCGGACGTTGTTGTTGTATCTTTTGACTTTTGCCAGAATGTCGACTTTATGATAAATGTACTTTTTCACAGCCTCGGACACAGATCCCTCATTCAGCTCTAATGAGATCGGAGCCACTTGGGCTGCAATATAAAGACGCTCAGTGATTTCAGGCCAATTGCGGCTAGAAACGATCCACTTTATCTGAGGGTGAACCGGCGAATACTGGACAATAAAGTCCAGAAGGGAACGAAGACCAGTTATACACTCGTCCAAGGCATCAATTATCAGGTAGGCATCTTTCAACAAAGGATCATTCAGAATATCTTTGAAGATAGCCAAAAGTGCACTCCACGCATTAACATCCTCGAATAGGGTCTTCCCGGCTTGATCATATCGACTTCGGACGTGTGCGAGAAGGCATGGTTGGTTCACAACGAGTAAGTAAATCAATCCACGAAGCACCGCCGTGGCACTATTTGTTCGAATGTCGGCCGCTTGGCAGAGAAAGAACGAGATATTTGATGATTCTCCATTCAACCGTGCCAACTCATCGATAATACCGCATAGGAGCATTGTCTTGCCTTTTCCGGGATCACCTCTGATCCAGAGGAGAGGGCTTTCACGGGAATCCTGCCATTGTTTGAACCCTTCATTGTCTAAAATCCAAGAGTATGAGTCTCTGAGTAGCCCCCCGTTCGTGTTCTGAATACGATCTTTATCATCAGGTGGGTGCGTCGTCCGTAAATCTCGTATGCATGCTTGATTCAATAATGCTGATTGTTCTAGAGCTGTATCATTAACCAGTGATATCCTTAAGTAGTAGGGTATCAACTCACCGAACTGCGCAGTGACATTTCCATTGATGATAGCAGCTTGTAACCCAGAGTTTGAATCGCCAAATGATGTGGTAGATGCCATGATGGAAGTGGATTAACTTTGGGTGGGTGGTCGAGAGTTTGAGCGTGGATAGAGCCAGATTGCCAGGGCCACGACCCCTCCCCCACCAGGTCCTGCCTAGAACATTGTGTACAGATTTACAGTATTTTACAGAAAGCTTGAAATGTAATACATCATTAGACGCGATACTGCCAAGCAACAGCCGTCCCAGCGTAACTATATACGGCTTAGCGTATACTCGGGTACAGGCCGAGAAACAAAATCAGTGTGTCCAAAGGGTAATCTGTTTTCGAAATCGACTGTACTGCCCCTTTGCACTGCCCATCACCCATTTGCACCAATCACATTTAGGGGACCTGGCAACGGCGAGGAGAAGGGTTTTTTTGACTGACACGAGAATTGTGATTTAGCACTTTCTGTAGGTTGTCCATGTGTATCACCTGCATTCACTTGAGCGCTTAGCTCTTGAGGGAACGAAATAGCAACACTCGGATGGAGCATCTGTCCAAGGGCGCTTACGGCCCGTAGATTGAGTGGCTGTAACCCCCCGAAAACCAATGAAACAGTGATCCCTGGCAAGATTTATCGATGATTACCTCGAGTTAAAAGGCTCTAGGTACAAGAATAGATAGTATCTTTGTCAGCTATTGAAAAGGAGGGCAGCGATTTTGTCCATAAAGTCCCAGGATATCCACCTTGAGCCTATCTAAGCTGTTCTTCAACAATCATTTTCCCTATCATATCTCTTTTGTGACCGCACCTATAAACATCAAACTAGCTCTTGACCATTTTACTCGTGATGTTTAAGCAAACGACACAACGACTTTATCAGTTGCTCGGAAAAACCAAGTTGGAGGACCTTCCACCTTCATGGCAAGGGCCCATGGATCGCGTTCTGAAGAGCGAGGAGCAGAAAGTAGGTAATCTGATAGAACAAGTTAATTAATTATGCATCTGATGGATGAAACAGAATCCAAATTTTAAATTTGCAGAGATCAGGTATCAAGTTGGACCTAGTATATATTCTCACTGCCCGCCCGCAAAAAGCTAACTCGGTTGTAGGGGATCTTCACCCCATCGGTCTTATGACGATCCGAGTGATCCAGATGACGTGCTTTCGGTCCGTCTGAAAAACGAGGATAAAAAAACCATTGATCGAATCCATGTCCATCAAGATGAATCAGTGCGTCGGTAGCCCGAGATTGATATGCATTTGTTACAGAGGAAGCCAGAGACCCAGTATGTACTCGGCGAATTGAACGTATAAGACCGAAAGAAATTACAGCTGGTGAAATTCGTTCGTGGGTTCGAAGAAGACAACGGTTAAGGGCGACGTTCACGGCATGATTTTACTTCGGTGGGAGGGCGCAAGGGGATCTACTGTGGCTCCATATAGGGCATTGGTGTTGACTGCAAGTTAGATCCTGCTGGCTTTATTGAATGTGCTTTGTCCCCTTTGCATCCCGTATAAGATATAGTGTACCGGATAGGATACTCTGGCCACGTAAATATACTTATTCACGACATGTAGGGACTTTTATAACGAGTGAAGAGCACATTAACACGGGGCGGCTAGTGCGCTCTTGGTCTTTCTTCTTTTCCTTCTCAACACGTATATGAACCAATACGCATAATCGATATTACAAGAATTCAATCATTCGAAGCCCAGACTGAATTAATTTGACTTCAGCCAAGGATCCGCCAGTAACTCTTTCGCAGATGCTCGATTTTCCGGTTGCCATTGGAGCATCTTCCGCATAAAGCAGAGAAACAATCTTTGTTGAGTACCTTGCAAATTATCCTCCAGCTTCTCCAGAGATATAGAAGGAATCTCGGCGGTACCTATCCAATGACCTGATTTTGAACCATTAGTTGCGCCTACAGAATGCCAATAGAAGAACGAGGACATATGCTCTTACCGTCACGATCGAAGAACTTCATCGCATACTCGCTATTTTGAAGTATTTCTTTTGGTGGCGCGCCCATGATTGCTATCATCCCTGCGAGGTGATGGCTGTCTGAAATATTCCTGTTTGAATCGCGGGCGTAGAAGAGATGCTTCTGCTCAAAAAGATCCCAGGCCTAACGAATAGTGAGATTTAGCCAACCGAGACTTATGTTGCGATTTATACATACAAGGACCCCTATGTTCCAAATATCAATTTTTTCATCCCATGGCATCCGTAATAGGACCTCTGGCGCCCGGTAAACCAAAGGCTGAACGTCCTCCCACTGCTTGCCTAAGCTTGAGCAAAGGCGAGCTTCCCCAAAGTCCGACAAGATAGGACGACCATGCACCTTTGGGATTCCTAGGTCTCGGGAGGAATAGATCACCCGATCTCCAACAATTTTGCAAGGGCTCGGGCTGGTCTTTTCTGCTTCCTCAAAATTGACTAGAATTGACTCATCTTCCACACTAAGCATGACATTATTTTCTTGTATATCTGTAATTAAGTCAATAAGAAATTCCAGATATTTGCGCGATATCACGAGATTAGGAGTGTTATACCAGTATGAACAATCTTGGCTTCCGTGTGAAGAAAGTCGATAGCAAGAAGTATATGGATCAAAACTGGCTTGAGTAAGTCTTCCGGGAGAACCTTTTCTAAGGTACGATGACGTAGTTCGCATAGACTCATAGCCAAAGGAGGATGCACGAGGCACTGATAGGAGTAATTTTTCCCAGCAGAACTAATTTGAAAGTCATCGATGGCGCGCCGCACGAGCACAGAGCCTGTATGGCTAGACTTGACGTTTCTGAGATGGCTGTACACCTCTTTCTCTCTTCTTCCATGGCTAGAGTCGTGCTCGTACATTTTCAATGTAACATAGACATGCTGCCTACTCTGTGTCAGCCCTGAATCTTAAAGTCGTTGGCAGTACAACTTACTGTAGATCCCTACAGAGCCACACTGTTGAATGACCTCCATAGCCAAGTTTTCCAACCACCTGATATCTCGAGCGAAATACATCACCGATTCTCACGGGGTAAAAATGCTCTGGCGAGTATCCTCGTAAATTTTCCTCCTCTAGTTTGTTATTGGGGTCGAGAAGAATGCCTGGAGAGGAAAATTTCCTAACTGGAGAGGGTGCTCGCCCAAATATGGAGTGCTTCAGTCGCTGCGTTAGGCGTTGCATCATCATTGGGCTAGGTTTGTAGGGGGTAGTAAACAACAAGGAGGATAGCAGGACAGTCGTTCGGAACAGGATGACAATCACGTGATATCAAGTAAATGTGGGACCTTGACATATCACGACCTCCGAGGGACTATAGTTTATCCGACACGCTCAGACCATGTCGAATGTCATGTGATTACCATTTCGAAAGAATCACGTGGCAATGCATATGTGTCAGTAGCAGCATTGGTACCTCCGTACAAAGATATCCAGAAAGAAGATAACGTAATTCACGGCCGAGCTGCGAACCCCAAAACACCATACCAAATGCGCTCTTCTACAACTTCATATTTCAACCACTAAAGCGAGAAGTATAGTCTTGGGTAACTTAGTATTTGATATATCATGCCAAGTATTTTTAATAGATCAATAAATATTCTAAGGTATGATCATGGTGATATATATATCTACATCACATCCTAGTTATCATTTGTACTCTAAGTAAATAAATTGTTGTCAGAATATTTCAGTCATGCCACACCGTTTCCAATGCTAAGAATTTATATACTACTACAAATCAAACAAAAACTGCTTCTGATTGTTGATTACTCCGGGTTAGACACCGGGGAGGAGGGGGGGGGGGGGAAGGGGGCATTGAATATCCGAAGAATCGTGCCTTGTTATTCGACTGTCTATGAGGGTTATTATAGACCTCGTTCCTCTATTACTGGGAAATGGGCCTCTGAGACTTGTCCTTTGTACGAGATCGGGAAGACGGTTGACATTAGTTCTAATTCTCCTTTATCTGACAAATGCATTGTTTGCCTTTGATGCCCAAATAATATCACGTGACAATAATTGATAACACGTGAGTAGTAGTAGCCCACCAAGCCCCGCGAGTGATGCCACATTCTGCGAAGCAGCCGACCCAAGTTCCTCCGCCGTCTGTCCTTTCAATACAAAATCATGACTTCAAGGCATGAAATACAACAAGCGATAGAGACACGCTGGAGCAACCGTGAGCCGGAACAGAAGCCTAGAAGAAGAGACATCCAGCAAGCAGTCAACCCTCTCATTACAAACGAAGCGGAACGAACGACCAGAGAATCTGGGCAAGACCTCGTGTCAGAAAACTTGGATCCAACAGGAAAGCACTATCCATTTCGCATCCTACGAACAAACAAACAAGCTGAACATGTCGTTATTGAGTGGTTCAAAGTCAGATCCTAGCATGTCCGTCTTGCCCTACCGCTTCTAACTGGAGATAGGATCCGTCAAATATCGAAAGAGTAGCGAAAAGCTTTCAACGTCCGAAACCCACTGACCCCCGGTCACACTTGCTACAATGGTTCCTTATATCCACCGCACAAATGCCTCATCCTGGGACAATGCCCAAAGGAATGTCCCCAGACGATAAAACGAAGGTCATAGTTTGGATCGCATTGGGAAGACTTGGCCCTCATAATGGTGTCCCATGGGAAATGGAGAGTGGCCAAGACATGTGTCTCGATGGCCACGAGAGCATAACTTTTTCGGGGAAGGCTGGAGGGTTAGCTGTACTGCTACTCTTAAGTATGTGATACAATGGCATTTGTTATCATGGACGAAATAATAGATTTTTATGATTTAAATGGTTCGCTATCGCGTTACTGGAAGAAGAAAGCTTCGGACCTTGAATCAAAAGGAGGTAGCGGATTGGACAGTGAATCGATAATAGCGAAGTCCTCCAGTAGTATCTGGCTTGTGGGTGAATGCCACACTGATTGTGTTAAGCCCTGGATATCACCCAGTGGTGGGAGTGGGTTTGATACTGGCTGGGGAATGGATTCAGCCTGAGCAATTCGAATCCCCGAAATATCCCCGGGAAATGGGGCACGCCAGCCATGAGCTTGATTGGCAAGCTGAGGCAAAGAACTTGCTTGCTCCCAATCCACAGAGAAGTGAAGGAGGTTCTCAGATAATGGTGGAAGCGGGTTGAGCACAGGCTGCGGTTCAAATGCGGGGGGAGTGGGCACCCGGCTTTGACTTTGACTGTGTCGATCTCTTTCGGTCACTGAATCTTCCGTTAAATAGTTTTGAGCCCCTCTCGCATCCGAGCATTCATGATCGCCCAGAAGGCGGGGGTCTTGCTGGGGGGTGGGCAAAATATGGACATCATCTCCTTCATTACATGATAAGCATTGGCGCATATTAACATCATGCGAGCCTGGATTGTTCTCTAAGAAAGGCGGACAGTGATTGGGCTGTATGTAGGTCGAGGGAACGACCAGTGCTATATCTCCGAGTTAGCCGAGATAGTTGGTTGTGAGGTGCATACGTACATGTATCCCCTTTACTCAGTTCCTGATCATTGGGCATTTCCGTAGACAACTGGCTTTCCGGTGTTATTGTAGCAATTGCTTCAGATGGAGCACGAGAACTGTCACCAGCGCTGTCGATGCGGGACGTATCCCGTATTGTGCTCCTTAAATAATAGGAGACGATCGCACTCATTGCCTCATGTAAACGTTGTTGTATTTTGAACTGAGGAAGAGTTTCCATAAATCGGTCAATCGCTTCGACTTCGAGCGGTGACCATGAGTAACGCTCAAACCTGGACATAGCATTAGCCCTGATCCTCGCCCGTGGATAAAGACTAACTTCTTTGTAGCTGCATCTTGGAGGGAAAGTGCCATTTCTGTACGGCTTAATTGCCGCCATTTCCAACCATGAAGTGAATCCGCTGCCAATCGTTTCCTCATGCCTTTTCGCCTTTCTGGTTGAAGTTGGGGCCACAAATCTTTGGTCAGCGAATCTATTGCAGACGGAAGCAGCACTCTCTTGCGCGAACGACTTCCACCGTTATGTTTCTTCCTCGGCCTCGTTCTGGCCCGTTGTCCTTTGCTGCGCAGGAGGTCCTGTTCATCCTCCAGACGCTGAGCAAGAATCATCAAGATAACCCGTCTTCGTAGGGGGTCAACATCTTCCATTCGTCTCAAATCGTTATAACACCGTCGAATCAAGTTCTCATCCGCAGTATCTCCATGCCAAAATAGTTCTGGGTTTTTAGACCAGACTACTGAGCATGCTGCCAGCGTTTTTATTTGCTCTTCTGAAAGTTCCCAGCAAGTTGTGATGCGTGACAGTGTACTTATTTCTTTGGGCGCGAGGCCAACGCCGTCTTTGGACGAGAAATTTTGGAACCACGCGTGGCGTTTGTCATAGGTGGGATCTGGTTTCCCTTTCTTAGATAGACGTTTCAATCTAGAATTAAATGCAAAGTAAAGAGCGGTGACTTGGTCGGATGATTGTAGAATGCGCTCTAAGACCTTGCAAATCTCCTGGTATCTTTTAGGAATAAGTCGTAAAAGGGTATAAATCGCCCAATCACTCACATCAACGCCGGCTTCACGAAGAAGTTGATTTAAATCATGTATGCTCGCACGAATGTCTGCTGTTAGCTACTGCCAGTTAGCAAAAGCCTCTCTCTGAACATAAGGAGCCTACCTGTGAATCCATTTTGAATGATCTCTTACACAGACTGTGGACGGAACTGTTGGAAGCTAGGTTACTCGTCCTATTTTTCGATAAAGGACGCTTTGCCATTTCAGGACAAACGCGTGACCTCACGCGCTAATGCATGAGCAGGGATGGGACTCAGCTGCCCGGGCAGCTGAGTCCCATCCCTGCTCATCCCTGCCGAGAGATTATGATTTGGACTAATACACCCTCAGTCACTCGGAAGAGAATTTCAGCTTATTACGCCTTGAGAAACTGTACCAACCGCCATGCATCAGCTCAAAGTTTTAGTTCTGTGAGAATGGAAACTCGCATATAACCAAACTAAGTAAAGTCTGAGGGACTAAATCCATGCATAAAGTTGCGAATTTACATATCATTTTTATTATATAGATTCCTGTTATATAGTCGTTTAGTTTAGGGGATATAATGACTACGCACACCTACAAAGATGGCGAATCTGGTCACTCGTCTCTCTATCGCATTTAGTATTTTATCACGGGCCAAATAAAAGGCAAGACCTTGATTGTTGACAGAGGAAATTACCGACCTGATTAACTGTCAAATGCCTTCCACTTCAGGCAGCAAGATAAGAACAACTTAGTCCTGGAGAGGCAAGGTTTTTGGTCCCTGATTACGTCGAGGTCTTGGCACCAACTTAGGAGTGACTTAACCTGTAGAAATTTACAGTTGATGTACGTTGATCCAGTAGTAATAGAACAAAAGCTCGTTTCTATTTCTCCAACCAAATACATGAAACTTAGGTTGTTGGCAAATTATTTAGATGCGGGGCTTGAACTTCGCCCAGGGTCGCAGAGGCCGCATGCACAAGCATACCTTCGCTATACCGTTTATCAAGACTCTCCGCTTCAATGATTTCGTTTCCCTTTATTCATACCATGTCCATCAGATCAGGTACGCGAGGGCCAAAAAGATATAACAAGCTCATCATGCTCGACCGTTGGGGAACGCAATATGACTCAAGATACCCAAGGATGGAGAGTTGGTGTATGCGTCTTTCCAATGCAGTTACTTTTTTATCATGCACCAAAGCAGAGGTAAGACCTCAATTGCTGACAGAGGAATATACTGACATGTTTAGCCGTGGGATGCCTTCCACATTAGGCAACAAGATGAGGAAAACGTGGTCATGGAGGGCAGGGGCTGGAGGCTCAGTATCCCATTGGAGGAAATGAAGAGTTCCTTTCTTGGAATCTCGTTTCTTCTCCACCGTGGTGGATACTTCTGGTGCATACTTTTGCACACCATTCAACATCGCCGCGACGCAGACTGGCAACCGATATATGGCCGCAACGGATTGCGAGTCGTTGATTGGTCTCAAAAAGGGAGCTTGTGTTTCTGTAACTTGAAGTACGGGAGCGAACACGGCACGATACCATTTACTCTCCTGGAGACAACATTGCCTGGCCGACTAATGATTTCACAAGCTGAGTCCACTGGCATCGACGTTGATCAGAGCGCCGTGCTCATTTCCCTCACCCTTTTGCAGAATGCGTCGATTGGGAATCTAAAGTGCTTATGGCGGTGGATGCTCACGCTTTGTATTTTGGGGCTGAAGGGCATCTTGTGGATTCTCCTTACTCTGTACACTCAAGCAGAAGTGGTCTGCTATTGTTATCATGGTGAAGAGTTTGGGCAATTGGATTAATAGCATCAATGAGGAATATTTGCTTTCCCTATAACTTGGGCGCTTCCTACGCGACAGGTTGCTACGTTCCTCAGGTCACACCTGCTTCGGATTAGCTTATATCTTACTCCAATCGTCACGGTGCCGAAGCGAAATGGACATCCGTAGCTTAATTGAACCAACTCAAGAGCAGCAGGGGTCCTTACCTCCTGCAGCGTCTCTTCCATCCGAGGCGATATCGATCCAATTCGCAGTCGACCATAAGTCTGGTTCCTCAAGGGAAGCACAGCGACGCAAAGATAATGCCGAGGCATCGCGACGATACCGAGAGCGTAGAAGCAAGGAGAAGCATCTCATGCAGATAGAAGATGATCTAGGTATGCCTGCTATTCTACGTATTGCGTCCTTCCACTGATAATGTTAGTCGGTATATTGAGAGTACAGGAACTTCAGGACACATTTGTTATTTCTCCCCCAAACGATATCCTCGTCAATTGTCAAGAGCTTTTCGGTCCAGAGAAATCCATATTCACACCACAGCAGGTGTTTATCGTGATTCAGAAGATGTCAACAACCAATGAGGACTATCGCACAGAGCGTCATATACTCCTTCGCATTATGCAGACAAGACTTTGCTCACCTGGCATCTATGAAACCGACGAGGGCCGTTTTATTCGACTTTCTATTGCATTTTTCCGAGTATTTTCACTTCTCGGAGCTGAGCAGTTCTGTCCTGGACTTTTGAAAAACGAAGGTAATTTGGTAGACATCCAGGATATTGGCCATGGGATGTGGGAGATAAAGGTTCGTTTTCTGGGTTCACAACACGTTGTGTCGGTGCAAGGTAGCCTATTGGAGCTTACAGAGCAAATCAAGTTCAAAGGAACCTTTTCCCTGCCTCCGCCACCAAAATACTTGGCGTGAGCGGCGATACATTCCATGTGCCTCCCCAATCCAGCTACAGTGCCACAAGACAAATTGAGAAACTATTTCTCTTGTTGCGGATTATTTTCTCTATTATTGTTTTTGCGATGTTTGTCGTGTTTTTCTCCTCGTTTTTCAAAGGGTTTTTGGTCGCTAAAAATGTTCCCCTTGATTCGTTCAGTTGTTATAAAAGATCTAAGACAACCTCTAATGTTATTAATTGACCTGTTTTCCCAGCCTTCGCCTGCTCCCAGATAGTATTATCTGTTTCCGAACCTCCCTAATGACTTATTTCGATATCAAAAGCCTTCTTTCAGCAATAGAAAATGGCTCCTTTACAGAATTCAATGCACTGAGCCATGATTTCATGGGTCATATATATCGGGAGCTTCTGAGTGATGAACCGTCCAACTCACATAGAGCATTGGATGCTCTGATTACCCTACAACAATGTGGAGAAGTGTCACCTGAGATTCGAGAGGGAATTTGTTACTTTCTGCAGAACTCGCGTGACGTGCTTCTGTGTCAGTGGAGACTGTACAACGATTTCAAGCACGCTGTCATCAATCAACACAATGTACAATTTAAACCGTGGTGTCATGATGTCGTTTCTAAGTTTATACGTGATGATCCAGACTTTTTCAGGAAGCTTCTTCGTCATGGTCTCATTTACCCAAGTTGCTTTAATAGCGCAGGACTTAGTCTTGTCTACGTCGCATTAAATGAGAATCAGATCGACATTGTCTGTGAGCTAGTGTCAAAACTGACGCCGGAGCAAATTCTCGAGCCGGCATCTATCGTTGCTGCCCATCGCCAAGAGACAATTTTCGAGCTAGCCGTCACAAACGAACGCATATTTTCAATCTGCTGGACGCGGCTTGAGGAACTATCGGGCCAGATGCTTTGGGGAAAACTCCACCAGCATCATTTTACCTATATTTGCCGGTTTGCTACATCGAATCTCGCAGATCGCATGCTATCTCGCGGGCTTGACTTGGCATCCGTACTCCAAGTTGACCCTTTACATGCCTGGACCGAAATTGCTCTATATCACCCCAGTCCTAAAGCTCTCTACGAATGGTTCTCATGCCAAGGATACTGCCTTCCCCTTACAGAAAATGCTCTAGACACACCACTTCTTGCTGCAGCTCGAAATGATCGGGTTGAGGCAACAAGCTGGCTCTTATTTCATAGCACTGACTTGCGCGAACTGTGGCACTGTGCAATTGACGCAGCTAGGCGGCAGACAGCAGGCAGCATTCTTATATTGCAGATGGCTATGAAACGTATCTCTTTGCAAGTTCCAGTTCCTCTGCCAAATTGGGTTGAGAGCCTTGCCATTGAGATCGTTCAAGGTGCTTGTAATGAAGCTCAGGAGGGAAGGATGAACTTGGTAGAGTGGTATGCTATCCGGAAAGTTGGATGTGCAGTACAATTTGCCGAAGACTCGCTTTTGTTTTCCAAGAGTATGTTGACAATTGCAAGAGACGCAAATCTACTCAGCCTGGTGGAGTATCAAGAAACACTTAATCATGAAGCTCAAAAAATGCTAGCGCTTCGTCTTGAGTGCTAATTTACCCATAATGACAATTTCATCAAATAAATATCTTAGTCTTAATTCAAACGGGTTTACCCTGCGTGTGGATAGCTTCATGAAAGAGGTCGAACTCATTTGTAAAAAAGGAAAAAAACCCCGCCATCGCAGCCTAGTTGCCTAGATGCTCTAGATTTGAAAAATTATAATCAAAACCCAAAACCAGCCAGGCGAGACAAGGAACCTCTTACAACAGCCCTTGCTTGAAACTAACTGCTCATATCAACGCAACCTACACAATTAATACATTTGGCTCTTACGACTTGTGCCTCGTCGGTTCATGTATCCTTGATCGCTAAAAGGGTCCTTCTTATTTCTCACGGTTGCCAACAATAAGCCACCGTGTTTTATAAAAGCAATAAGATGAATTGAAATGGGATTTATTGACCTGTCTCCCCAGACTTCGTGTCCTTCCAAATTCATGTACGACACCAAGCATCGAATCGCAATGAATCCACTCGATCTACACCCTTACTTTATTGGTTTAGAACATCGTGAGTAGAGTTATACGATTTCATCCGATGATACTTATTATTGTCGTAGTCGTCAAGGTCGATGAGATGTCCCCTGCGTACATCTCTCCCCTTCAGGAACACATTATCCACGCATGCCAACAAAAGTTCCGCCTACCCTCTGAAGCAAGGTCATTTCCACCTGACCGGGTCTATGTTACGTTGATGCAACTAAGTCCACTTTGGGTCCATGCCAATCCGCTAGGCCAGAGATTATACCGCGCTTTATGTGGTAGAATGTTAGATCATTGGTTTGTGAGAACTGAGCAAGGCCTTTTTACCTGCCTTGCTCTTGCGTTGCAACAAAAAGTTTACGTCCGTTATAACATGCACCAACTTCTGCCTCTGGGATCGGACGCCCCATTCCATTTTGCAGTCCTGGATAGCCTTGACCCTGTTTACGACGAAGGCTTAGGCCTGTTTCTATGGAAAGCCAGGTTTTGCCTGGAAAGCTTTGAGGTGATATCAGTGACTGGACCTGTTTCAGACCTCGTTGAGTTATTCTTTAACCCTCGGCTAAGGCTGTGATTAAGATCGCACACAAAAGCTGTAAACAAATTCCCGTACTTGGTGATAAGTACAGCACTACATAGCTAGAGATTTCAATTTATTATGTTCATCACTATCTGAATAGTCCCAATGAAGATTTGTAGACAAGGCGTGGAGTTTGGTGGCCTCCAGAGTCAGTAACTGATCACTCTTAAACACATCGGACTTGGCCAATCATAGCGGGTAGACCAATGCACCTGATGATCATCGACTTCCCATTTCGGCTACGACACCAACCCTTGGCCTTCAAGGAAACTAGTGATATACATTTTGCGGGCATTTGATAAATTCTTCGCAGAATATTATTTAGACGACAGCCCTAAGCAATCCTCGATTCTACTGGGACGCTTTGTGGAGATCTCCCCCCATCCCCTTATCACTACATTAGCTTGGTGCGAGGGCAATTTATTAGCAGTTCTCACAAGGAACGGAGCTTCCATCCAAGGATCCACAAGGGAACACCCACCCCTTCTAGAATATGGGGTTGGCTTTTTGTAGGAGGATAGGCGGAAAATGAATATTCGGAAAGGGCGGTTTATGCGTGCGTCTCTGGCCCACTCACACTTAACGCGCTTCTTGACCAACCTTGACCGAGAAATGTTCTTGGTAGCCATAACGTCGACCAGAATTAATTGCTCTTCAACATCGGGACTCGACTTTCTAGGACATTCTCTCAGAACCATATGGTGTGATCACATCGCCTAACTCATCCCGGCCGAATTGACAATGAGTTTCGGTTCTCATTGCTGATTCGATATTATAGATAGATTGCAAGTGATATTCGATCCTAAGAATGGTAGAATAATCGTTCTTAATTTCCTCGAGTTGCCAACGATAATAAAGTCATCTGGAACTGTAATTGGGATCAATAACTGATTTAGATACATCCTCTTTTTGCAGAGGGGTCTGAGCTCAACTCAGCAAATTTTCTATATATCGGACAATTTTCTACCCCCTTTCCTTCGTCCATGACATCGGAGACTGGTTCAACTTTACTTTGGATTTAACCCCAATTACTAAATTGCACTATGTCTGATAACCACCCAGGCAAGTCCCAGATCAGAATGGCTCCCAAGCAGTACTAACTTCATCAAAGATGGAATGGTAATTCAACGTCACAAGGAGCCACATATCCTCATTCCAAAGTCTCTCATGGATGACTGGGTGAATGCCTATGGGAAACAGGATTTATTCACTACAGTCCCACAGATAATCAACGCGATCAAGGCTATCGAAACCTGTCAGAGAGTGGGACCGTCGAAGTCGAAGAAGATAATGGAAATTTTCCATCACTGCATAAGCAACAGCAAGTTCTTCGCAACTAAACTCGGCAAATATGTTCAAATCGCGGTACTGGTGGGCCATGAAATTGACCCTGAAAAATATCTCAAAGGGTCCCGGGCAGTATGGGACGGGGAATCTCCCATGAAGTTGATGGATATTGCTTTGAAGGAGGATCCTCAGGGGCATCATATGATCCAGGCCACAGTCCACTACTGGGGATTCAATGCCGGCGTGGTGAAGAACATTGCAGAAATGTACGAGCTATTGTACTAGAGAACTTTGCTACTTCGGTACTTGTTTGCCACTGTGTCTGTACTTAGAGGTTTAACCGATGTACATATTGAGAACCACATAGATGGCCAATTGTTGGCACTACGAATCCTAAATTCATGGGCTTATGGGACATAGGGAGCTCCAAGCCAAGTCACCTACCTGAATATGGTCAAAGTAGTAGTGCTATTTCTCCAATTGCGACCACGAATTGCCAGTACCCATGATGAATTGACCGGTGAATCGTGACACATGAAAATATGTTTGGGATTTGGCGTCTAAAAGAATGATGTATGCCTTCCATTGTGACTACTACATTTCGAGAAACGCGTTTCTGCCAGGCTACAGATCTTTGACGTGGCTGTTAAGATATATCAATTGTCAGCTATAAAGCCTGTTCTTTCCGCAGCCAGCTGTCAGGATAAACATTTATCTGGTCCTCTCTTCTATTTCTTCTCTCGCTATTTCATCGAACGTTCCTCATCTCTATTATCACCGTATTTGATAGACCAGAATGGCAGAACCCAACAAATCTCCCGAGGATCCTCTCCAATGCCCTTCTCTCTTCGAGAACCTCGAAGATTTACGATGGGATGATATGATTTCCTCAATCGAGTCGGATATATTCTCCAAAAGACTTGGTTCGCATGATGCCGTGCATTTTCTTTTTGAGAAAATGCAAAACAACGATACACCACTCTTGATTAGACAAGCCATCAACACGGTCTTCAGCAGACCATCGCTACGACAAAAGATTGAGAAGGAGTGGAATCTGTACCCTGATTATGCCGATGCGAAACGCCATCAACATGAGATTAACAAAGGCGCCCCCTATGACCTCGCCTCGTGGTCTATTGAACATTGCCCTTCGTGCTTCAACAATCTTCTGGATTATGACATGATTCAGCCCTCTTCATTCTCCAAGACTGGATATAACTTCTTTTGGCTTGCACTTAGGAGTGAAAGGCATGACCTGATGGAGCGCCTGGTGTGCTTGATGGATCCCCAATTTCTTCTTGAGCCCTTCTCAGTGAGAGAAGCAGAGAAATACCGTGATACAATGTTTCAGATCTCTACATGGAATCGGACATGGTTTGCCGTCTGCTGGGCACGACTTCGGTCATCGCCACACTGCAGGGCTGGTCTAGCTTCACTTGGGGAAAGGGAAATTGAGAACATATTTCGGCATGTCGACATCGGTGTTGCAAACCAATTACTGGAAGCAGACTTAGACATTGGAGAGCCCTTCTTAGGCAATGCGTCCCCTGTTTGGCTGACAATTGTTCATCGGGTTGACCCAGAGCCAATGTTAACCTGGCTATTAAACCGCGGCCACCTGCCCCCTCCAAAATTCCTGATATATGCTGTGACACACAAGTCTATCCCTACAACAAAGTGGATTATGCATCATGTTTCATTGACCGAAGATTGGCGCGACGCTATCTGTGTGGCCGCAGAGGGTACAGACTGCACAAGCGCGCAACTGATGTCAATCATTCTGCGGGTATCAGTACCAAAATTGAGAACATGCCCAACTATGTCTCAAAATATGGTCATAAAGATTGTCAATGGAGTGTGCCAGGAAAAAAAGAGTCTTGACGAATCCTCATTTCCCCCTAATAATGCCTGGAAGAAGACCGTTGAGGCGCTAGAACGTGGCGCGGTCCAGAAGATCAAATCTTTGGGTGAGGTAGTTGGGAAAGTTGAGGTCCTCGGTGCCAAATTGGCAGCAGAAGATGCTGGGTTTTGCCAGCTTTCAGAATCTCTGAGCCTCATGGGGAACGAAGATATACTAAATTGATTGAAATCTGCTGCCCAGGCCTGCTTCCATCAATTCAACATCGATACTGGCAGGTGAAGACGATAGACGAGTGCTTGTTATTCTAACTCAACAATGCCAATCTCTATTCTAGTATCAGTTATCTAGAAACTATTCTCTGCGTGGTACATAGATTTTTGCTCATAATAGCTAAGCGGGGAGGCCCAAAATGACTGGATTAGTATCCAATATGCAAACTAATTCCAAATTGTTTATAAGCCTGAGTCTGTCGATTAGCTACCGGGGTCGCCTTATGACTTTCTCTCAATCTATTCGGATAATCAGTTCCACAGCATGACAGAGCATCCTATTTTATCCCTAAGGATCACAGTTCGTAGGATGGATCAAGTTGCAGATTCGAGTTCTCAGGCGATTGCATCGTGTTGGTTCTTGACTGACGATTCAGGTCTTGCTCCTGCTGAATTTTATTCAAACGGAGAAGCATAATGCTAATCCACTCTTTAAATCACAGATGCTCCCGCGCAATCACCTCGAATTTTGGACAACCTAGTTCCCCCCTCCTGAGATAAAGAATTACTAATTAGAAGCCAGATGAGCATCTCTGAGCTGCACATACACATCACACAGTTCGTTTCGGTGAAGATTGAGGTCGCAAGCAGATATTATTTCTTTAAGCAAGTTTTCCGGCGATGAAAGTATAATAAAGAGAGGACTTCCTCTTCAAATTCACAGTTTCTCTATGAAGCCTTGCAGATATCTCAATACCGTTATTCATCCCTACCGGATGACAAGCAATATAATGCAAGCCAACACCGCCCTTGTGACAAGCATTGTAACCCACCACGCTCCCGCCTACGGGTGGCAGCCGATCATTTCTCCCGACACCGTGATGATGCCGACATCGAATTGCCCGTCTATAGCAGAGCACCAGGCTCAGTCTGTCGACGCCCAAGACTCTACTGGATATATTTGTGAAGTTGCTCAGAGTATGATTGGTTGAAATGATTTTGCATTGCTTCAAGCTAATTGTACTAGACGTGGCTATAGTGGAAAAGCAATCCCCTGCCGGCACAGTGTTCATCCCGATCCAACGACACCTTTCTGAACTCTGCACAAAGTTTCATTATCGACAAGAGAATGACAATGAGTACACGCTGGGAGACATTTACTTAGCTTTGAAGTCCGAGACTGGATATGCCAGGGCAGAGTCGTGCACATCACCTCTTTTCTTTCGGCTGCAGGTCCAGCTGATGGATAACAGTTTCGCCTGCAGTGAACAGGGGCGATTCGCACAGCTTCTAATTTACCTACATCGGCCTATCAAGAATCCGCAGACAAGGGGCTCGTCTTATCCCTCTCAATGGAATGGACCAGCTCGAAGAAGCCAGATTCGACCGTTTACTTCCTTATCAACAAATGGGCCGCACTCATCCGGGATACTACTGGATGCACATCTCCCTCCCCGCCTTTGGTGGCTATGTGCTAAATGCGATGGGATCCCCCGAGCAACTCTTATGCCTGTTTAAACCAGATAGATGAATAGATAGAGATGCTCCCAAGATCACAAATACGTAAATATGTAGCTCTTTCGAGATGAATTACGTCAGTGGTTGTTGATGAGAATCCGCGCAAGGAAGTTTCATCTAGTTATGTCCGGTGAGGAAGGTGCAAGTAGATCAGGTAACTGGAAGAATTAAGGTGCGGATAAAAAGAATATTTGCATGTCTGCTCCAACTTCAGTCAGCTCTGTGTGCATTGTCTACCCGGTGGAAATCAACCACGGAAACAGCAACTACCGAGAGGTGCAAAACTATATGAAGATCCTGCTCCCCGCTGATTGAGGCGTATGTGTCTGCTCTGTTCACTATCCAATATGCTTCCATATTCCGCTCCGCTCGAACCGGGTTTGTTGATTACCTCTCGGTTCTCAATGGAACAAATGATTTTTCTAATTTCTTACATGCTCCTTCAATCTTCTTTACCTGCCAGACTTGACGATGGGCGCCAAATTCAGGACATTGTATCTCGCAAAAGAACTGCTTGGTACCCCCGAATTGGGGAAGATGGATTCAACGAGATGAAAGGCAGCGACTGGAACTCAATTAGTCCGACAACCCGAGAGCATTGGGGCAGTATTCGAAGCTATCTCTTGCAGGAGAGGTTGATTCAGTCCCGAGTATCCAGCGAAGACATACGGACACATACATGTGATATCCTGTGTCGCATTGAGCAGATATCCTCACATAGTTTGCACGCTGTGATTACCCCGAGAGTTACCTTTCCAACGTCAACAAAACGACTCGGAGAGAGAGCCTATTTGACTTTGATCTGCCTCAGTGTCGGTGTGACATCAACACCAATGGAATCCCGGTTGAGCTCCTTGATCACCGCTCTCAATCAGCAGCAAGTGCAACGAATGGTTTCCGCAGTACACAGATCACCTTTGTTTCCAAATTCGTTTTCTGATCATGAGTTTTTGAGGTCATTGGGATCTTTGGAGGTACTTTTCTGTACACATGACCAAAATGTGGACGCCGAAACATCAGATGACGTACCTATCACCGAGGAGGAATTTGTGATAGAAATTGAAGAGCGAGTCTATTCATCGTGGTGGTGTGCCACCGAACCTCAACCCCCGAACCTCAGCCTATCATCTCCTGCAACCAAGGAACAACGCCGCCACCGTCAAACGAACTCAACACCTGAAGGTCTTCGTCTAGAAGCCAGCCCAACGTCTTCCCAGCATCGATCTTCCAAGAAGAGAATAAAAGGCTGCAATTCTCTCTAAGTACTTTCCTGTTAGAGAATTAATGTTTTGGAGCCACAGGGAACATAACGCATCGTGGGTTGACCCTGAAGTTGTCTTCTTCAACTAGCATTGCTTTTGATAATGCATAATCAATTTATCAAAATGTTCAAATGACATTACGAACCAATCGGCTAGCGACTGATCCCATATGAGAGAACAATTCTCAGTTTCTCTCTTGTATCTTTGACGCATGTCAACTAGCGCTGCGTGTGCCCTTTGGGCATAAGAACGAATGCCATCTGGTGCGAAGAGCTTGTCTCCACTCAACAATCGTGTATCATTATATGTGGTGAAGCGTTGGAAAACTCGATTCTTGCCAATCGGTCTCACAGCGAGATCGACTTCGTCTTTACCCAAAGGAATGACCGCACAGATCACATCCTCGAGGCCAATGCGTACATTCTTCGAGCTGGAGCGAATGCGGACTGTCTATAATTGGGTATAAGAGGTCTAATACCAGACTAAGGGACTTGCGGAATACATACTCACTTCCAATGCCATGATGGATCTTGCACGCAGCGCGGAATTCCTGTTGTGGCTACATCCTGCACAAAGACCGACTTATAGGCGAGTGCTACTAATACAGCATCTACGATATAAGGGGCGGAGGTGTGTGAACGACTGATGGCTCCACAGGGTGGATAGAATACTCCATGCACATGCCAATGAACTGACTTGTTCCACTGGGGAGCACATCGGCAAGATGGACCGGGACGGTTTCCGTACAGCACCTCAAGGTATGATCGACGAATCATTGACCTTTTCGATGGAGCTCCTCATCATTTGTCTGCAGGTAAAACAGTGGTTGGGCTGATAATTGGTCCGAAGCAAGAAGCACGGTTGTTTTCGTAAAAGGAAATGTACTTGAGTACATTGCCCTTTACGGACGGAAGACATAAAAAGGAATGGGCTTTCCACAGAAAGAGAGAACCATCTTTCTCCTACCATGCCTCGGCGCGCGCGTCGGCGAGCAATTCCCTTCGAGGGCGACGATGAACAGTACATCAAGCATTTAGAGCGCTTGGTACTGAGCGTTCAGCCACTCCTGAACTTTCCCATTTCTGATGCTACCGGATCGTCAGCCAGTGATATCCGGTTTATTGAGTGGCAGCCAAGCAAACTCTCTCCGGCTCCAAGCCCGCAATTGATGAAGCAACTGGTTGCCTTCATTGAAGGCATCCCTCGCGAAGATCGATGGCAGGAGGCAAGGGTGAAAACAGGAATCGATACACCGTACCGGAACTTCCAGGCTTTGAAACTGATTCTAGGTCATGCCGATCCTGCAATTTTTCATGCCGAATACGAAATCGCCGCTCCGCCATCAGCTCCTCTCGGGAGCGTTGATCTGGTGGCAAGAGGATGTGCATACGGCCGATTCATTGCTCGATGTAGCCATGATCAATGTTTCGCTGAAAGCGTGGTTGCCTTTCAGCATCTAGTCTTCTACAGTTTTTGTGTGGTCATGATGCGAGCTGGAGTGTCCCCAGAGACTACCAACGCCACCATGCGGCGCTACACCGGCAAGAGCCAAAAGGACCACACCCTGGAGAAATATCGCAACGGGGCTGTGTGGGCCAATCGATGTATAGCTTTACTATTGGAGAATGGATGGGGACATAAGAGCTGGGAGATTTTTCTTCTCAGTAAGTGTTTACGCGGCGTCGCCATGACTCTCTCTCACTTCCTGCCTCAGATAGTCAGACTCCAGCGCAAATTGCCCGCTTTGCCGCTTACGACAAAGACAGCTACAAGGCAGTAGCCCATCGACTAGGACCAGCAAATGTTCCTCTGTGGGAGACTGGGTGGATACCGTACTGTCTTCCTTGTATCGTGAATTATCTCACGGGATACACAATCTCGTAAGACACCATCTCCAGCCTCAGATGGCCTCGCTGATAACACCACTCCAGGTTGGAGGAGATCTGCGACATTCTAGGTTACGGAAGGCTCCGGCCTGCTTTGATGCGGGCAACCTCTGCACATTTTATAGAATCATTGAAGTCGCCTCTCACCAACAATGACATTCTGTGTAGTTCGACTGAGGGGGAACTCGCGGAGTTGAATGTGCGGCTTCCTTGAATGAAAAAAGCTACGGAGATGCTTCGGAGTGTCCTTCTACCACCAGGTAGTCTACTGTTGGCGAGATGATAGCGTCCGTAGACAACGTGTAAAAGTACCCCACCAATAAAGTCATAATATTGCGGGCCAAATCTCGAATCGCGGGCGTGTTGGCAATGACGTTAATGGGAATTACGTAGGTTCGGTGATCAACGGATATCAATCGAGCGTCTGCGGCGCGATGCATCGTGTATTTACATCCCTATATGAGTTAACATGGCCCACCGATGGGACTCTCATGACTTACCGCCAGGTTCATCCCCTGTAAAAGAGGTTTTACCAAGGACTCCAAGCTTGTGGAACAGTAGTCTCGATCTCCTTTCCCGTGTATGTTGTAGTCGATCGCTAGATGCGCACTGTCACGCGCCCACGCGCCCAGCTGCTTTCGTGCGGTATCGGCAGCTGGAGTGAGGAGGAGAGGCCCGTCCACTCCTCTGACCACGTCTGGAATGCTGTACTGACCCATCTGCGATGTCATTCATTTCTGAATTAGTGGCTGGACACTCTGGCTGGGGAATGAAGTCCCTACCATCCCGGCGAAGTACTTTGATCCCTGGCCTTCTTTTCGTGATAAGCATTCCCTCGACTTGTAACCATGGTCATTGCGGGGCAGGATGTGGCAGTAATCACATGTGATTTATGATTGGTGTTGCGGCTGTTGCGGCCGTCCCGCAGAGCGATGCTGGTTTGGTTAGGTGATGACCTAATCACTTATCGGTGGAAGGCGTTTTGCAAGGTTGGGGGGAGTCTATGGCTGGGAGCATTCTTAAATATATTTTACATTGTCAATAGCCCATTCGAACTATGCTGAAGTTCATCGATAACTCCAGTTCACAATGGCTTCACTGCCAAACAACAATGTGAAGGTTGGCACCACCCCTTTAAAGGTAAGCCTCCAGAGATGATCCAAATTGTTTCGCACACTGATTACTGGAGACTTTGAGAGTGCTCATTCCTGATACCCACCCAAGTATCGACGAATATATCAACGCGAAAGGCCTTCGTAATGCTATTCGCGCAGTCGTCCCACTTGAAGAGACTGCTAGCCGCCCTGATCGCCGCACCCTGGCAGATCTGGCAGTGGTCGGGAAAGAGCTTTCTCGGGTAGAGCGGTGCCTTTGTTGTATCACATCGCCACTGAATGATCTAAGCATGGTTTTCATTCCTGGTGGCTCTGTTTCCGATGATTTGGCAGACCCTGAGAGGCGAAAATGGCTCAGATCTGTTTGGGTCTATAACAAATATTTGAAAGCACAGATAAAGCTGAGTGAGACTGCGACATCGTCTGTACTTGAATGGTATAAAATGCGCTTTCGTGAAATAAATACGACCATGGATCAAATCTACAGAAAGGAGCCTTTGATTCTGGACCGAGCGCCATCGGTCTCTTGAGTTCTAGGGTTCAGTGGTGTTATTCCCATAGCGAGACGAGTGAATCCCCTGTTTAGATTATGATTTACACTTAACTCTACCAAAAGTGTCACTCTACAGAATCAGCCAACTTTGTTGCCGATTAAAACAATCTCTTAGCCTCAGATCCTTCCCATTGGTTAAAGCATATGCACGATTTTTGTGACCTGTAAAAGGACAAACGTGGTCCTGAGCTATTCGATATAAGATAGGCAAAGCACTGTAGTCTTAAATTTTGCATTCCCCAGGAATGGACGCTTAGCTATTTCTCAGGGGATTCTCTCTGATTTCTGATTATGGTTGACCCATCGTGGCTGGTTAGGCTCCCACCTATACAACCAGATATACAACCAGTTGCGAATATTACTTTGGAATCGATTCACAAACTCCTCGATATCTCCAAAAAGAGAGAAAATCAAAGCTCCACCCTCCCGCTCGATGCCTATGTGCAAGATACTGACCTTGGTACATTGAGTTGTGATCCCATACCTCAGCCAGCATCGGATTTGCAAAAGTATCCAAGTACACTACACAACCAGCTTCCCATACACGGCGGGGCCGTCCTGGGGAGCTCAAGGCAGAGCAAATACACAATACGGCAAAAAGTCGCCAATCTCGGTCCAGAGCCAACTGCGACAATGACTCGGAGTCAGAAATGCGAGCATCCTGGGTGTACTTCCTCATTCTCGTATCAATCTATACTCAAGTGAGTAGAGGATGACAATATGATTACCCGACCATGCTAACCCTGATATACGAAACGGTTCCATATGATTGTACACTCTCAGGATCGGCCCTACTACTGCTCTGAGGAAGGGTGTAAATACCCACAGGGGTTCAAGCGAATGAATGATTTGAAACGACATGCGCGGAAACATAGCAATCTACGCTACAAATGTCCTTTCTGTCAAAAGACTTATCCTCGAACTGATAGCCTGCAACGGTAAGTTGACCCTCTATACTATCAAGAGCTATCTTTGAGTACTTATTAGACTCCTGCAAGACATGTTCGGATAAGCCACAAGGACAAAAGCCTTGAAGACCCTACTCTCCAAGAAATTCTCGACCAAGGGCGCTCTGGAAGAAAACGACCAAGGCGGCAGAAATAGTCACCTCAGGAAAAATGAAGAGACATGCAATCTTCGTGATTGCGAATGCTATAGTATCCAACAGAGACTTATCTAACTACACACGTTGAGGCTCAAAACACAACCGGCCATCCTAAAGTAGAGGACATCTTTTTAATAAAACTCCAAGGTCCAGCCTGGTTGTAGTCCGCCATTGCTCCCCCTCAGTTGAGAAAAAGTTTCCGATCCGATCTCCTATAAGCTTAAAGTGACTGCCACTTGGTTTTATGCAATTGATTGTCTGCGCTAAGGTCTTGGCAGTGGGGCCCCAAAAGAGTGATAGATTTTGAGAACGAGTATACCCATGAAATCAACGCTGACGTTTCCATCACAAACTTTCGGCTTTCCTCAAGAGCTCACATGTCTCACATAAAGTACATCCTGTCATAGATACATAATAATTTTTGTTGTAAATACAAAAGCAAGCTTGACTTTCTTCTTGAGGAAATACATGAGGCTATATATACAGCATGAAGTCCAAGTTGATTTCCAATCAACTTGGTTCTTCCTATACATAGAGCAGGAATTATTTCCGATGTTGCGGCTTCATTCCTGAGCAGCAAGTGCCAGGTATCACAACAATTTTCATTCTTATCTTGAGAGCCTCTATTATGCCGTGTGTCTTTTGTCCGAAACCAATTCTTGCCTGGCGCTATCTCCACACACAAATCGCGCAAAGGTCAGGCCCGGTTGATGGAATTTTGAGCCATATCAAACCCCTGATGATGACGCCTCTTCTCCGTCCCTTTCTTCCATTTCGAGGTCAGAGGCAGGAGTTTCGGACAGCTTTTCCTCATCGAAAGAGGGCGGATGACTCTCAAAATCCATTAAAATTCCCATGGGAGTCCTCGGCCAAGGCGTCCGGTTCTCAGGCCTGAACAGCAGGATCACCACTAGACGCTCTCTTTCCTGAGAATCATAGGGGATCTCAAGGGATGATTCATACTTTCGGACATATGCGCAGCTCCACTCACCACCGGGAGAACCGTCTTTATGTTCCTGAATCAATTTTTTGACGAGCATCCTCAGGGCCTCTGGTAATTCTTGGTACTGCGAGGCCGCGGACTTCAGATCTGCACTTTTGTCCACCATTTTGTACAGCTCATCCTGGCTCAACAACATTTCGGTGTGTTCAACTCTAGACCAGCGAGTTTTTTCTCCGGGGATAGGATCCGCCTTGTATATTTTCAACCCTTTGAAGATCATTTCTGTGGATGTTGAGACTCTGGTGATATATTGCCATGCACGTCTGATTGATGGTTGCTTTGTGATTCGTATAGCTGAGGTAGGTAGACAGAATAAGTAATCTCCAAAATAGGTGCAAGAGATAGTGTTGTTGAAGTGCAGTCCTCAAGAACAAGATGGGTATTTATAGGGTTCCTGATAGGACGGACTTTCAGGACTGGCTCCCGCCCGGGTTGAAAGATTTTTGACTCACTAAGGGATGTAACTATTGCCGGTGGATCCAAGCTGAATAATATGATTGAATTAAAAGTGGTTGCCTGACCATGAAATTTGGAGCGCACTCGACTGTATCAGAAACTACTTCGTTTTCGTCCCAGTATGCGCCCGAGGCTATCTCAGTTTCCCCTGAGGCAAATGGACGTGACCGGCAATTATCGCCACTTGAGTCACATATTAAGACATAGATATCACACTCCCAGGAGTACTTGAGAGATTCATTGCACTAAATCAGCCGTAACTATCTCACGGGGTGGCTATTTTAACCTTCGGTGTAGAGCGAGGGATCTGCAGGGAATGATTATCTCCCAACCTTCCTGGTAAATTTGACGGTTCCAAGCATCAACATGTGCTAGCAGACACGCTCAGCGTCTACTTCAATTACTAAAACAACAGTCTTGAAGCAGAAACTCCGTGGTGCTTGGTTGCTCCACCTACGGTGACTGCATGGGCTGAGGAATAATCCGTTGTGCTTCTAGCGACCGACTAATGAGCGCGTCAGCGACCAACTACCTGCGTCAACTAGGTAAGGTTATAATCAGCCCGACCAAAAACAAGACAAGTGAACAGAAATGTAAGTCGAGTTCTACTGCGAATAGTATGGATTACTTTTTTTCAGTCCGTTACCCAGCTTTTCTTCGCCAATGACTTGCAAAGAGCTATAAGTATTATGATCATATCGCAAGACGCTTGGTCAGGGCTCCCTTGGAATTATCTGCAAAGCTTCACAAATTCCTGTTTAGATCGTTAGATCCTCTTTCTGCTGATATAGAGAAAGATGTTTGACCATGTTGGAGACCTTCATAGAAAGCATCGCAAGCTCAGTTCTTATTTCCTAGCAGCCCTCTGTCTTGAAAAACAGAAAACAGATTACTTGATAGTTGAAAGATCTGAAAACTTGAAACGGTGAAGGTTTTGGGATCAAGCAAATATAGATTCAACGTTAGAATTTGCCCAAAGTGACGGTCAACAGGGATGTTATCAGGGGAGTCCGCAAATAGTTTCGGAGTCATCTAACATCGGATTACTAGTACAGCTAAAAAGATTGCTTGTTTCGACTGTGATATGCCGGACAATAGAAGGTCACTGTGTAGGATTTCAGTTGGTATTTGACGCAAAAGAAAAGCGATGACTTCGTTGCAGAATACAGTACAATTCAATCACGGCTCCGAAAATTTGCATAAGACGCTCACAGCGCAGCATTTGGCCAGGTGAAGAGAGTGATTCATAGAGGACTCTCCCACAGGACTTTCTTTGACAACAAGCAACAATAGAGGGTCTCTTGTCAAATTTCTCATTAATGGGTATCTTGCTAAGTAGAGTCTGAAGGAATTATGTATTCTTATTATGAAGCGGAAAATGTGAGGGGGGTTTTCTTACTACGTTTTGACGCAGCAGTCTCACCAATCCTGTACTACTTCGCACTTCATGTTTCATTCCCAGGTAGATATGTACAATTGCTCCCAAGTACCTTCATGATTTGATAATCACAGACTGGATAGGGTAGTTTACCAGGTTCTCCAAACCCTTTACGAGTAATCTAGAAAAGTACGACTAGAATTTCCTTCGGAAAAAGGGTATCATGAGGGCCCTCAGTATTTTCTCATCAGGGGCCAGTCTCGTAGTATAAAGTGCCGAGAAATGCCATCCTGGAGAGCCTGAAAAGCCTTATCATCATCTCCGCATGCAGTTTGGCGAACTGGCTGACTTGGAATCCAAAGGTCATCATGCCGAAGTATCAGCAATCTGAAGTTGATGAAATGGAGCTGGGTGTCTTTGCTCATCGCTGACGACGAATCCAATTGTCCGCGAGAGTCCACCTCGCACATTTTTCTTTTGAACAAAGCTTTCGCAGGCAGACGGAAAAAATGGGAAGAACATCAGGCGGCTCCAACGGGGCATGAAGATTCAAGGTTGCCGACGGTTAATGCAAAATAATCACATTCTGGCAGGACTCTGATATTCTGCATTGCATTCCTCCTTTCACTGTATTAGATTCGATCGACGCAGGAGCATTGTCCCCGATTGAGTGGTCTATGTGATCCTTTTCTGGAAGTGCTTTGCCGAAGAGCATTGAATGTGATGTACACTCAAGTCCCTCTCCCAATAGGCACTCAGGATTAGATAATTCGGTGTATGTGAGATAGTCTTCGATACATACCTCGTTTAGTGATGATTAACAAATCGGAGGCCGCTCAATTGTCAGTCATCTGGAAACCTATCCTGCTTATGCAGAGAGCTGCGATGCTACTGAGTCGCCGCTATTTCATAGACACTAGGGTACGTACTATGATAGACAAATGTTTACACCTAACCAATAATTGACCCTATGGCTGATCGCTCTGTTCTTAGTTTGGTTGCCGGATAGGCGGCGGACACACTATGGCTGTTCACAGCAATTGGTCTCGAATACCGGGCATCTATTACGTTTGCCCATCTCGACTGCTCTCAAAGGTATTACGCTATGGTCTCCGTCAATCAGGATATGGCACTTTGGGGTTTCTCTACGCTTTCTGCCAATCCGGACTCAGGAAACAACCTCGGTAAGCCCGGGAATTCCAGGCGGCTTACTTCGGGAAGGCTTCACACTCGAGTATCCGCCACGGTCAAACTTTGTCGCCACTCCACTTGAGAGTTCTACAGAAGCGACAAGAACAGGGGATAGCTAAACTGATCTAAACGTACCCTTGCTGACCAGAGAAGAACCTTATCTTTTTAGAAAGACGCAGCCTATTATTCAAATTTTCAAATTGGATCTTCATTTTAATTTATTGGTTAACTATAGCCTTAGTTCTCTGACGAAATCAGGGTGTTACATGTAAATGAGCTTTGAGACTCCAAGGACTTCTGGATATTCGATGTACAACCTAATCCCAATAGCCCATTTAGCCTTGCCAAACCCCACCTTTCCCATATGATTAGTGAATCCAGTATGTCGGCAGTTGTGAGAACCTCCACTTTGACAGTTACTTGTAGTCTAATATCTCATTCATGCAAATCAATGGCATACGGATGGATACGATGTAGTATCAAACACATCGCATAATGACCTCGTTCAATCGATATTCTAACGCGAAGCCATCTATCTATAGAGTCTTTACCTCGAGATAATGAATATCCGCTCTATTCCAAGACTTACATGTCAAATCTGGACGTGAAGTTTGAAAGATTCAACTCCAGAGAAGGCACGGACGAGGCCAACTGATCTGAGGAGGTAGTTGAGGGAGCCATCAACTGATTTGACGACGGGAGTCTCATATCGTCGGTGTGAGTCTCGCATTTGGCCTCACGATTCGCCTGAATACTAGGTCGTTGCGAGACACGAGGTGGTACCTTGATCTCGCACACCGTATGCACAGATTCGGAGTTTGATTCTGGGCATGAGGGTAGGCGTGATCGTCCCACCAGATTAATGTCGCGCTCTTGCCTGGCGTATTCGGGCATCTGAAAGGCTAGGGCAGGAGGCGAAGTGTATCCCAGCTTTCGCAGACGATTCAAGACCGTGAATTCCAGCTTCAGCTTGATGCTATAGACCACGGTTTTGAGACTGACTTCAATGTAGTGGAGCTTGTACTCGGCCACGAGCAGCAGTATGTTCATGAAGACAACAAGGATATTGATCCAAAGTAAGTGAAGGATGATTTTCCGGTCCGCTTGGTGATATAAATTTCGCTTGCTCCTCCTTTGTTCCAATGCCTGATGAATATAGACTCCAGAGAGAACCAACTCCTGCAAACAGAATCCGGTCACCTGAATCCGATCGTAGATAGCTGCCGGTCGGGCAAATTCGCTGTGACCACTATTCAGACCGTAGAAGAGTACTGTCATCGGAACATGCAGTGTGAAAAAATTTGCAACAATCATCCATAGCACCCAGCGGAGTTTCAGAGGGTTCGTCGCGAGCACATTCAGGCGGGAATAGAGCACCATGGCTTGTCCCGTCACCATAGCATACCACCCCACTATAAACGGAATGGACATGGCCAGGTTAGATGACTGGGATAGAAATCGTATCATAGCTGGGATCGTATGGACCAGTATACCCCATGATGCTACCTGCATGCTCCAGAAATAGAGCCCTCGGTAACGTCTGAAAGAGTCAAATACGGCGATTCCTGTCTCCAAGGCGTTGTAGGCACCGATAGAAAACATGGATATGATTTGAATGATAGAGATGTTCTCGATGAGAATGGCTCCCACATTGGGCGGCAAGTTGGTGATGATAGTGTCCATGGCAGTGTAAGGCAAGAATGTGGATGGAAAGATAACAATTTTGAATAGAGACAAACGAGGTCGAGTGAAATACCGTGCCAGGGCCTGGCTATTAATTCTTACATCGGCCTGAGTGACATAATCACACATTAATGGAATCCATTCTCAGAATATCGTACGAGAGTTCGCCTTCACAAGTCATGATGTATCCTGTCTGCACGATCACGATACGAACAAGATTAATGAGATCAAGTACGAGTAGAGTGGAATTGCGTGTGGTATCAAAACTCCGGGAACCAGTACTTCTGGGAACCCCTTCGAGAGTGAGGGTTTTTGGGCTGGAGCAAAGTCGCTGACTGGCGGTGACAAGGGATGCCCTGAATAGAGCCACAAAGGTTATTTCTCATGGATATCCATGGATGAGCAACCATTGGGATATATTTGTCAATGTTCGTGTCGGCAAGTTGGTAGAAAAGCCCCTGTTCCAACAACTCAGAAGTTAACAACTGAAAGAGCCAATAAGCATGTGCGAATCAATACAGCTGATCCTTGGAACAGATTGGTTGAGATCACAGATGGCATGAATCATTGGCTTTGAATTTGGAATTGTCCATCTTGACTGATGCTGGTGGGCCCTGAGAGTCTAGCACGCACGACTAATACTTATTTCGGCCTCGCAAGATGGGTACCTCCTACCCTGGTTATGGTCGTCCCAATTCTTCCTACGAGCCTTTTGTTACATATGATTTCGAAAACAAATTACCCCCCTGACACACTCTCTTTCTGTTCCAGCGCCGAGATGGTCTAACTCGTATATGGCTAGCGAGATCTCTCTGTGGGGTGAGTACATTGGCGTGATTGGTTTTAAGATGCAGCGATCTAGGCCTAGTGATGGTGCATGACGCCGAACATTTCTTTTGTGGGAACAGCTCCACATTTGGAAAGGCTTGATTGGTCTGTTGGCCCAGACGGGGCCGAAATAGAGAGACGGGATCAATAGGCTAGTACTGTCCTTCACCCTTGATTAAGGACTCTCATACCTAACGCGAGTCAGCGTCACTGCCGTCTGCGGTCTAGTCCTCTCTCATTTGACTCAAAAACTCAATTGTGTCAATCCCCACCGAGTTGCCAGGGTTCAGAGTTCTCGTAAAAATCGACTCGCCATGCGAGCCAAGCACTACTGAAAATTAGCGTGAACAAGGTCCGGGTTCTCCACCCGTCCCGATTTCGAATCTTTCCGGGTACTCTGTACAGTACATTTCAGGCATTGGTGATCATGATCGGCCGGGATCTCAGGTCCCGCGAAAGTGTAATTTTATGCAGTTTCTCCAATGCAGTGCAGTTTTTGCGTTTCTTTAGATACTTCAGAGGGTCCATGCTATGCCAGGACTCCAGGACTTACGTTCTAGATGCAACATTCTATATTTCAGTGGTGTTATAGCCCGCCTTGGAAGGAATGGTATTCGAGGAACGCCCACTTTAAGAACGTCGACCGAACGTATCATGCTAGTCTACAATCACGATGCAATGATAATCATTTTCCAAGTTAAACAAATCGGCGCGCAGAGACTTGAACAAAATGAAAGATCCCGCTCATCGCCTTGAAAGCCGTCTGCGCAGGGCGTGGCAATTGTCCGGCGACACCTGCTGCTCGGCCTGGGAGGTCGTGCTGATTTTCTCCTCCGGAATCGCCAGTCGGCCAAGGATATCAGCCAAATCAGTGCGGACCACCTCGTTCACATTTCCTAGGTTGTGCATAGAATCTTCCACATTCCCGTGTCTTATATCAGCCCACACGTCTACAGGATGAATGCACCCAAATTTCGCTTACTTCATTCGCATATCTAGCCTTGTCAAAAAGCAAAATGTTAGCTTAGAAGTTTCAGAGATAGCGGGCGTGGGACTCACTCTGCAACGCATTCCAGGGCTATCATGTCGCGATCTCTTGGCAGGCCTGTCTGTTCTTCGGAATTTCCCTCCATTGGAGCAGCCGCAAACAATGCAGGATCAATCTGGTCTTTGTGGGTACGACCAACATTGTCACTATGCACATTGGACCTGTCAGTTCCAGAGAGAATCGATTCCTGATCCTCGGTAGTATCAACAGCGGATAATTTGGATGTACTCTGACTATCTTCTGTTTCAGACGAGGACAGGCTCAGTGCCCGTTGTAGTTGTCTTCGGAAGTCGGGCCGTCGAGAGGAATACATGATAGTCTTTCGAACAGATCCCATGTCGGTGTTTAGTGTTGTACAAGGGGCCGTGTGGTTTGCGTTGTGCTTAGTTCACATAACAATCATTATATATGTACTAGACTGGACTGCGGTCTGTTGTCTTTTTTTGTTCTAAATCTACAACTTCCGCGATTTGAATCGCATCGAAAGTACCCAGCTATGCATTTCCGTACTCTCTATTTCCGGCGCCGAATATCGAAATCGGTTTCTGAAGATCTGAAATTCTCTCAAATCATCGTTGATGGCTCCATAACCTCACAGTGCCCTCCATCTGGTTGGACAGGAACCTAATCATATCTACAAAGAACAGAGCATGCGTGAATCAGGCGAAGTTGTACCTATACAAAAATCTGTGTTCTCTGTGTTTCAACGTTGAGGAGTGGGTCTATCAACATGATAAAAGAATCGCTTTCAGTCCCATGGTTTGACCTTAAAAGTATAAGTGACGTTACATCCTTTATCTCTGTGGCAAAGACGTGTGTGCGTCGACCTGTTTCGTTATAGCCAACGTTGAATGTTGATGAATGGGATGATTGTTAACACATGTCTTGTTAGTCAAATCAATTAATTTATCTAAATTAAGTATTAAGATCAACTGACGGATTGACCGGTGCTTCGTTGGGAGGGAGACAGACCGTGGATCACGCGAAACCATAAGGATTTGAGCTCAACAAAGTCTACCAACCTTCTATTTTTGCTGTGCACCAACCATCTTCTGACCACCGTGACTGAGATTATCACGATGTACTCGCGCAGTGCAACAGGATGGTCGGACTGGGAAGAAGATAGCCTTCCTCTCTGGCTAGAAGAGAACAGCGACCTTCCGTGGACTGATCGTGCCGAAGCTTATTCGAAACAATTCGGGGTAAACCGATCTGTTGAATCCTTACGAAGGAAGAAATATCATACCCTACGAAAACGCTCTTTTGGTCGCACTAGACGGACACGGCGGACGACTCCCTCAAAAGCCCGCAGGGAATTCCGCCGCCTGAAAGTCACCGACGACGCGGCGCAATGCAATCTTTCAAGTAATGATTCCATTGATCACAGAACGGTTGCAAAATGGCTCGAAGGCATTCCAGACGTTGAATGAAACTGCGCCAAGTCTCAAAAACTGCCATCGGCAGAACCATCAACATGTGGTATGAGGAAGCCTCCACTTTTGATTCGGTCAAACGCTTACTTCCTTGTGCAGCTCATGAGTTATACACAGTGGGCTACAGCCAACAAGGGAGTCGATCGCTTTCCAAGCTTTGGAACTACGTACACTGGGTCTGTGAGGAAAGGCGGCTTAGTTATCTGCGTTAGTTAGTTAACCTAACTAACTAACTAGCAGAAATGATGCCTGAGTAACGCCGCAAGTCTCACTCTCATCCTGAATACCCATGGTTGAGCAACTATTGGAATCGTATTTGCCAATGAGCGTGTTCGCCTGCCAGCACAAAAGCCCCCGTTCCAACAACCTGAAGGGGAATGGCCAAAGGAACAAATAAGCCGGTATGGATTCACACAGCTACAGTAGTCCATGGAACAGAAGGATTGCGATCACAAATTGTCACGAACAATTAGCTTTGAATTTGGAATTATGTATCTTGGCCGACGCTGGTGGGGCCCTGAGAAGTCTCGCACGCACGACTTACTTATTCCAGTTCCCCAAGGTGGGTAACTCCCACGGTACCCTGATCAAGGCCGTCCCAGGTCTTTCGAGATAAGCTATTTTGTTTGAGAGCCCTTTATGACTGCATAGGTTTCTATGCCCAAGACACCAGTCGAAATGCTTCCTTGGACCATTTCTAGACATTGAGGAATAGTGTTCGGAAAGAAGTTCTAGAACGAGCTGGTTCCCTTTGACCCACTCCGGTACTTTCCAGCCAGCAGAATCCAGAGTACGAAAGAGCTCCACCAATCTTTTGAGGCTAAGCTTCATTTTGACTGGCCAGAAGGGACCGTGGTGGCCATTTTCCTCGGATCGGGGGCGTTGAGTGCGGAGGCACAAGGGATCAGTAATTGTTGCTGCAATCTTTCCTTAGACTTGGACTGGGCACCTTGAATGGCGAACCCTTTCCAAAGAGACATCTTCAATCTCCTTGAGCAGTGGAAGATATGGTTGTAGATCTAATATCTCCTCAATCTGTCTCGCAAAGTGGGCTTCCTCGATCATCACACTGTCATCAGTTGTAAAGGCTTTGGCAGTCTCGTACCTTTCAGAAATCAAGCACCGCCATTGGTCCATATAGGCCTGTAGGTTTAAAAGTTTGAATGGTAGCATTGACCTGAAACAGTCCGCATTGTCACTCCACAAGAAAGTCTTATGGTAAATACAACAACAGTATGCACATATCAAATTTTCAAACAAAGCTACGCATTATCATGGAAGTGTTTACATTCGCTTGATCAAGTAAGTGAGGCGTGTCGCTAAAATCGTGTGTTCAATTTCAGCACCACAAAGGTAAATTACGGGATCATTCCTCATGTTTAGAGGATGATATGCTGTTTTGGTTTTTTTTTGATCCGGATGTGAATGCCCTTGCAATAAATTTATGTCACCTCACATAGGGTCATCTCTAAATTCGGACTAACTTTTTCTGTGCTACCGGTGAGTTAACCAAGTAACAACAGGGCGCACCACTCTGATGCATGTGCAGCATCCAGCATTTCTACGCCCCAGGGTAGCCTCATGTTTCATTTCCCCTTTCGTGTGACCATCTAATTAATATATAATCCTTCAATTTCCCATGCAGGGTAGCCACTATCATCTCCGTTCTATTACACACAGGGGTTTACCTGTCGTGGACCTAAATATTGACGATGCCGCCTAGCACCAGGTCTACGCAAAGTGGGAGACGTTGCTCACGGCTAAAGTCGGACGCCCCCGTAGGTGAATTGAAAACAAGTCAATCCCGACGACCAGTCAAGCGCTCCGCTTCGGATCAGGTTAGTTTGTTCAATTTTTGAATCCTCCGTTTGTGACTATCCATTCACATGGTCTTTCGCAACCTTTGATACCATGTTGACCGTGACTACAAGTTGCTATCTTCGCACAAAAGACGTCGAGAAGACGACGATAACGACGGTCGCTTTGTTCACAAAGAATGCTTCAGACACATGAGCTGGGTTCAAGTAAAGCTGCACTGAGTCTTGGACTTATTGGACCAAGAGCGAACAGAGGGTGCCCAATTCATACAGCGACTTCAGATGGAGATGGCGGAGTTGACTGCTAAACTGAGAAAGGCACTGGCCGATAATGAGAATCTCTCAGGCGAAGTCAAAAGAGCGCAAATGGAAGCCAGTCAACTGCTGCATCAGCTTGAATCTTTCAATTCCTCTATGCAAGGCCAAGTCGCATGGAATGATGTCCAGCCAGCTCTGTATCAAGCTCACAGTGAGCTGGTAGCCGCGGCCACGCAATTCTGGAGAAACGTGGAGGCCATTCAGAACCGACAGCTAGCTACTTACTTGCCTGGATCTGGAGTGGTGGATACAGTATGGGCCGGCCATGTTAGCGCTTAAGGTCCGATCGTGTCTACTTCCTTGCCTGAAATTTCTGGACTGGGTGAAAACTTTATTCTGCCTCCGCAAGCGCCAATATCTGTAAATTAGAATCCAGGAATTGCGTTCACGTGGAGAACATGGATCATCATGTTTTTATTTTATGCATTAAGTTTCGTATTAATGAATACCATCCTCTTTTTATGATCTCACGTATTTTGGTATCAGGAATTCATGTATACCACGGAACATTCAAGTGGTGCCCCATAATGGCGATGCATGACGCATAACATTCCGTTGTGGGGACAATCCCACACTTCGGCAAAGTCCTATTGATCTGCGGCCCGTCCGGGGAGAAATGAGGAACAGGGGCCCACTACGGATTGTCTTTTACCCTTGGTTTCAAAAATATTATGTAAAGACAACTCCCCGGTGTTCGAAACTGTCACCAGTCAGCACCGCTGTCGATCGCGGTCTAGGCTTTTCTCAACTGAGTCAAAAACTTAATCGACCATGATCGGCCGTGATCTACGGTCCCACGAAAGTTGAATGGTACGCAGCGCTTCCTCCACACTTTGTCCTTTTCTCATACTCCGTCCGGTCCCTGCTATAGCGGGGGATTACATTCTAGGAAGAACGCACTTAACGTGCTTCATTAGACAAGGCTTTGGATTACACTGTGTGAATTCAGTCAATCCATCAGCCATTCTGCTTTCAATAATATATACGCTCGTGGGACCATATTTGTCCATAATTATAGACAGCGATGATCAATTTTCGAGGTCAATTTCAGCTACGGAAAACGAATACAGATCGATTTGAGGATCTCCCTCACCGCCTCAAAGCCCGTCTTTGCTCGGTTTGCCGACTCTCCCGCGGGACCCGGATCCAGCCTGCGAGGCCACGTCAATTTTCTCTTCCATGATTTCCAGTCGACCGAGAATGTCGGCCAAATCGTTGCGGACCACCTCATTGACATTTTCTTGGCTGTGCATCGAATCTTCCACATTCCTGGATCATTTATTAGCCTATGAGTTCCTTCAGACTAGGCGATACACCTAGGTTCAGCTTACGTCATTCTCACATCTAGCCTTGGTAAGAAGGGGGATTTAGCTTCAAGGTTGAGAGACAGTGGAGAAAGCACTCACTCTGCGACACATTCTAGGGCTATCATGTCACGATCTTTTGGCAAGTCTGTCCCTGGTTCAATGTTTTCTGCCATCTGGGCAACCGACGACAATTCAGGACCAGTTGGTTTTTCGTAGGTATGGCCCACACTGTCGCTGTGCACGCTAAATTCAACACTCTTCGACAGCGTCGAATGCTGATCCTCGGTGGTGTCACCGATGGATATCTCAGAGGCGCTGTGAGTTTCTTCGCTCTCAAATGAGGATAGACTCAGCGCACGTTGTAGTTGTTTTCGAAAGTCCGGCCGTCGAGAGGGATACATGGAAGACTTTCGAATGGCACCCATACTGGTTTCTAATGTCGTGCAACAAAGGGCGAGTTTTGTGGTCTTTTGGTTCACAGAGCAATCATTATATGTCGTCGACCAGACGACGGCCACTTATATTCCTTGTGTTCCATTGACACCCTCCACCAAGTGAATCGGAGCCCACATACCCAGCTATGCATTTCCGTACTCTCTATTTCCGGCGCCAAATGTTGCAATCAATGTCTGACGATCCGATATTTCCCTCAAGTCAACGTCGAAGGCCCCATCAACTCAGATGGCAGTCCATCTTATTGGACAGTAGATATATGGTTACATTAGGCCAGAACCATGCGTGAACCAGGAAAAGCTGTGGCTGTTCCAAAACCCCGTGTTTCACCGTTGAGATGTGGAGCTATCAACATGACAAATGAAAGACTTTCAGTCCCATGGTTTGATCTCAAACGCATTTTCAATGTTGCATCCTTTATCGCCGTGGCAAAGGCTGGTGTGCCTAGACGTGGTTCGTTTCAGCCAACGTTGATGACCGTCGATTCTTGGGACGGAATGGGCGTTGCCGCACGTCTTACTGGTCGATCAATGAAATGAATCAATTATTTAGAGCAAGTGTTTAATTGACCGGTGGTCTGTTGGGAAAGGATATCAACCGTGGATCACGCAAAACCATAAGCATTAAAGATCAACAAACTCGACCTACCTGCCCTCTGTTTTCGCCGTCTGCAAACAGTTTTCTCCTAACCATTTTGCGTGATTTCATATCATGTACTCGCGCAGTGCAACAGGATGGTCGGAATGGGAGGAAGATAACCTTCTTCCCTGGCTGGAAGCGAACAGCAATATGCCTTGGACCGATCGCGCTCAAGCTTATTCCGAACAATTCGGAGTGAGCCGATCTGTCGAGTCCTTGCGAGGGAAAAAAATATCATATCCTACGAAAACGTCGGATGGGTCGTGCGAGGTCGTCACTGAGGACGGCGACCTCACAGACTCGCGGAAACCCCCAACGTCTAAAAGTCATCCACAACGGTGCGAATCCTAGTCTTTCGAGCGATGATTCTGTAGATCGCGGAATGGTTGGACAATGGCTCCAGAGCGTTCCAAAGGTTACAAGAAACTGCGCTAAGACTCAAGAAATGCCATCGGCGGACCTATCAACATATGGTACGAGTAATCCTTCGCTTTGGCTCGGACAGCCGCTTACCTACTCCCAATAGCTCATGAACTATACTATACGGACTACAAACAACCAGACAGTCGCTCACTATCCAAGCTTTGGAATTATGTACACTGGGTTTGCGAGAAAAGACGGCTTGGATGATGCGGTCCACCCATTGGCAACGACCGAAGTTTTCTTCGCTCTTTGAATAGAACTATTTCCATATTATTTTTGGATATTAGGGAGCCTGGTACAATATTGATAGGCATATTAAAAGACCCCAATATAAAAGAGGTCGCACGTTCCAGATGACACACGCGTTTGCGATCTGCTGTCAATGTAACCAAATCCAACGGTTGTGTTCAAGGTCGGCTCTCCTCTGTGGACTCATGAAAACGTAATAATCAACTAGCTGGCAACAAGGAAATCATCTAGGCCCTAACGACAATATTCAACTAGTACCTAAGAACAGATGACAATCCTAAATGTTGTGACCAAGTTTACTCAACGAGCAACCACGGTCTTGTGGGCACATTGATGTTGATGTTGATGTTGATGTTGATGTTGTTATTGACCCTGCGTTGATAGACGAAAGCTGAGTCGTTCAACAGCCGCTGCCTGGGTAACACCGTTCTGCATATTTTTGTCCGACTTGAGGGAAAGCCTCACTCACCGGCATCATTTTCAGTCAACTGGGTCTTCTCATCATATGTTCATCTTCATGTCGCCCTGCGAATAGAAAATGATAGTAAACCCGTATGTATGGTCCTGGATCCCCAGTTGTCCCCTAGTATTATGACCGGTGAGCAATCTACATCGGTTCCCTTATTGCAAATGTGACCTTGGTACATCCTGCAACTATGAGGAACACGTTTTCCCGAACACATTACTGGAGGACCAGATCGAGATGGGGCACTTGGGAAATAATTGCGTGTCAAAGAGTAATCTTATTTCAAATTCTTTATCTGCATCCAACGGATCCTGATTTGGATGGTTTCCAGGGCCAGGGCATTCAATGTACATCAATATACACTGAGAGGACCAAGTAAGTATTGAGCGACTATACCCATCACACGGGTGATTTGCATAGGGAAATCAAATGATGCGGAATCAGCCTGAAACGAACACAACTTGACACCGAAAAAGAAATAACGTGGTCGATGTCCTATGTGAGCTACAACCTGCGCATGCCTGACGGACTCAGAAGGCCGCTCGGTATTCCCAACTTTCGAGACCATGATCCAGCACCGTCTGTCTCATGGGTAGCAAAGTCAGCAGTCCATGTATGCCTAAGTTTATCACGGACCACCCTGTAAAAGCGAACACGTAGGCACTTGAAGGAATAGACCGCAGGACGGAGGCAGAGGAGCCCCTGTCACCAGCCTCTATAGCTCAGTCCAGAATCATGGCTTGCTCTTCATAGCTTCCAAGGCAGATGGAAGAACGACATATTATATCGCATCATCCATGTTCAGATCCATAATACTCCTAAATCAAAGACAGAGAAGCTTGGTGAGGTCCGAGGAGAGGTCAAATTGAGCGATCTGAGGATGTCATGGAATTGGAAACCACAGAATCATACATATCCATGAAGATGGGCACATTATGACACAACGCTGTCGTAGAGGAACTTGGTGGAAGGCACGCAACCTCCGCATAATAGCAAATTCTGCACATTCACGCCATACTTCCTTAGCACCAACGACCACTCTTTCAATTTGGACGGCCCATCAAACAAGGTGGATGAACGTGACGGATGTGCAAGATGATCTCTGATGCCTCTAACATGATATAGATATGAGCGCTAGATGTTTCTCGAGTCTGTCTTGTGTTCGCTTCTCTCACATCAGGCTATTACACCACCATGGCTTCTTCGTAGCTTCCCACCTCTACCGAAAGCCATTTTTCAGGTGAAATCGACGTCATTCAACACAGAATTCTCTGCGCTTTCCTGCCCACCAATAAAATAGGCATGCATTTTGGGAAGCTCAAAATCCACTTTGTCTCAGCAGGATCGAGACTGGTGCTCATGTGTCACGTGATGGGAGAGAGGCGGGATGGTCCCCGATGAGAAAATCAGCCGCTCCAGTGTGGCTGAAAATGAGCAACCACGTGGAAATATGCATCTTTCCCGATTTGGACGTCTCTACCAGGGCCAGGATAGGCTCGATCCTGGTGGCAGCGGCGCATGTTGAAAAGAGATAGCAAGGGAGTGGCAATGTTCAGGGCACTTAGCTGGACTTGGCGAATGACTGGACAGAGCAGGAATGCAGGCCATTTCCTTCAAACCCCGAAGCCTCATCTCGCCTGGAGAGGCCGAGTTCAGACCGCCAGCTGCTCTGTGAATGGCTCGCCAAGACAGTCGGCCCAGGCTCACGCAGCTTACACGCAGCTTGCACTGCCTGGCTGTCTCACATATGCCGGCCCTCCTGTCAGCCACAATCGGTCGCTCCACCGGCATGCCTTGAACCGCCAGCAGTTGCAATCGCGTATCCCGCTTACCAGACAAGTCTGTATGACCCATGGGGTTCGGTAGGATCATCGGCTTTTTCGTTGGGGAACATGTTGTCATTTTTCATCGGTACTTCGGAGCCCCAGAGTTCGTCTCGGTTCGTTCGTAAATGACGCGAAGCACAGCAATCCGCTAGCAATATCCATGCATCACAAAGGCCGAACGGATGAGACACTGAAATGCACATTGGCTGAAGTCTCCAGACCACGGGCCCATCGAGATCGGCAGGTATCGATCAGCCGGCAGAGAGATATCGTAATTCGGGAGGAATTAGAGGGTTGGCCAATGTTGAGCGACTTGTCATGGGCAAGAATGACACAGAGTGTGGGTGCTGATTGCCCAGGCGAGCCGACCATCTAGGTGGAAAGACAGCGCGGTGTCTCCGAGGACATCGAGATGGAATGGGTGGCAGGGAACGCGTTTCTGATTTTGCTGTATCAGGATGCTCATGGCTGGGAAACAGGTGGATGAGTATGCCGTACCGTGCATTGAGTCTGACACGTCGCTGAGCAGTGCTGAGCACCTGGGTGGCCTTGGTAAAGATCCGCCGAGAACAGTCGGGCGGTGAGATCGTGCAAGACGCGCGCAAGTTTGCGCCGTGATCGCCAATCCCGCAGGATGGTCTGGTCGCCGTGCTTGAACAATAACCCTTCTGTTAGTACAGTATGCATACTGCTAAAGAAGAGCCCCCCTCACAAGTCTCCGCCTTCAATCTTGACCACGCTTTGCTTGGCTCTAAAGATGCTCGGTGGACTGTTGGGGCAACGTACATCTCACTTGGGCACGGACCAGCTCAACTTCCTCCTGCTTTCGACCCAACGCCTCGTCGTATTGGTCTGTCCTTCAGCTAAGGTGATGTGCAATAATTGAAGGGCAATACCGTGGAGCAGACACACGAGATGCATTACATAAACTAGCTGGAGACTTCAAAGGTTGGGTGTGTGTTGTTCATATCAGCAAGTGAAGGGCTCAGACAGTATCAAATGTGAGAAACTTATCATAATAATTATGAGACTGCTGAACCAAAGGGGTGATGCGGGCTCAATGGCGCACGGCAGTCACTTCAGTCCTCGTCTGTCCCTCGTTGATGGCGAGCGTTGCAGTTGGGGATCCCCCAGCTATCGCATGCGATGCGACACGAGGGACGGTTTCAAATTACCATTCCATGTCTGTTGTGAGAGATGTGTCGTATAGACAACATCTCATCGCCGCACGATCAATTTTCGATGCGACTGTGGTGATGAAGAGCTGCCAAGCCAACGAAAGAGATTCCCTGCGTAGCCGTGATGGCCAGCACTGCTTGTATCTTGTCCGCCAGCCTTACCGGTCCTTGAATTGAGAAGCCGTTCAGGTTAATTTTGACGAGAACCTTCGATTCAGGAGCCGGGGCGACAGTCACTTCATCCACGTGGAGCGGACCACAGAAAGCTGGCGCTGTTGATATTGTTGGTTTCGCGTGAGGTGGATGAACCGATGTTTAATGACTCGAAAGTCGAACCAGATTGCGATACCCATCGAACGCTCGTGGACTGACCAGTTGAAAGACGTTCGTACCCGTCTTAGCAATGGAATTCACTGTCCATGTTGTGTAGCTGTCAAAGAGAGCAATGTCTCCCTTTTCAATGGCCAGAGAGAAATCAGATTTTATTCTGGGGTAGGAGAAGCATCAACCATTGCAGGCCGCCCTCAATATTCAAAAGCCATTCGATCAGACTCGTAGATGTTCACGAGGATCGAAGCTTGTTGCAAGGAAGAGGAACTCTTACCTCATCGGATGTGGACCTGCGAGATTCTTCCCCCTTGTCTTTCCCGCAGAGAAAGCGTTCAATCCCACCGTCAAAGGTGCCTTTGACATCTCTCCATATTGTGATTCATGACTGCCTCAGACGAAACGCAAATGCTTTTGAGAGCATGTTCATCGACTCGGATTGGAAGTTTCTTAGCAACGAGTGCCTCTAGCGAGAAAGGCTTTGATCTCGGTAACCATAAGTCCTGTTGACTTTGACACACCCGAAAGAACCTAAGGCAAGAGATTTCTCATTTCGTAGTGAACGGGGCAATGGCTCGGATGCGTATAATGTACGCTCAAGAACTTGCGTAGCATCCGGCAGGTTTCTGGGAGACTCGGTAGCAGAAGACATTCAGCATGAATTTCGTAATGAGAGTCCCTCCTCGCTCTTCCCATCTTGTCTGATGTCCTTATCGCCCTTTGCAGGCTTCGACCAAGAGCACGGACATGTTACGATGAGGGGACATGCTCTGAGTCCAACAAACACTTCAATACGAGCGAGTTGCAGCTCCAGCCGTGGCGGACTACAGGTGTAGCCATGCTCCGGAGACTCCCCCGGTTTTGAAAGCACCCGGGACTACGGCGACGTGTGCGTGAACGTAGCAAATTTCTGTCAGGATATTTGCGTGTAAGTCACGCATGAATCATTATCTGACCCTGATGATCCCCGAAGGTCCCGTCGGAGTCACTTTCTGTCGGACATGATTTAGCAAGTGGATCGGATAGATAAAAGACTCATGACTCACATAAAGGCTTGCTCACACGTTCTGGACTGGTTGGTGATTTGTTTTCGTCTATGGCTGGCTGGTGGGCGTGGAATATTTGGGACGCTAACTTGGAGCTGAATCTGAATCGACCGGACTGTCGTAATATTTGGTGTTTCAGCACAGTCTCCGATTGCATTGGGCTGACAAAACACTAACCTGTACAAGAAGCCTCTCTGTGTTCTCATCGTCAACGGGCTAGTGAAAATCGACATGATTATCTCAACTCAAAGAGGATGATGAATGTGTGCGAATGTATAGGCGGTTTGAGCCCGGTCCAGACTAAGGGTCTGGTTACGGGACGAGCATAACTTGGTTGGAGTGAACCGCTGAGGGCCTGACGAGGGCTGGGTAGGTGTATACTGCTTGTGTGAGTGATAGTAGGGGCTTGGAGAATCAAAGGTGAAGGACTTATCATGGGCGGGCTGCTTCACAGCATCCAGCGGTGGCTGGTGCAAGGGAATTCATCCAGTGCGACAAAGCACAGGTTTGATTTCGACAAAGAATCCAGGAAGGAGGCCACATTTATAGCTTTGCGGCTCTTGTGGCCGCGTGCTTCATGTTGCAATTCCGCGGGCTTGTCAGTATGTCGCCAATTTAAACAGCCTCATACATATATGTGTCGCCTGTTGAACCTTTCTTTTTCTTTACTGCGGCGGTGGGATGGCCAACAATGAGGGTGATCCAGTGACATGCCTTGCCGAAAGCCACGCCATGGCATCAGTTCTTTGTGCTACATTTGGCGAGACAGAGGTGGCTTTTCCCAACATTCAGCTTCGTTTTTCCAGGCTTCACCTTGTATCAACGATCAATACTCAAACATGATGTGCGGCGGATCCCCGGCTCACTGTGACCTGCTCTGTTGTCACCGTCATTTCTTTCAGTAATGGCTAAGCCTTGAAACTGAGACTGGTGGTGTTCTGAGTAAGTCTGCGTCTACACGCCCCTTGTCTGTCGAGTACGCTCGTGCATGAATCTAGTTACCATCCACACAGACACATTTGTTGAGTGCAACCATACTGCAGTGCATTGGCTGTGGAATTTTGACAATGGAAAGTTGCGTCCCTGATTCGCTTATACTCATAATCTAGTTTAATCTGTTACGGCACAGTCGGTTGAAGGGTCATATGAAACTGGGTGGCAGTTGGAGCGCTCTTAGAACGCTCACTTCCGATCCCAGGGCCGGACCTTTGGTTTCGGGGATCTGTGAGAAGCCCCCTGAACCGAGCGAACACTTTGGCTTTACGTACAGGCTTCTCCCCCGAGCAGATTGAGAGACAAATGGTCCGTTCTAGGATCCCAATGGGCGATCCTGTGAATGACTGAATCGAATCTGGGAATGCAACCACTGGCCCCAGGAGCTATTTTGCTCTTGGGGCTCTCGAGCCAGATTCTGGAGCCGCTTTTCTCATTCCCGGGGCCAGGACTGGACTTTTAATCGTCCACAACTCCCAGAGGCTCATATCCCAGGTATCTTTGATCTGTCACCACAATCATAGTACACTAGTAAGCTCCCTGTTTAGTAAGCTTTTCTATAGTCATGAGCCGACGTCTAGGCAAGTAATTCAGAACCTTCTGGGAACTCAACCCTCACAACTCCTATAATCCAACGATTCTTTCTGGTACGGTGAACTTCCTTATTTCTGAAAATAACATGATCTCGCCGCCGACAACATAGATTATTCTTTTCTCGTTGATATCGGTAATTCTTCTCGATTCTCTTCGGTTCGAGAATATCGACTTCCGTAATGTAAATCGAAGCTGCGGTTGTTGGGGTGTGGGAGTGCTTCTAAACCGCCCCTGCTAAAAGTCACACTTCATCAATATACACCCGCCGGGCCATACAAGCGACGATTGAATCTGAAATTCGGACGGCGAAATTCGCATCCTGCGTCATTTATCTAATATCCTAAATATGTTTCATATTGCTCATTACTGAATTTCTTAGTTCACTAATCCCAAGAAGAGAAAATCCGAAGAAAAGACAGATCGTCCTGAAAAGTACGCATTAAATTATCACGCTGACCAGATATCGTCATCTAAATCTTCTCACTCTTGGCTGTGACAAGCGCACCGACCTTCGAAGTGGTGGCGTGGTGCGAGACTCCATATCCTGATAACTTCCTCCGGCAAGTCGAGCTGACCGACGAATGCCATGTTCCACACCGTGTTTCATCAACTGCCCCTGAATAAAATACAGAATCCGAGGATTTGATGTTGCTTCCATGGCACTCCGGAAGTGGCCTACATTTCTTGCTCGGCGGTCGCGGCAAAGAAGCCTGACAACGGGCTCCTTTCCGTTCCGGGCTGCCAGCTCCAGAGCTGACTCCCCATATCGATTGGCCCCCGTAACATCGAGTCGATCGTTTCTGAGCAATAGCTCCACGATATTATGATTCCCATAAGAGGCAGCAATATGTAGTGCTGTGTCCCCAAGGGACGTCTTGGCGTTCACGCCCAGTCGAGACCCTTGTTTAAGCAGCAGTTTTGCAACACCACGGTAGCCGTTTTCGATCGCGATGAAGAGAGGAGACTTGCGCCAGTAGGTCTGATTGATATTGACCTTTTGCAGAGAGACGAGTCGGCGGACAACTTCCAGATGCCCCCTCTCAGCAGCAAGATAAATGGGGGGTGCGCGCGATACATTCAATTCTAGATCACTCCTAGTAAGAAGGAGCTGCATCATCCGCAGATCGCCTTGGGCCGCTGCGTAGCTGAGGGCCGTCCATCCCTGGTCATCGCAGAGGTTTAGGTCCAGTGAATCCAAGTCCACAAGGAGACATGCGAGGTGGAGGTTCCTATTTTCCACCGCAAAGTGGAGAGCAGTCTTTTGGCCAAGCCCGCGTGCATTGATGTTGGCCGGTTCCTTCGCCAAGATCTGCAATGCGACGGATCGGTGATTTCCACGCGCGGCCGCGCAGAGAGGTGTGGCTCCTTCGTTGTCACAGGCCGCAATGTGAATTCCAGGGGTACTCAACAATAGCTTGGTAGTTGACTTGTGGCCATAAAATGCAGCAAAATGCAATGCTGTGCGGCCCCCTGGGTCAGTGCTGTTGACATCCACTCCATGGCCCAGCAACAGCTGGGTGACGTCATCATGTCCGTTGCTGGTGGCTTGGTGCAACAAGGGCTGGCCGTACCTGTCTCTGACATGGAGTTCTGCACCATATTTGATCAGAGTTTGAGCAATTTCTTTCAGACCAGCCTGGACGGCCAAGCAAAGCGGGTGGTCTCCAGCATGGACGTCCACCAGTCGAGGCTGTGAAGGATGAGCTTGTGAATGATCAAGCAGGAGCTGGATGATGGGCAAATTCCGTTTGGAAATCGCCAGATTAAGAGGGGTGGTTTGTCGGTAGTCCATCATCCATATGTCGCTTTGTCGTTCTAGTAGAAGTCGGATCAATTGCTGCTCATTGCAACTCGCGACAGCATACCAGATAGCATTTCGGCCCATGGAGTCCGTACAATCCACTGATGGATTGAAATGCCGCAATAAAACGCGTGCCATGGACAGGTGTCTCCGCTCCAGAGCATATAGCAGCGGGGTCTGATTTCGGCCGTCTTGCCAGTTGACATCTGCTGCACTTTCCAGAAGAGTTCGAATCATTTCCTCACTTCCAAATTGAATAGCGTGGAAAACAGGCGTGCGAGATCTATTATCTGTCGTGTTGGCATTTGCTCGATATTCCTTTAGCAAACGATTTGCCAGAGCGATTTTGTTATTTTGAGCGGCCCAGATCAACGCGGAGCTTTCTTGACGGCGAACATTGAAGGTATAGAGACAAGGCAGGAAAATATGGCTTGAAATCCTATTCACACAAGCCATCGCAAATAGATCTCGTGATGAATCGAAGAATTTCAAAAGGTAGAGAAGAATCTCTGGAGGAAGCTCAAACAGCCAATTCGAAGTGTCACATTTGAGATTTTGCGACATTATGTGGATTCAAGATGGTACCAAGCTCGAATGTCAAGATGCCAAATGGTAGGCAAACTAATCGCAAAACTATCGGGGAAGGAATGGTCGCTTTTATATCGCTTGTTCGGATCCTGATGCATCATCCGAGCTTTCTGGTTTAGGCTAGCACGCTATTCTATGGATCTGTAGAGGCAAACTAGAGGCTCCCAGGAATCTTTGATTCCCAGATTCAAGAGAAGCGTTCACAGGAACATTTATCTCGATCATGGAAGCTATTAACGGCTAGAGTGTAAGTCGGCCTTCGGAGCCACATAGATCGTCAAATCAGCGTGTCTCCAATAGATACGACTCTCATGTTGTCGTGCTTGTCATTCTCAAATATTCAGTGAACGGATACTGGAATACTTGGAGAAGCGTATCTTATGAAAGGGCAGAACCCATTCATAATTGATGCACCAGGTGCCATCTGGCACGGAGAAAGTGTCTTACGATGTGAGATCATCTCAATGTTGGTAAAAGAGGCACTCTTGTAAGGTGAATATTACGAACGACTCACTTGTATAATCAGAATAGGTGAGAGCTCTGAGATGCCGACCAGGCGCCAGGTGCTGGTTTTCACCTTGGCTCTGTCTTGAAGACTCGAAATGATCTCAGCCTCATCTCAAGAGAGTGGTGATGCCGGCTCCCGCCATGAAAGAATGCGAACCTATGCCCGCGTACTGTAGCCCCGAAATATCCTGGCAGGTCTTGCGCACTAATAAAGAACTCTTTTGCTTCCAGGAATCCGTAATGGCTCCAGGAACCCCATTACGGATTCCTGGAGCCGACAAGGCTCCCTGGCGCTCTCAAGCATGGCCCTCGAATGAACGTATGGCCTTCAATGTCGAAAATAAAGAGATCAGTACGTCTTCAAGATCAGGACGTCTTCAAAACAGCTACAAGCTCGTGTCATTCACAAACTCATTACCGCCTGAATAATTCTCGCTGTCTATAAAGCTTCACTCTCCGTGATCATCAGTTTCATGTCACTTCTGCAAACACTCCACTCCTTCCTATAGACATCCGCTGAATCCCTATAGGAAATGCTTCAATTCGTTCCAGACAAAATGATCGCACTACTTGTCTCTCAGCTAGACTCTCATGACCTGGGCTCGCTGGGCATATCATGTCGAGATCTCTACGGCAGACTACAGCCCCACGTCCTCAAGTTAAACATTCAGCGCCAGAACAGTAGTCTCCTGCACTTGGCAGGCAGAGTCAACAACTATGCTCGGGTGGGGCTCATGCTTCTTCATGGCGCCGATGCCAACACATTCTTGCATGGAAAGATTCCTTTAATGAGAGCTATTCAATATGGGCATCAGATGTTCTTGAACTCCTGCTCAGTCATAAGAAGATTGACCTTCGGATGCAAAAGAGAGAGAGAGAAAGTGCCTTGACATACGCCATGAAATACAGACGCTGTGGAGACAGAAAAGTGATCCATTCCCAGAGGCACATTGCAATTCGCGCCGAACGCGATCAAGGTCTGCTTCCCTTGGCCACTTGCAAAAGTCAGACCGGATGTCTGCGGAGGCTATGGTTAACATGCAATCTGAGAGCCAAGGTCGGCCGAGGTCATCGGTCAAAGGGCATGGTACGATAGGTCCAGTTTTGAACGTTGAATCGACTTGATTGTCAGGGCATTGAGAGGTCAATAAACCTTGAACGCCAACGTTGAAAGTTACAGATATACGCTGATAGACACGTCACACGCTGTACAATGAAGATTTTCACGATGTATTTAACACACTCATGGAAGTCAGATTACCATCTAGCAACCAATCGACCACCATGAGTTCTCCCAAACGACCTTTGTCCTCTCCCACGTCGCAGTCCAAAAGACAACGTGTTTATGCAAATGCGGACGATGAGACGCGGGAGGGACCAAGCAATGGGGCACCTAGAAAAGGCACTTCGGTTAGCAGAATCTAGGTCTAAGGGCCACGCGAACATGAAAATAGCAATGCTGATCAGAGTGAATACAGGGTCCCACGGCCTCAGCAAGCCTCTCCACAGAGTTTGAATATATTCTGAATCATCACGTCTCCCTTGCAGCTCCCACCGTCAGCCTTCTCGACTGGTACCTCCGCCTATGGAATTGTTATATCGTGGATTCTGCACTGAAGATACGGCTCGAAGATGAACAGGGTCAGCTTCAGCGGTCAATAGCATGGCTGACCGCGAAATGCGATATATTACTCCAGTGTTGCTATGATCAGGCTCTAGAGCTATTCAGCCGCCGGAAAGCTGCGGCTGCTCTCAATGATGGGATCCTCGAGGCTTTGAAGGCAAGCGAGAAACGCACTTATAGGATGCTCGAGTTGAGCTAGTCTTGTGAACACGATGCAAGGGATACCGGCCGAGTTGGGTGTCTCATTCCTGGTCTCACATGTATGTAGTACTTTTGCTACCTTTGTTTCGTAATTTTTTTACTGCTGTTCTGAGCATCACTGTGCCTGGTTTGTCACAAGTTCTTAGCTACCAAGCCGATGGACTTCAGAAAAAAATACAGCTCTACCCTCACCCTCTACCCTTTAATTACGTTCGAACTCCAGCATTAAGATCGCTGGAACGGCATTAGAATAGTATTGCTTTGGCTTGGGAGGAGGTTTGCCGGGTATTTGGGTCATTGTGAAACTAAGATACTTTCTACCCTGCAGTATGGCTGACCACGCTCGGCTTCATCTCGGGGACGCTATGCGGATGAACACCACCCTCCTTTTGTCTTCTTAGCAACAGTAGTGACAGCTCATTTGTTCTGCGCTTGTCGACTGAGCACAAATTGAGGCTTTGCATGGAGGAAAAGCAAGAATGCTCAAAAGCCTTGAAACATGATCATCTCATCAATTTCCACAAACACCTTCCACCATCTAATAGTAATTGGACTACCGCCATCGGCTTGCTAGCACTTCTTTATTCACTAAGCTTTGACTCAAGGCCATCAGAATAGTGATCCCATTCCTTGAGTATTTCCGTCAAACGGAGTCGAGATGACTCCAGCGCCTGATCAAAGAAATGCGACCGAGCCAGCTGGTCATCATGGCTTGACTGCATTTTGTTCTTCTCGTTCACCAGCTTTTGTTGAGTCTCCCTCAGGCCGTCATTTGCTGTGGTCAACTTCTTCCCCTGCATATGCTTTGCCATGCATGACTCCCACAGGCGCCGATACAGCCCGACGAGCCTTGCGGCTTGGAACGCAAGCTTTGGGTCCTCACGTTCGAGCCGTTCGAGAGCATCCATCGCAGGTGCAAATGGCTGGTCCTTCAAGTACGGTCTCTCTGTGTCTTCGGCCTGCTGGCCACGAGTCAGCTAGTCCTTATACATGCTTGTGTTGGTCTTACTCACGATTGCTGGGCCGGATGGTAGATCCACGTCAATCTGCGGGTGCTGTTCCATGTGGATAATAGGTTCGTCGGCTGGAGGATAGCCACTTGTGGGCTGAATCTCGGGCAGCTCTTCGGCAGGATTGATACTGGAGGTATCCATGCTGGATCTTGTGTATCCTGTCTGACCGAGGATGATGCTTGCAATGCGTCCCGATGTTGCAGAATTTATATAGCTAGTATATACGTTCCAATGAACCATGAACAAATCGAAAAGAGTGATTGCGGTTTCCAACAGTGAATCAACAGACCAAGCCCAGTGAACCCATCTTTCCTCTTAGATCATGCGGCTACTATACGGCTGGTTGGATCAACTTTTTCCTGGTTCAAGCTTCTTAGAAAGCGGACTGCTTAGAATTCCACACAGTACAGCAGTCTCTAATCTGGAGCCTTCAGAGCTACGTTGATTACTTATCTTGCTAGCTTAACTTCATATATATCTCCCAACCTGCTCGGCCTCTGCATTTGTTCTTGTGCATGCTTATCAATCTTCCCATCTGCTAGATGCATCTACAACTTGACGACACATCCTCGTCGATGGATAGTGGTGGGAACAACGATAATGGTAAGTTATTACGGTCTAGTCGGTGACGAGCGGTTGGTTCAAGTAAATCACTAAATAACCTACGCAGACTGGAATCTTTCCTGCGGTCCGAAAGGCTCCTGTTGTCAATGGCCGGGCTTCCAAGCCGGTTATAGGCAATTTCCAGTAGACTGGAGTCATGTTCAAAACACTTCCTGGTCCAACATGGAATCTTCTTCTCATGTGCCTGTCCAGCAAGGACAAGTTCATAGTCTGGGCTGGTTTCAATATGGGTCTGACCCCGAGTCTGAGTTCGAGATCATCGCGAGGAATCCCACTGTCAAACCATACAGTGTAACCAAGTCAATGATAAGTGAAAACACGCCTGCCGAAACACCCAATGGCGGGGGGAGGGAGACGTCCTGGCCAGACTTTGAGGAGTTCACACGCCTCGTCTGCGGCGACCGCGAACATTCAAGCCCTTCCCGCAGCTGCATACTACGGCCGTTCCCTCGTCGGCAATTCCAATGCACCGTTACAAAGTGCAGCAGTCGCTTTCGATATCTCAAAGGCCTACAGCGTCATCTGGCCAGCCACCTGGATGAAAGGCCGTATGTCTGCTGGGTTCTAGAGTGCCAGCGCCCCTTCACCCGTGGCGACAACCTCAAAGCCCATTATGCAACGCATGGTAGACCAGAAGGCCGCAATCGCTACGTGGCTACTCTGGATCGGACTAGCTCAGCCTACGATTCTTGTTTTCGTGGACGGCTGACGTCCGATGGGCGGCCGGTCATGGAGGGAAATGCAGGCTCGTCCGATATGTAAATTACACACACACACACACAATTCATTAACGCCCGGCGGCAAAGCCGAAAGGGCAACTGAAACTGGTCTATCAATACAGGTCTTAATATACATATGCCGTGTCTCCTTTGAGCCCATACAATGATCATTGCCGTATGTGTCCTCTCAGTTGTCAATATCACAGGGATCCTTGTGGGTTAGTAATTTGGCTAGTAGACTGGCTTGAAGGCGCTTCTTCAAGTGTTCAACATCCTATCTTCGGCAGTTGAAGCGCGTCCACCATCGTTGTCACAAGGTGGTAGGTGCAGGTTGGTGAGGGCCAAGAGACATGACTACACAGCCAAGATTGCCCGTGGCAAAGCCTTAACGAGTTCTTGGGACTGATGTAAAACAGCTTCACCAGGCCCGCTTGTTCAAGCCACTGCCCTGGTTTTCGGCACGCGCATCTTTCGATGGACGCCCTCCAGATATTGAGGCCCCGCCAAAAACCTCTCACCCCAGGTGTCTCCAGGTTTGCTCCTTAAGCATGCATCAATAGCATTTCAGCTAGAACGACATCACATCCATCGCCCAGCCGCAGGTTCTCAGTGCGAGTGAGATAGTAGGACAGGTCGGACCTGCCCCACTAGGACGACACCACTTTGGCTGGTTAATTTCAGGTCCTCAGTGCGAGTGAGTTAGCTGTTTCTGTCTATTTGCACACCGACACGCGCGTCCGTCCTCTCGGGCCACATAGACAGTCTCGTCGGGTCCTCTCGACTTGTCCGTCACTGCCATTATGTGCCACGCCCCACAAGGAGAAGTCTCCCTGCTTCGCGTTGCCAGCCGAGATCTCTCTCTGCCGGCCGACCGTGTCTCGCAAAGGCTGCTAGTAGTAACCCCTTTGGCCTTGCAGGATACCCTCGCTGTCCTTCACTAACCAGACCTGTGTCCCTGACTTTGCAGCCCTCTCGAACACCCGTGGCTGTGCCTTAACGAGTCCGTCGAGGGTCGTCGCCAGACTGTGTATCCCGCTTGGAAGAGGCCACAGGCTGTCCAGATCAGAGTTGCCCGTAGCTTCGCTTTAACGAGGTTCCGACCCAGGCCATTCCATGTAGCTCCCGAACGAACTATTCAGTCTGCTGCGCCGCCAGTTGTATTCCCCCTCGCCGCTCAACGCCATATTATGTGTTTTCATTTGTTCGTCTCGTCTTTCGTGTGCTGTTCTTCGTTATTTTCCTCGTTCAAGTTCGTGGGCGTCTCGCGATCTCAGAGGGTGTTCAAGCTCAGAGGTGTCCTGTCTCCTGCCGATACCACAACCACTAGAGAACAAGTCCAGCTTCGGTCTCGAGTACGAGTCGACTAGGCAGTCGTCGGATGGTTTTCATAACCCGTTTTCCTCTGGTTTGTGTGGGGTGGATGGGGTGTCGTCAACTACGGAGAACTCTGCGGCCCGACCCCTATTCACCCCATGCGGATTCTTTTGGCTTCCCCTCCACGAAATGAGAGGGTACTGACACCGGACACCACGAGAAGGTAGAAATCCATCGTCCTAAGTGCTTGACGAGAGCAGTTACCTGGCGTGCTCGCCAGGGGCCGCGTGGGAACAGTCCCTCCTCTAGTTGGAAGGAAATTTGGGTTCTGATTGTGGACCAGGTGTTAAAGCGGGTCCATGTCCGCAAGAAGATCTCTTTACTGTTCTCAACGGACGAGTTGAAAATGACCCATAGAAACAGACCCTGATACGGCTGCAATGCTTCAACCAAGTCCTATCGAGAAACGTTGTTTGAAACACCGGTTATATAACAATGAGCTCCCCCCGCAAATTCACTGCACATTTCTGGAACCGCAAGGCTTTGCTGCCCCGCTTCATAAATAATGTATGACGTGACCAGCCGCCTCTGCATCATGCAGCTCCTCAAAAGACTGATCAGATTTTCATATGCGCTCAAGTCTCTGCATACAATAGCATCCGAAGGACGAAATCTTTCTCTTCTTCCGTTGAAAACAAAGCCTCTTCTCCGGGAAGGTCATGGCAAGCAAACTCCCAATTTCGAGGCTGCAGCGCGGGAGGCACGAGAGCAGCAGTGGCCGACGCACGAGTCGCGCTTGCGATATCTGCCGAAAACGTAAAGTGAAATGCCATGGTACAGTGCCGACCGGTATTGCCTTCCATATCCGGGAACAAAGAGTATACTCATTCAAACCCTAATCACATGATATGGTAACCCAATATGGATTCACGTAAATTACCCGTTTGGCATATACATAGTAATAATACTTCGCATTGTACCTATTCGTATGAGTACAGAACTAAAGACCAGTACCCTTCCGTCGTGGGATGCCTTGAGGAAGGCACCTCAGGCTTCTGCATCCCGTAAAGCATCAATGTGGGAATAGCCTCATAATAGAAATCTCATAACAAGTCCGTTGAGTCCATATCGAACCTCCTTGTCGCAGATAACAGTGTCACCACTGCCTTATCGCCTTTCGACACTGCTATAGATAACGGTGTGCAATCGTAGTTGTCCTTCAAGTCCGCGTCAACCTTCCCAGTCGCAACCAACAGCCTCACCACTGCCTTGTGCCCCCATGATGCAGCATAATTCAATGGTGTAAATCCGAAGTTGTCCTTCCAGTCCGCATCGACCGTCGCCGTCGCAAGTAACAGCCTCACCACTGCCTCGTGCCCATATGATGCAGCGCCGGTTAACGGTGTGCAGCCAAAGCAGTCCTTCGAGTTGGCGTCCACCTGCCTTGTCGCAAGTAGCACCTTTACCACCTCCTCACTGCCCTTCGACGCAGCCAAGAATAGTGGTGTTCTGCCGAACTTATCGAACGCTGCAACATCAGCTCCTTCTGAAAGGCAGGCTCGAGCCGTCCCCCCACTCCCTCGCTGGGCAGCCCATAACAGCGCGGAACTCCCCAACTTCAGCGAATTACGCCGATATAGGTAAGGGTTGAGGACAGAATAACTCTGCCGGTTAATTTGAGCGAACGAGTTGATGTCTTTCTCCGCGTCCAGGAAATCAGCAGCTAACTGAAGCAAGTCCACAGGCAAGTCCAGAAGATGCATTTGGTTTAAAGACGCTAGATTTCGATGGGCAAAGAGAACTGGGACGTAGATATTTTTGTTAGATTACCGGCAAGGAGGTATTCGTGGTGGTCTTCTTTAAGAAGCGCTCGTACAGTAACTACCTGAGGGGCAGACCGAGTACCAACAAATTAACCCCGCCTTGCATTAGTTCCATCACGTGCGCCTCGAAACACCCGAGGATAGCCTGGGAACTACGGGCAATACACAGAGAAGGGGGCCAGAACCGCAGAATCCTCTTCACATGCTGAAGAAGCTTTCTTGATATAGGCTTTCCGCTCAGCGAAAAATTCCTCGATGGGGTTGGAATCCGACAAATACGGCGGCAGCTACGGTAGTTTGACTAAAGGCTTGATCGGTTCTGAATAATGGAAAAGATGCGTTCGTGATAGATAGAGCGCTTACTACACTGCGCCACCTTCGCTATTTGCTTTATAGTGAGTCTGTTCTTGCTATATTATATATAAAGAATTACCTTACACCGCCAAAAATCGATGCTTCTAGCCATTTGGTACGTGGTCTAGGTGACTGTAGTTACAAGGTTAGGAAGAGTGAGAACGAACGATCCTATAGCGGGGTGGAGGTTTGGTGTTGGGGATGGTTTTTTGGGGCATGTGACAATACATGACTATACGGGTTTTTACTTTAATCCTTGTTACCATACACTCCTGGAAGAAATCCTTGTTTACGGAATTACCATATTAGGTTTAGCGTATATCGTGACTAGGGTTTGGAAGAGTACCTCTATGTTTCCGGATATGGAAGGCAATAACGGTCTGCACTGTAATCAACCGCAATGCTCTCAATGTGTTGGATTGGGTTTAAACAACTGCTCTTATTCTGAAAGAAAACTTGTCAGACAGCAGAACAAGCCTGTGCTCGACCGACAGAAAATTGATAATTACGAGGAGCTTTTTCGGGATTTGGCAATTGAGTTTGAAGGACCTGTCGCAGAACGCATCAGGCAGCCTTGAAAGTGTGTCTTCGTAACAATCATATGGGTCTATCGTGCTGATGAATCAAGCAGGAATCACAGTCTATAAGCCCCAGACGCCAGACGCCAAGGAAAGAATTCAACCTCAGCCTCCTCTTCACTCGGCTCACTAGAAGATGTGGATCTTGCCAGCGAAGACTTTAACCGAGATGAGCAAAGTAGAGCCATCGGCCATATGGGCAAAAATTCTGAGGTTGTGTGGATGCAACGATTGGATTCTGAACCAAAAACAGCGGACGTTTTTTATGCGTCATGCTGGAGGGCATCGAGGGCACGGAACGGGATGGAGTTGTTGGGAAAACAGGATGGGAGAAGATGTGAAGAGAGTAGATGAATGAAGGGCAGCAGAAAGATTTCGCAGTTGGAAAGAGGAATGAAGGCAGAATTGAAGTTGGAAGGAAGGTAAGGTCCCGAAAAGTGGCGAAGGCAGAAATAAACAAACAAGGCAAGAGATTTGACAGGGAAAGATTCGAATTCTCTCAAAGTGAGTAACCGAGTCACGTCAGTTCGAGTAAAGAGGCCTTCCAGCGACAAATGGCTGTTGACAACCCCGAAGGTTTTCAATGGACACACCAGGAAACTCTCCGGGAGAGTTGTGACCTGAAATCCTGGATGGCGAGACTTGGAAGAAGGATGTTGGTCTGCAAAGAAAAGAGAGGAGAGTTATGACTCGGGAGTGATGCGAGAGTGTTGATTCCCTTTCTCTAGGTTTTAGCTACAGTCTCTCATACGAAAAAGGGACTCCGACATGGACATCACCCTTTCACGACTTATCAGTATTTTCTTTATCACGGTAGCTTCTCCATTATAAGGATATTCATGAATTGACTTTCTTCAACTCCATCGCCATCTTCCTTGCATGTCCTCACAACGTTGTTGCTGCAAAGTATACCTCAGCTTTGATTATCTCGGGTCATATACGCAATCAGATACGCGATAGTGAAAGCATTCTCATTCGATAACGTGACACAATTAATTACATGCCTCTTATATATGATCTTGAAACATCACAAGGTGCCTGATCAATTCAGAGATCGGCAAGGACATCCGCTTGATGTTCGGCTTTAAGTCGAGCACGAAGCGTGTCGACATTTTTATCTCCTATGCGCAAAATGATTTCAATCACTTCCGGATGCCCATCCGCCGGATTGGTATTGGCGTAGAACAACAGAGCTTCGTCATATACCTCTGGATCACCCACTTTGTAGCCCAAAGCATCTTCTTCGATCATCTCGAGTACGGTTCTGTCGGTGCCATCGATGATACCACTATGCACGTCGCCTGCAATATGATAACGGGCCCACACTGCGTCGCCATACCTCCCGTCTCTTATGGCATTGACGTATTCGGTAGCCCATGGCTCGACAACTGGGAAACCATTCGCCTCATTCTGAAGCACTTCTTGCACGGAGAAGTCTAGGAACAGTTGTTCCACAAGCTTAGTATCGCTGGTATTCATTGATGCTGGAGAAGATGCCTCCTGGTGTTCCGAGTTAAGTGAGTCCTATACTTGAAAAGAAGAAAGACCGCACCTTATATGGCAGAAATGTCTGGGTGAAACAGATTGCAGTAGAAGCTATTTCTAATTGAACTGTCGGCGTAATAAGGAAACGGGAGGTGGATTGGACGAGGAACTGAAAGTGCATTTACCACTGGGGTGGGTTTTATCAGCTGAGGCCATTCACGTGATTTAATGCGAGCCTGACGAGGGGTTTCCTTTCTATCGGAAATGGGTTGCTGAGTTGTTGTTCCCTTTCTGATCCCAGAGCGTAACGAGCTTACAGCAAGATCATTGTCAAGAATGGATGCCTTCTTCCATTCATCGCCTGAGTACACGTCTAGCCATGCAATTATTTCTTTCAATATAGGCATAGGCTCGTTTAGCGCTCGAGAGTCTACGACATGACCGATCATGATGGGTGACAACGGCTAGCCCCGGCAGTCGTAGACACGTAAAGCCTTGTTTCCCTTCGTATTTAAGTTAGTTAGAAGGAACCGCTGACTAAAATTTCAGTGAGCACTCTAACGTTAGTTAACTAACATGACTAGTTAACTACATACTGAGAAGAAGCAAAGCATACAGTACACTCCTTGCGGCGAGCTAATCTCAGACTTGGCAAGAGCTATTACATTTCTGTCACTTAAATCTTTATAAACTGTCGCGTTGCCAAAGTCTTTTTGATGAGACATGGTAAATGTATCATGGAGGGAGGCGAAGACTTACTCGAAGCTGACCCACATGGTCGCATCTGGCGTGCACCATACCCCACAAAAACGCGCGTTCAAATACTCCATCTGCAAGTAGATATTTGCCCGTATAATGCTAGTTTATCTTTTGCCACGTCAGCTGTGTGATTCTGATCAATAAAAAAGGTCTTCAAAGAAGGCTATGGATTGGAGCTTCTGCACTGTTGATAATTTCTACCCCTTCTAATCAAGGGCTATGAACAGACTAAAGTCTATGGATGCTTGAGCAATGTTACGGGGCATCGCTCCATAGTCATTTGGCCCCTATGAAAAGACGCAGATTTCGAGTGGAGAGGAATACTGTGATATGCCAGATCAATTTCTCCGTTAAGAATTCGTAGACAAGTTTTGACAGAGATTGCCGCACAGTTGAACAATCATTGCCGTCATTTCGGTCTTGATATAGCATCCGTCAAACCCTTCAATTCTGATCTGATGGGACTTTAGTTAAGCGTGTATGGATTCTTCTGCTAGATATCAAGTCGACTGGTCTGAGATACAGGATGGTGTGCCATCTGGAGAATCATTATTCGGAGAAAGATACGGGGAAAGTCTGTCATCCCCGGGTACATGGAGCTTTTCCATCTAGTAACTCTGTGGCAATATGTTACTCAAATAGACGAATATAGCTAGTCTCAAATTTAAAATGCTTTAGTATATTCCCTTAGATCACGAAGACTAAAATTGGCGCTTGAAGTTACAGTAAAATCCACCTGTATTTGGAAGTTACACTAATTCTGATCAGTTCTAGTAGACAGAGACTTTCCATTATAAATAGGGGAAGAATAACAAATTTCATCTTAGTGCCCTCCTCATTACTCTTATTACAACTTACACGCACTTCGTCCCTTGCTACTGTCAAAATGTATCTTCTCGTGCTTCTCGCAAGCTTGCTATTGAGTCACTTTACCGTGTCGGCTCTGAATGTGAGCTCCACAGAGCTAGTCGAGCAGCTGTTCCTCGACTTCAGTGTGGAGGAGATTTCCCTCAACAATACAGATGGATTTGCCATCGTGGAACCATGGGCCAGCGAGTATCTCAACGCTATTCGTGACGGAAGATTCGGAGACGCCGTGTGGGCACGCTACCATATTGCTGGTGATGTACACAGTCGCACAGGTCTTATTGAAGGTACCAATTTGACTGTACTGGAGAGCATCAGAGAAGATGCACTTGGCTACAGAAGTGGTGATCAAGACCTATACGCTGAGGCTGTCGAACTTTACGAAAAGACCAACCGCACAGACGGACATAAGAATATTATTCGCATGCTCAAAAAAATTGGGGACCAGGATATCGACGAGGTTCAAGCGGAACTTAACAAACGTACCACATGGTCGATCAAATGCAGCACCAACTAGCTGGCCTATAAGTCGAGCTGCCTTACCCTACTTGAGAACATGTCAACTGCGAAGACATATATAGGCAGTGTGCGGCGTCTTGGGGCGCGAGGAACATGCAACTTTAGGGTTGGACCTTACCGTGGCTCTTCGACCGATCTGACCTATTATCGCGCTCACGCGGTAGGCGAGCTGATCGAGGAAGAATGCACATACTGCCCTGCATGTACCACGGTTTTGACAGTGTCTGGTTACTCTCCCAAAAATTCGGGACACCGCAAGGTTTGCCTGAGCAGCAAGAGAACCGGCTGTCACAGTTAAGTTGGGTCTGTTATGAGACGTGTGTCTACAGCCTGAAGAGTACCTTCTACCCTGTCAAGAATGGGGTTTAGTGTCAGTCGGTCAGGTATATTTTGTGAATTTCGTGTCGTCTTCCGTCCACAAAGGAACAATGACGCCCAACATTGATAAGTTGTCACGACTTGAGTGTGTGGATGCCTGCCTGATGCCTGATTAGATGCCCGGCTTGTTTTTATACCTTTCGTTCCCTCCGCGTGCTCTTCTTCTCCCATGTTTTATTACTTCGTTGGATGCAACTACGTTGGTTAAGAACCTGCCTTTTCGTACCTGAGCGTCACATAAGCGGCCTTGCATTTCCAGCATCCATATAATGTATGATAATTCCATGAGCATCTCTCCAGCCAAACATTGTATCTTCCTATGCGTTCGCGGGAAAAAAACAACAACTTCAGCGCCGAATGGAATTTTTAAAATACCTCAGGAACCACGCCAGTTGGAAACTTCTAATCAACGACACTTTCAATCTGACTCCCTGCGCTACATTTTGATACCGGTCTCGTAGCTGTACGACCGATATTGCAATATTGCGCGCGTTAAAGGGCGTCGGGCCGGTCTCGCCAGGGGCCTCCGGCGGCCCATTGAAAAATCTGCCATCGAACAGAGAGCGCGTACTGAACATCAACCACGGCGCACACGACCTTCTAACAGAGCTTGGAAGGAGACAGAACGCCAGACCAACCACTAAAGTCGTCAACTTCTTCCGGCAGGTGGAAGACCTGACGAAGGACCTCTTGTCGACGCCCCTGACCGACTGGCAGCAGGAGCTCGAAGCCCTGCGCAGAGACCTCAAGCACGAGATCTAGGCCGTCAAGGCGGCTGTAGAGCCTCCGGCGAGATAGACCGTCAGCTTTTGCCGAAGCATCCGCGCGGGCGCCAGCGCCAGCACACTTTCTCTCCTCAAGCAGCTCATCGAGCTCACTAACACGTAGACCTCGCCAGGCGCGGGTTTGGGTCGGGTTTTCAATTTCTTTACCCGCCCACGGGTAACCCACCGCGGGTGAGAATCACCCTCCGTCGCGCGACTGCTGCACTGACCCCTTTCAGCTGATCTACGGTAGAACATGATTGGGTTTCCGTGGACTATCTGAAACGCTCGGTCCCTTGGCATCTGCACACAGCCCCTAATGGAAGTTTGACAGAGCCGTAGACCCTTCGAATGCGGAAAATACATTTACCGTGGAACCACCACATCCCCAGAGGGTGGGATGAGGAGAGTGGTTCGTTCCAATCGAGTGATTAAGCATATATTGCTCCTCCGAAAGCGAACGCATCACTTGCTTTACAGGTGGATAGGGCTGCTCATCCATCAACGGCCCGAGCCTTCATCTGTGGAGGTCCACCACGCTCTACATAAAAGAAAGGTACCTGATAAGGTGAATACAAGTTTATGAAACAATCGTGTAACTTAATGTATGAAAAGTTAATCGATTTTGCGGTACAAGTGCCACCGTTGAACACGTTCTTTCCAGCCTTGAAATTGCCATTAAATACTTGATGTATTGACGGCGACACCTGTTCTCTGTCATCATATCCAACCTGAGTCGATATTTGGGTTCCTCTCCCTAACTTCAACAGGCGCTCGAATCCTCCGGGCGTCGTTCTTTCCGAACGATCCAGAACTCACTCGATCAGCTTTCGCCCCTGCCGTTGCAACAATATGTAGCATGAGTATGAGCTTAAGCTTTTAGACTCAACCTTAGATAGCACACCGTCTATCTGTTGGGAACATGCGGAAAGGTGAATATTTTCAGTTGAGCAAAAGTAGATAGAACTAAAGTGGACCTTGATAAGGTGGGCATGAAAAGAATTAATGTTTGAGCAAACTCAGGTGCATTTGTTCAGCGACATTTCACCCATCTCATGTTTTGGTTGATGACTGCCGCGCGGTAGTAATATACAGCGGGTTTTCGAGTAGTGAATGTCGGCCTGTAAGTTACAGGCAAATGCATGTGTCCGAAAAGGGGTGTTTGTTTGTGATAGGTTGTATATCCCATTCCCATTGGATGACTGCTTCTCATATCTCCACTTTGGAGCAGCAAACTTCGTGTCCCCATTTTCAAACATTTATGTCAATTAGGTGCTGGTCGGGTACTTCCATTCGAATCAGTGTCTTGTTTACATCAGTAATAACCCATTCGGAGGGAATTCTTGCCGTGAAAATTATCCATCTCATCAAAAAGTTTGGTGTTACATGCCCACAAGTATGAGGGAGCCATGGCCATCTGGTGTTCATTCCAATCTCCTTACAAGCCATAAAGAAATCCCAACCCGGGCCAACAGCTCTCGACGTAGCTTAATTCACAGGGGACTCTACACTTCATCTTCGCAATAGCAGCACATGTACTATCACGGTTTAATTCACTTTTGGCCGGCCAAATCTATGATCTGTGCTAGAGTCTTGGCAATGGGGCTAAAAGATATATCTTTCTATGGTACTTTTCCAGTCCCACACACCACATTATGATCGCAATTGATAGTAATGATATAGCCGAATGGCAGCATATTGAGTATAGAGGAGCCCTGATTTTCATATTCACAGTTAGCCTACCTACTGCCGTCTTCCTCTTCCGAGCGCAGCCGTCTCTCCAGGTCGGATCCAGCCCAAAGAGCCGCCAAAAGAATGTTTGAACACACTTGGGGTGGATATATTTACACCTGGCTACAAAACTCGTGATTGACTATGAGTCAGCGAATAAAATGCTCCCTTCATTTGAGATCAAATACGTTAGATGATTCTTGGGATCCAGAGAAACAGCATTCGTTCGACAATCCGAGAACCTTTAAACTAGACAGAAACATTTGAAACGTTACAATTGGAAGCCGAAATTATTGGGTTGAGCCCCGCTTAGCCCACTTGGACACGAACAAATCCATCTTCGTCCGGAATTGGCAATCTCTTCGCCTTCAATATTTTCACTCTTTTCCTTATCATTTTGGAGGAGAGATTCCCCCAGTCGGCATACAATTCCCGGTGTGTCTCGGAAACTGTACTCAGGTTGAGTGGGGCAGGTTCCGGTTCAATCTGGTACTCGAAGAGGGGTTTCTCGGGAGTGAACGGATTCCGGGCGGCGGGCTCATTGCTTGGAGAATGAAACTGGCTAGCATCACCCTCGGCAGTGGGGGAGTAGTTTTGAACGAAACTCCAGCCTGTGTACTGGAGTTGAGGAATAGTGTGATATTGAAAAGGATCTCCCTTGGTCTCCTCGACAGGCTGTTCCATAGCCACATCGGCGGGTGGTGGGTCCCCTTGAGGCTCATCGGCAGGTTCCTCGACGGATGCTTCAAACAACTCTTCCGCCTGTTCCAAAGAATCCTCAGGGGATGCCTCAATAGGCTCCGACATAAGCTCCTCCGCGGAAGCTTCAACCAACTCTTTCAAGTTGTCAGGAGAACCATGAGGGGGCGCATCGGCAGGTTGTTCCACAAGCTCCTCCATTGATGCTTCAACCAAATCCTCCGAACACGCTTCAGGGGGTGCTTCGGTAGCGTAATCAGCAATTGTTTTTTTTGATGCTTCAATGAGCTGGTTTGCCTCGGTCAAACTCTCATGAGCAGTTTGTAATTCAGCGGATTGTAATCTGAACACCATTTTCATCACAGCAAGATCAAATCCATGAACCTTGCCAAGAACCTGGTAAAGTTCTTCGAGATTAGAATCCGACCCCTCAATCTTTAATTGACGCTGCAAACTTCTTTCGATATATGTTGGAAGCCAGTCTTCATCATCCGGTAGTGCCGAAAACACGCCTCTCGTGGTTCGGAGCATGTCAGACATGGAAACCCCCTCACCAAAAAGCTCAATGTAGTGTTTAGCAAGAGATTCAAGATCGGGGAGCTCATGAATCCTCGCTGCTTGGTACACTAAAATGGCTTTCCTATATTCTTCCGCTATACCAGAGGAGTCGAATGCGACAGGATCATCTATCGTCTGGTAGGTACCTGTGTATAGGAAATTGACAAAGGTGTGCGCCACGTCTCCGCTAATATCTGATAGGGCGATAGGGCTGGACATAGAATGAGCCCCGCGAAATCGTGGAATCTGACGGCAAATGCGATCCGGGATGCTGAACATTTGGCTTCCGATGAGAACGGTGGTCGTTGATCCTTCATAAGGACTGTTAGAGGGTCAGTAAACATGGAAATATTAGATTGAATTTTCCAGAAGCTTACGATTCAAGTGGCTGGTGATAGTCAATCTTCGATGATTTTTCAACTGGGGGCGGAGGCTTATCTGGAGGAGGATATTCGGGGTGTATCTCTGCCGCCATGGATTCCATCGCTTCAACGGGGTCCGTCGCTGTCAGGGCTTTCTTAAATTTCTTTTTCACCATTATTATTTCTGAAATTTCTGATAGTGACAAGTTGGAGGAGAGAAAAAGTTCTGTAGGCATTTCTTCCCGTCCTTCAAATATGGAGGGTAAGATACCCCGGTCAGAAGATGAGGGGTAATGCAAGGATGAGTTGTTCAGCAGGGCGTTGAGACACGTCACACGTATATCATGGCATTGGTGCCATCATTGCTTTCTGAACCTTCTGAGCCAGTCATCTGTGTCTTGAGTAAAGCCCCCACAATGCGTCGGGGAATGGTTTGTTGTCAAAGACTGATTTTGTGATTCTACTATAGGGGTATGGTGTCTTTCAACCCCAGCGTTGGCGCTACT